CCACAAAAAAATACATTGAATTTCATGTAATGAAGCGTTATTATATAATATGAAAGTGAATGGTACCGTGAGCACGTTTTTTTTTTGAGCTCTCCGAAATTTATCTTGTTTTTTCTATCTTCTTCCGGCATTACTGATAAAAACAGCTCTTCTTAGAGCTAAAATTATTCTGCTAATCTTTCTGGTCATTTTGATACCAACATCATTCTTACACGCCTTGATATGACTGAGAAAACGGACAAAACGCTTAAAACGCCATCAAATCTTAGCGAAGCTATTGGATATCTTGAGAACTTGATTAAATCACATGGCAATAAAAAAATATCGGTTTCTGATCATAAAGAACATATCCAAAACATTATTGTTATCCTAGAAGACATTAAGACATCACCCGATGATAATGACACCGAAAAAGACGAATTGCAAGCTCTTTATGCCCAAAAAGAAGCAGATTTGAAAGTACTAAATGATGAAAACAAACAGCTTAAAGCAGAAACGACTCAGAAATCAGATGAAATTAAACGACTACGAGATGAAATCTTAAAGATTAAAGCCCAAAAATATGACGAAATTCTGGGAAAAAAACATGATACGAATCCAATCTTGAAAAAGCAACCAACATTCGCAGATATCGCTAGAATCAATAATCCGATGGCCAACAACAATGCTATACAACGTAAAAACCATGTCGTCATCATATCTCCTAAAGACGAAGATGTATCAAAGGACTCAAATCAAACAATTGCCTTCGTGAAAGAAAAAATTAATGCAAAAACTACTTTGGAAAACGGTCTCCGTATTGAAAGACTTCAGCCTGTCAGCGGTAAAAAGTGCCTCATCAAGTGTAATTCTGAAAAAGACGTAGAAAAGATCTGCAATATTTTAAACAATGACGACAAAATCACCGCAAAAAAACCAACAAAGAAAAATCCGCGAATCATGGTAGTTGGAATTTCGAAGGATATCGAGAAAGAACAAATCCCAACATTGATAAAAGCTCAAAATCCCAAGATCAATGAATTCATAGAGAACAATGAAAATGAAAACATGAAGATTCTCTTTGATAAAGAAGATCGAGTCGGGTCGAAATACGCTATAATTGAAGCCTCTCCAGCGCTTTGGAAGTTGATTTTAGATGAAAATCGTCTATTTATTGGGTATAAATCGTGCCCAGTCCGAAATAGAGTCTCGGTTTTTCAATGCTTCAAATGTCAAAAATTCGGCCACTCAGGTAACGACTGTAAGAACGACACAAAATGTGTAAACTGTGCCGGAGATCATGAAACAAAAAACTGTAAATCTACTATCCACAAATGCATCAACTGTGATCGAACAAATACAACAAAACATCAAGATAGTCGACGTACTACCGAAATGCTCGATATCAACCATCGCGCCAATAATATAATGTGTCCTCAATATCAAAAAGAAATTGCAATAGCCACTAGATATTACAATTATGGATAAATCAACTATCATACTATGCCAAAATGTCCAACACTCAAGAGCGGGCACACAACAGATATTGATAAATGCCCAGACATACAAAAGTCCAATCCTATGTATTCAGGAACCTTACACATTTGGTGACAAAGCCTGCGGTCTGACAGGTTACAATATTCATTCTTCAACTATTCCAAAAACTGTGATAGCAACTGTGATACCCAACGTCATTTCAATTCAGCAATTCATCACATCTAACTGTGTCTGTGTTTTAGTGAACAATCAACGACCATTCTTACTGATCTCAGTGTATTTATCGCCAAATGCACCTCTACACAAAGACAATCTCTCGAATTCTTCTGAAATCAGCCTTGAAGAAGATCTTGACCATCTTAATCAAATCATATCACATTATTATAATATCCCTATTATTTTCACGGGAGATTTCAACGGATGGCATCCTGCTTGGGGCAGCGCCACAACAAATTTGAGGGGAGAAGCCATCTTCAATTTCATTTCTTCAAATCAGCTCATCATCTTAAACGATGGTACATCACCAACGAGAGAATCAGGAGACAGTGCCACCTTCATCGACATTACATTTGTCAACAATAGAGCAATAAATATGATCAACGATTGGAAAGTTCTGAATGAGATCACTCATTCCGATCATAATCTCATAAGCTTCCAAATAACTAACACCAAATCATTACCGGATCAATCCATAACAAGAAAATTTAAAACTAAAAATGTTAACTGGGACAAATTCAATCAAATAGCATCAAAAGAGATACAGTGCTTTGATAGACGCTCAAGATGTCTACGCTCAGCAGAAGAAGTCAACGATCTAGTAGATTCTCTATCCGACACCATCATAAGAATATGTGAATGCACGTTACCGCGAAATAAACCTGGTAAACGCTCGATATACTGGTTTAACAACGAACTAAAAGAAAAGCAACAAAAATGCAAAAGGTTGAGAAGGAAATGGAAAAGATCTAATAATCAATATCTCAAAGAAATACACCTCAACAATTACATCGAATATCTCAAAGAATATAAAAATCAATTAATCTCTACTAAAAAAGAGTCCATCAGACAATTCTATTCAATACAAGACAATTCTTCCATATGGAAACAAGTATATAAATGGTGTAAAACTCCAACAAATCTTAATCAAAATCTTAAAACAATCAAAACTGACCAAGGTTGGACATCGTCACCTTTAGAAACAGCTAATCATCTTTTGAATAAATTCTTTCCCGACGATCAACCAGACAACACCGATCAATCAATCATCTCAGCATTTGCTCAATCTACATACTCAGCAACTAATGATGCACCATTCAGCAGAGAAGAAGTCAACGATGCCATAGCGACGGAAAACGACAGCAAAAGTCCCGGAGCGGACAGTATCTCTGCCAACATCATCAAAAACATCAACAAGCTCTTTCCCACTTTATATTTCAACATCTTTAATGCATGTCTGGAGCTTAGTGCTTTCCCGAAGAGTTGGAAATTGTCAACAGTCAAAATTATCCCGAAACCTGGCTCCAATCTTCAAACAGCTAAAGCCTTCCGACCAATCAGCTTATTGTCTGTCACAGGGAAAATCTTCGAAAAGCTAATATACAAACGTCTCTTATTCTGGATACATCAGCATCCGACGGGCTTATCAAATAATCAATACGGCTTCAGACCTCAACGATCAACTGATGACGCCATAAATGTGATTGTTAATAAACGCAACGAAATACTAAATAAAAAGCATTACGGCATCTTCATCTCACTTGACGTAGCAGGTGCCTTTGATTCTGCATGGTGGTCATTAATAATCTCGTCACTCATGAATCTTAATATTCCAAAAAATATCATCGAAATTTTAAAAAGCTATTTTACCGACAGAAAAGCTAGTCTTGTAATATGTGGAGAAAAGGCTGAAAAATCATTAAGCAGAGGCTGCCCGCAAGGAGCCAAATGCTCGCCCTTACTATGGAATATCCTGTATGATAATCTCCTCAAGTTGCAATTACCTATTGGTTGCTATCTGCAAGCATTTGCAGATGACGCATTTCTAATTGTTACACATGAAAAATTGGACGTCTGTGAGAATAGAGCCAACAAAGCATTAGCAAGGATATTTAAATGGGGCAATCAAAACAAAATTGAGTTTAATCCCAACAAGACGCAAGCAATGTTGATATCTAAGAAGAGAAAAACAAGAGATATAGTCCTACAAATAAACGGCTCAAGAATCGAATTGGTAAATAGCCTGAAATATCTAGGCGTAATTATCGAAAACAAAAACAAATGGAATCTGCATCTAGACATGATCTCCAAAAAATCGCTAAAATTGTATCATCAAATTATGAGGACCACCGGTAAAGAATGGGGACTATCCGGTGAAGTACTGCGAACCATCTATACAGTAGCAATTGAGCCAATATTGACTTATGCTTGCTCATCATGGCATGGAGTTCTCGATTTCAAAACTAAACGAGCGAAACTGCTTTCGATTCAGAGGTCCTTCGCTATTTCGATAATAAAAGGATACAGAACCATATCCACTGAAGCTGCAATAGTATTAGCAAATATCGATCCTCTTGATCTGAAAATATTGTATTGCACCAACAGATACCATCTTAAGCGAGGAAATCCTACTAATAATTGTATCGACTTAATCCCATTTCAACTAAGAGCTCCATTCTCAAATAGACTTCATCCTGCCTTATCAACAAATATGGAAAGCAGAAATTGCCCACAACATCATCGGATTGATATCTTCACAGATGGGTCTAAAATTGACAATCAAACAGGCTGCGCTTTTGCAGCAATAGAAAATAACAACATCATTCATAGTACTAAATTGCGATTAGCTGATGAATGCTCGGTATTTCAAGCAGAGTTATTGGCAATCCTGCAAGCTATTCAATGGTGTATTGCTAACGACCTCGACGCCAGGATACATTGCGATTCTCAGGCAGCAATCAAAGCAGTGTGCAGTCGATATACATCAGATGACTTGGCCCTAACGATACAACGAATGGTCAATTCTTACAACAAGCACATATGTCTTACATGGGTGAAAGCTCATGTTGGAATAACAGGCAATGAATTGGCGGACACCTTGGCGAAAGAAGCCACCAAAGAACAATCGATTTCGTATGACAGACGCCCAATATCCTACGGACTCCGTGTCCTGAAGCTAAAAATGCTCAAGGATTGGAACGATAGATGGCAAACCTCGAACAAAGGGAGAATCACGGCCAGTTTCTTCCCTACGATCAAAAACCGGAAAGAATGTCGTTTTCTGCCGAACTTTGTACAAACGCAATTTCTCACTGGCCATGGAAAATTGGGTTCATATCTCTTCAGAATGCAGATAAGACAATCGGACGCGTGTGTTTGTGGAGAAAGCCAGACAGTGGAACATGTGCTATTATATTGTCCAGCTACTCTCAGCAGCAGAACCGAAGCGGAATCGAGAATTGGTAGATCTATTTCAATGGGGATGGAAAAAGCCGATCACATCCATATTCTTGACTACATGATGAAAGCTTTTAAAATCCTTTGATTTTCTTTTTCTCTTTCCTTCGTCAATACCAATATTCATAGCCTTTTGTAATGTTTTGTCTTATTTTTATTATTATTTTTTTTTTCTTCTTATTTTCATATACAGAGCTCTTATTATTATTATCATTGTATATATTTTTATTTTTATTTTTATTTTTTATATTTTTCTTTCTCTTTTTGTAACTTTTGTATTTTTTTTTATTTTTTTTATTTTTTTATTTTTTTTTTCTTTTTGGTTTTTTTTTTCTTTTCATTCTCTTTTTTGTAATTGTATTTTCTTATAACATGCTTAGATATATAACCTCTAGTGTAAAATACTAGTTCTAGAGGTTCTTTTGAAAAATAAAATTATTATTATTATTAAACCAATAATAGAGGTATGGAAAAAACCAAAAAAAAAAAATCTCTATGGATGCTACAATTATAAAATGGTACAAAAAGATATTTGGCGCGCAATAAGCAAGCGCGGTTTTTCTACAACATTTATTCGTTTTTTTTCTTTTTTTGATCAAACGAACGAAAGAATCGAATAATGTGGGTGGAGTTGTTATAGTGGTAAAGTAGTAAGCAGAAATGAAAAAAAAATTACTACAGTCACAATAAATAAAAACTGAAATTTCATTAGATCCATTGCTAAAAAGTATATTACTTGGATAACATCTGTTCCATTATGACTATAGCCTAACGTGAATACTTACCTTTATTCCATGGAAAGAAGTAGCAGTCTGATAAGATTCTTACAGATATTAATACTACTACTACGAAAAAAATGATAACGACTCCATTCGTAATTTCGCATTTTGTTATTGATAAATGTGCAAAATGATAAAATTAATATCCACTTCGAATGATACCCAAATCAACCACACAGAAATGAAATGAATGAAACACAACAACAACAAAACAACAAAAAAAAAGTCGACCGTTTCATAATAATACCGCCACCAATTACCACCTCCATGCATAATTTCCATCGAAGACGTATTAATATTATAACAAACGAACGAAAACAACAGCATCATCATTATAAACAGGCCAAAGAATAATAGTTGTACCACGAAGATGATTTTTTTCGGATAATTTTTTTTGTTAATGTGTATGTCATCCCTATCTTTGTTGTTTTTTTTATTAACGCCGTTATCAACTATTTTCATCTTTAATTTGAAATTTATGTTTGTTTGTTATTGTTACTAAAATATCATCATTTTGTGACAAAGATCAATTAGATTACCTAAGTGTTTGTTGAATCGGTCATTATTGTTTGTCAACAAATATTAACGTTCATTTTCAAAGTTTTTTTTTGTCAGTTGTATTCAATGACAATAGAAAATACATTTCAATCATAAATCCGATTGCCATTGTTGTGGGAAAAGATTTCGGAATTTTTTTTATACTTCCTCATTTTTTTTGTTTACCCGTGTGTCATCATTAAAACCGGTCCAAAATTAATCCCCAAGCGATCGCAGAAATTGAAGCACTCATGGAATTATCGGCGGTGGGAGAACGGGTCTTCGCCGCAGAGTGTATTTTGAAAAAACGAACTAGAAAGAATAGGGTTGAATATCTTGTCAAATGGCGAGGATGGTCAAAAAAATACAATACCTGGGAACCTACAGAAAATATACTGGATCATCGATTAATTGATTCATTCAATAAAGCACAGAAAAGAAGGGCCAATAAAGCAAATGGTCGTGGTAAATCATCAAACACCGCATCTATAACAAATGAAACGAATCCGTCGGCTAGCGCTGAAACCAATAACAAAAATAGCCAGGACGGATCTTCTCGAAAGAGCTCGACAGTAAAAGAGACAGCATATAATAAGAGAAAATCATTAGCGGATAAGTCTTCCACACAAGCAAAAGTATCCAAATTGAAAAGTGATCGAACAACCGACAATAGTGATCAAGTTGATTCGACCGATGGCGATTATGATGATGTAAGTTTTAATTAATCAAAGTTTTAGGTGATAATGAATTTTCTTTTTTTTCATAAATAGTCCAATTCTGGAGAAACGTCATTTGAAAAACAAAATGACAATAAAAACGAAATCAGAAAACAGGAACCTACAAAGCTTATTAAAGAAAATGATAATGAACCACCAGAGTGTCCAAACAAAACAAATAACGTTAAAGAACAACAAGTGCCCAAGTCAAATTTTTCGATTGGACCGCCACCGGAATTCTGGCGACGGCAAAATAAAATCGTTGATCACATAATGGTTACTGATGTGACCGAAAATGATTGTACCATAACTGTTCGTGAATGCAGAACTCCTCAAGGATTTTTTAAAGAAAGAACCGAAATGAAAAGCATTGCGGTATCGACAACAGATTCTATGACCGGTATAAAATCGGCAAATATCCATTGAATGAATTTATTTTTGTTGATTACTACTATCCCACTAAAAAAAATGAGAAGCCGGCATTTATTTTCTCATTATTTCACATTCACAATTGTTTATAATTTGAAATAATTCATCTCAATTATCGCAGAGATTAAGTCAAAAATACATCTCTATTTTTGTAAAATATTAATTTTTAACTAACAAAAAAAAAATAATCATAAAAATATCCTCGATTATGATAATTATTATTTTCCTGTTCTGGAATTATGAATAGATATATATCAGAAACCGATTAGTTATTATGGGTTAATTATTACATTTTACACACAGGCAAAAAAAAAACATTTTCGGTATTTCATCCTGGATTTTAATTTTGCACATACACACACTTACACATACATTCACCTGTTCGAAAATCGTTGTTTCTTGTCAATCAATCAATTTTCAAAATTTTGCATTAATTCATTTTGTTGATAATGTTTGGCTAATACACACGCAAACCTGATCACATACTCAAAAAACGAGAAATGAAAACAAATTTATTTAATTACGAGCATTGATTATAATAATAATTGTAAAATAATAAAATTCAGATGCTAATTATGTTTTATTTTTTAAAAGAAATAATCGTTTTTTATTATCATCATTTATTGGATTCAATGTTATCAACCAATGATTTAGCTAAGAAATTTGCAGTTATCGTTTCATCTAAAATTGATTCCACAATCTCTTTTGGAGGTTTACCACCACCATGTGCTAGGACTTTATCATGATAAGTTTGACCAGCAGCGGAAGAGAATGGATCGTTTATGAACAATTTGTTCCAAATAGAATTGGCGACAGCTTTTGACACAAGATAAGAATAATATTTCGCTCCATAACCAACCAAATGACCAAATCGTAATTGCCATGACGTGTTCGATGAGTTAGGTATACCATAATATTGATTCTGAATCATATTTAGAATATCGGTTGTGTTATTACAGCCTTTCATTGGATTTTCACTATGATAAAATTGATCTAGGGCCGAATAGAAAATTTGTAATTGTAAATCACTGGAATTGAACAAATGTTTGGATGTAACCCAGCTATGTAAAAGATTTTCTGGAATAGGCTTTCCGGTTTGGTAATGTTTGGCAAATTTCGATACAACACGTGGATCATTAGCAAAATGTTCCATCAATATAGAAGGTACTTCAGCCAAATCTGTTGAACATCTTGTTCCGGTTATATGTTGATAAGGAGTCCTGGCCAACATTGAATGCATGGCATGACCCATTTCATGAAACAAATTATCGACCATCGATGGTGTCAATAATGTAGGCGAATATGATGTAGCGTTGGGAAAATTTAGAAATACAACGACTATCGGCAATTGATATTCTCCTTTAATAATTAGACAATCATTAATATGAATTATTTTTGATTTTTTGATAAGCTTACCATTTGGTAGATCACATCCACCTTGAATAGTAAAATGACAATCGTTATATGGTTTATTAGAGCGTACGAAAAAATCACAATAAATATAACCCAAAATTTTGTTAGTTTTTTGATCGTTGACTGACAATTTCATCACCGATGGATGCCATAGATCTTCTTGAGTGGTATCATCAATTTTCAATTCTACATTGAATATAGATTGAAAAATCAAATTCAATCCTTCCATGCAACTACCAATTGAAAAATAAGGACTAGATTGAGTAATATCATGACCAAACTTTTTAATTTTATGACTCTGAGTATAATAAGGCACATCCCATTGCATCAACTGAGCTGATAAATTACCAGTTTCTTCTGATTTTAATTTGAGCATATAATTAAAATCTTTTTCCGATTTGTGACGTATCAAGTTATTCACAGTATCGATTAAATTCCAGACTAACTCTGGGCTTCCTGCAATGCTACCATTGATAGCTCTATGAGCAAATGAATTGAATCCACAAATCTTAGCCAATTTAAGTCGAGAATAAATCAATTCCAATAACAGTTGTTCTTGATGATCATCATATTGAAGAAATTGGTTGAACGAAATTTCACGAAGTTGAGAATCATTCGATTCATTTTGCAAACCAGAAATGACTAACTTATCGTTATCGATCGAAAAATATTTCCACAGATGTTCGGGAATTTCTTTTTTCAAAACGATTCGTGGTTTGGTTGTACCGTACATGAAATAGGTTCCAACATGAAGAATATGTTCATTTAAACGGACAATTTCATTACGGACTTTATCATCCAAATGTATTCCACATTGTTCGAAATCGAAAAGAAAAAGTTTAGTCACATAATCATCGGTAGGAGTTGTCGGTACGATATCATTATTTTGAACGACTTTTAATAATGAATCATACAGTACACGATTGGTATTCAATCTCTCAACTTCAGCATTGATTGCGATGCTTGCTTGTTCAGCTGCATTGGTATAATTTCGGTCCGGATGTGCGATTCGAATGAATTCGGCAAGATCAGCAACTTTACAAAGTGAATTAGATAATTCATCAAATATTTGTACAATTTTTCGATTTCGTTTATCTGATATGGCTTCATTCACTAAATATTCGGCTCGTGTTATTGCATTTTGGCGAAAAATATAGAATCCATTAGAATCGGCCAAAACTTGATGACCAAAAAGTCCTTTGCGATTTTTATTCTGTTTTACAGTCTTTGCATGTTGAGCTAAATTATTAACATGATTGCTTAATGAAGTGAAATATGAAACATTACGATTGTAATCGATGAAATTCAACCAACGATTCAAACGTATCATTGCTTTGAATGTTTATAGATTTCTGATATTTCTCTAAGAGTTTGTTTTGGATTTCTTGTTCTTTTCAATAAATCAACGATTTGTTGACGTTCTTCTCCTTTGGGTGAAAATGGTCGAATTCCCATAAATCTACGAAGATCATAGATTTGATTCCAAAAATCCGTACAAGTTTTATAATTGGCAATTTCTCGTTCACAATGATCTTTACCCTTGGATTCTTGACACTTTAAGGAAATAAGCGATTCGTCGTAACAAGGATTAAGATCTCGAAGTCGTTGAGAAGAACGATCTTGTTTCTTGATTGTTTCCATTAAATGATAATTTTCATTTTTTATTTATTTTTTTTATCATTATTTATATTCAACACATGTCTCATTCAAGCAGAAATAGTAAACCATTCAAAACAAACGTATTAGAATTTACAACATAATTTTGTTTAATTTTATTTAAAAAAATCGTAAAAATTTATACCAAAGGAAATTTATCGCCATTTTAATTATTAAATGGTTTGAGCAAAACCATCTTCCGTATTTTAGATGTAGATATATTACACTTCATTTCCAACATGAAATTATGGTTTCAAAGCAAATGCGGCACTTGGTCCTTGTGGTTGTTGATTGTTAATATTCGGATTGAAATGATTACGATTAACTCCATTACCTCGTTCGTTTGAACCACGATATGATCCTCGACTACCACCATTCTGACGAATCAATGGTCGATTTGTTCCATTGAAATTTTTTACTGGATTAGTTTGGTGTCCACTACCACCGCTAAAATAGCCACCAAAATTTTTGGGATTAGTAGGACGACCACCACGAAAAGATGAACTTCCTCTTCCGCCACTTCCACCTCGACCACGATAATTTGATCGTTTCGGGTAACCGCTATGACCATTCATTACTTGAGACGAATCGTTATTCTTGTTGATGGAATCATTCTCTTGCTGACTAGTTATATCTCCATTATTAAAATTTTCCGGTTTTTCCACGTTTTCAGCTAGGTCAATTTTATCATTCATCGGACCATTGAATTTATTAGTAGAATCTTGATTTTGTTCAACTGGATTACAAGGCATTATGTCCGTAATTGAAGCCTGATTGCTAGAAACCACCGGAACAGAAGGATCGAAAATTGGAACTTTGTTAGGAATGAAGTTAACATAGTTCTGATTAGTGAAGGTTTGTGATGGAATCGAACCAACAGCTTGGTGTAAAAGTAAAGGGGAATATTCTATTCCTGTATTGGTCGCTGGGAGAAAATTAACAGGACAATTTCCGTTTGTGAAAGATGGATAAGCAAAACCGGATGCGATGACAGCAGGATCCTTTTGCAAATCAGTTTCCACTTGTGGTTTTGCTGATGCAGCGGATGAAGATTGCATATGATTTTCGGAATCAACATTGGCTAACTGAGGCTTTTCGTTGGTCTTGGAAAAAAAAGATAATTAAACATTTTTCAATCAAGAAAAATAGTTACCTTTGATTGAGATTCGTCAGTAGAGACATCGGTCACCTTCACTTCAGAACAATCATCATTACTTGAATCCACTGATGGTTCGTCTGAAATTTCAGGTTTGGATGTAGAATGGATATTATCAAGACATTTATTCTCAATAATTTTGACACACATTTCCTTCATTTCCAAATGAGTGATTCCATTCGAAAATTCTTTCTTACTACCGTCGAGGATCAGATGAACTTTTTCGGCAAATTCATCAAGATCAGCATTCGAATCTTTTGAAAATTGTGCCAGATTTTCCAATGCATCAATATGTTTGTCATCAAAATGCTAGATTTTATCATTATAGAAAAAATTACAAACCAAACAAATTAATAAATGAAAATAAATCTTACGATTTTGGAAACATTATCAGTATCATTGTTATTCGATGAATCCTCTTGTTTGTAATGTTGTTTGAGATATGTAACACAAGGCAAAATTTTCTGGATACGAAGAAATAACTTGATTCGTTCCAATTCACATTGGTTTCTTTCGATCAATTTTTCTTGTTGTTCCTTTTTCTGTTGTTTCTTTTGTTGTTTGGCATACTTTGAAAAAAATATTTAAAAAAATCAAATTAATGAAAAAAAACGAAAATGAAATTTTTCTTATAATATACATCATTGAGATTGTCGTGAATATTTTTATTGATCTCTTTAAGCATGTCGATCATTTCGACAACGGAATCGAGTTTTTTTACTGCATCAAGTTGTTCCTTAGCTAATGTTTCTTTTTCAGCTTTATCCTTGGTTTCGAGTAAACGAGCCTTTAATTAAAAAGAAAAATTTATTAGAAATTTTTGATAAAAATAACAATTTTTCACCTTTCGTTTTTCCAGGTTACGAATCTTTTTTTCGATTATTGTGTTTACAATTTTGTTAGGTTCTTGAACAACATTACAATTATTGTTATTGTTTGCAACAATCTTGCTATTCTGTTGTTGATTACCACCAGATTCAGCATTGATTCGTTCAACATTGGCAGCGGCAGGCATTATGGATGATAATTATGATAGTGCGAATACAAAACTATATTTATTCAAATCTTTTCACAAAATAGCTTTTCGGAAAATAAAGAAAATGCCGGTAAAAGTGTAAAAAAAAATTCTGTATGAAATTAAAACAATTTTTGTGTTCGTGATCAAAAAGGCGGTGGAATATTAGTATTTTCGTGCTCTTTGTTGTACAAAGTAAACTTATTAATTAAAAAAAATGATAGAAAGATCAGACAAATTATGAAGATGATGAAATATTAACGAAGATAAAGACCAGAAGCAAAAGGTGAACAAAAAAAGAAGCTTTTTATGGATGAATATAATGTTTTTGTTGTTTTTTTTTTTATTCAATAAATTTTCAATTCAGAACTTGAATTGATAAATAATGATTATTGTTTCGATTTTGCAAAAACGATAAATGACGAACATAAATTTTTTTTGTAATAACTACATGAGAAATGTGAGTCTTTTTTATTCCTTTTGAGGAGGTGTTGGTTGATTTGATGGTGTGTTTGAGTTAAACAAAACAAAAAAAAACGAAACGAAATGAAATCGAAAAACAACAACGACAACGACGACGACAATGATGATCGGCGAGACCAACAACCAACCAAATATTGAAAGACCAAACGCACACCTGACATAGACACACACACACACATCATTTAATCAAACTGTTAGAACAAATCCATATACATACTTTGATGAATGCTACTACCAAAAAAAAAAAAAGAAAGAATGATTTGTATTTTCATCAATTCATTGATGTTCAAATGATAAGTTGAAATATATGTATCGAAGCAACGTGTTTTATAGCTACAATTAATTCGGATAGATGTCACTACTTCTTTTTTTTTGAAAAAAATATATTCCATCAATATTTGATAAATTAAATCCAAAAAATTTTTAAATCAACAATCTATATTTAGATAATGGGCGTTTCATTAGCGTTTCCATATAGTTAACCAACAATAACAAGTCAAAAAAAATCATATTTTTAATGGTCATGATTGTAATAGGAATTTTTCATGATCATTTTGTTATGAAAACAAAAAAATGATAAACATTTATTTTTTGAAATTTTTTATTCTTATTTTAATGAAATCATCAGGAAAAAAAAGTGACGAGACAAAAGCAACAAGTATACATATGTATGTTAACAACGCATATATTTTTTTTTTGTATGATGATCATTGTTGTTGTATATGTGATGAAATCTATTTATATACGAAACAAATACAAAAAAAAATTCTATATAGAATATGGATTATCATTAAGGTGATGTAGGCTTATGTGATTAAAAATCAGTTAGTTACAAAATCATAATATTATTAATAATAAAAATCATATATTTTGTTTGAACTATATAGATTTGTCGATGATGATGATGATGAGATTTGCACATGCACCTGGCTCTAATAAATGTTATAATATTTTCTCTAATTGATGATTGATGTATGGATATACACAAAATATGGCTGTATTTAAAAAAAAAATCTATGTACAAAAGTTTATTCTTTGAATATTTTTGCATGTAGAAAAATTATTCTGATTTAATAATAAAGAAAAAAGTATTTACAAAAAAAAAGCATAAAATATTGTTGTTGGTATTGTCGTAAGGGGAGTGAAGAGTGTCGAGATAAAATTCATTCAAATTTAGACAATAGATCGGATAGTATTTTGAAGCCCGAATAGTTGACAAGTTGATAATTAAATTGAATAGTTAAGGCATGTGACTGGAATATGACCATCACCAAAAAAAGGTCAATCCAAATGAAGAAACTCGATAGATAAAGTGTTGACTTTTGAAAAAAAAGACTCGTTCAACATTGACTGTCACAAGTGTACAGTAAGGTTTCAAGCTCTTGGAATATCTAAATCATCAATAGAAAAAAAATAAAAAGTTAGAAATTCTTTTCAATTTTACATTAGTAAATCATTGAACAAACTTTTTTCATCCAAACATTATCCTGAAGACATTCATGTAAAATTATATGGGATTCTTTATTGGCATCTTTGCTTTGTATTTCCTCAACCTGTTATTGTTATTGAATACAAAAATATTAACAATGTATAAAATTTTTTTTTTAAAAAACATTGCTTACTTTTGCTTTGCATAACAGGAAAAAATTTAATCTATGATGATATAATTTGGAAAAAAGAAAAATTTTCTCTGTACAATTATCACAAACAGCAATTTTAACTTTCTTATCGGTCGATGCGGCAACGATAGCATCATTAGATAATTTTTCCAAAGTATCACGATTGTATGGTTCACCATCAAAATACAATATCTTAGTACTCCAATTGTCATGGCATGACTGTTTTTTTTTAATTTCAAATAATTAAAATAAAATAAAATAATTATTACGAAATGACATACCCGACATCGAAGGTCTCCAACATTATTTTGCTTATTGATCTGTATGTTGGTAAATGTTTCGAAATTTTTTAGTATAACACTGTCCCATTTGAATTTGGCGATAAAACGTGTCCTACGTGAATGACAAACTTCTTCGATTGCTTGCATATGTGATAAGAAATAATCATCTGTTTTTGGAGAAAATATATGATCAATATTAAATCAAAAAACAAAAAACAAGAAAAATTCATACCATTTTCTTTGACAATTTCGGCAATAAAATTCGGATCCAATGCTTGACTGATCAATGTCTGAATTAATACTTCAAAATTTTCAAAACAATTAGTAACATTTGAAGGCGATGAATCGGTTGGCAACGAATTATTCTCTTTTTCATTGATGCTTGAAACATCTCTGTGGAGTATATGACTAAAAATTATTATTGTCTGAAATTAAAGTTCTGGTTTGAATTACCTTTCATTTTTGTTACGAGTGAGACCTATTTTTTCTACAACAATTCTTGTTCGATTACATCCCATAATTCTCACATCTAATCCAAGATATTTTTGTCTGACTGTAGGATTCCAGGCCGAATACTGAGTGTTTGAAAAAAAAATAAGAAATGAATTCAATTAAAAATTCAAAAGAAATTTACCGAAGAAGTATTAATGTAGATGGTGATTCCATTCTGTTCTGATGGTTCGAATCTTTGCAAAAGACTTTTGCCTTCTATACGCCAAATGACAGGTAAATCCAAATGTGCTTCTTCTTCAGCGACAACAAAATCACCCGTTCGCATCAAACCTTCACGAATAGTTGAAATCTTCTTATCTTGAGATCTTCGACGAGATGAATTTGGACTACATCCGATGGTGGTTGTCGTTGTGTTACTAGTAGTCGAACTAGCGACACTTTGTGTATTCAACGCTATAAAAGATTGTGCTGTCAATGATGGAATCGGTGTAGTATTAGCCGGATGAATCGAAATCAGAACAGCGTTGGTCATTGGCGACACTTGATATGGTTGAACAGAATGATGACCTTGATTGACAATCAATGTTGGAGTAACGTTTGTCAAAGTTGGTGGATTCACAGCCGAAGATTTAGCTGCATTCAAACATTGAGAAGCGTTAAAAAGATTCGGCGATATTAATGCCTGTTGTTGATTGGTATTGTTGTTGTTGGTGACCAATGATACTCTGGGTTTAGTTGTAATAGTTTGTGATAAGTTTGAAAGATCATTTTTTACTTTAGCAGCAACAGTTGTTGTGTTCAGTTTATTTGTCGATATTGATGGTGAAGGCAATAACGGTTTATTTTCTGATGTATGATTCTTCACAGGTTTTTTATTCATCGATTCTTTTTTGTTGCAATCGTTTTTTGTTTTCGATGATTGTTGTGACGGTTGATGTGAAATTGCAAGTTTTTTATTGTTTATTATACTATTCAATTTTAAAGAGTTTTGAATATTTGATATATGATTATTCGATATGTCTTTAGGAGCTATTGGTATTGATTTGTCATTCATTGATAAAGAGGAAATGGAATTCGAAGATAAGATAGGTAATGATTTTATTGTGGCCATCGTTATTGATGTTGTTGTCGGAATATTTTTATTACAATTTTCTTTCACTTCAGAACATGATGATGAAATTTTTGATTTTTTATCCAATGTTGAAAGTTGTTTAACATTATTCTTAGCTGGTTTTTTATCATTTTTGCCGCTTTTAACAGATTTTTTATCTACTTTAGATTGTATAGCTAAATTTTTGTTTTTAACTTCAAAATTACAGCTAATTTGTTTTTTCTTATTATTTGTGATATTTTGAGTGTTGGCAACTTTTTTCTTTTCATTCTTATTCTTGGTGAGATTATTTTTTGTTGCAGGCATTATTGAAGATAACACAGGAAGAATCAGACGCTGATTTTCATTGGAGAGATCGGTTATTGATTTAATTGTTGAATTGTTGATATCTTTATTAGTAGTGTGATTTGCTGAGAATATTTGTGGCGTATTGACTGTTTTGGCTTTTTTCGTTTTTACCACTATAGTATCTTGTTTATCTTTTTCTATAGTCGATGATAGACAAGTATTATCATTTGTATTTGATTCTACGGGATTATTTTTATTTTTTTCTGCTTTCTTCGATTTTTGGTCATTTGAGTGGCAACGAGATTTTAATTTATTAGAGCTGTTAGATGAATTATCTTTTTTCGATTTTTTTATGGTGCATACATCATCTTTATTAATATTTTCTGTATCTAATTTACGCTTATTTGTTAAAGTTTTATGTTTTTGTTGCTTTTTTGTATCATTCGATTGATTTCCACTTTTTGAAATGGATTCTGAATGAGTATTTTTTGAAGAAGATTTTCGAGCTTGTGAATTTGATATGGACGTTTCTATAGAAGAAGGCAAAGATGATAACTTTTGTGGTGAAGTTAGCTGATCATTTGAAACCTGTTGAATGATGGGAATAGAGGAATCTTGATCGATTTGCTTCGATGAATGTGAAATTGGCATAGCCGAGGTGACTTTGGTATCAATAGACTCATTTCTACATTCGGAATTCGAAGTAGTATCTGTAGGATTTACTGGAGATTCTTTATAGTTACTTTTAAGAAATTCATCAACGTCCCTGAATTGATTATCAGGATCTTCTTCTGCGCCTGGAATAATCACTGATGGTTGTGAAGATGTTGATTTATTCGGTTTGTGATTAAATTCAACTGTCGGCAATTGATGATCATCAAAAAGACTTTTCTGTATTTTATCGAATGTTGCTCCATTTCCATTAGCAACATTCGTATGTTCTTGAACGGTTGTTTCTATTGATCTTTTAAATGTGGATTCCATCAAAGCTATTTTCGAATTGTCATTCATTAAAGGTGCCAGATCAGATAGAAAGATATCAGCATGTTGATTATGGTGATGACCCTCATTTATCACCGTTTTATTAGTGTCGGCCGTTCGTACAACTTCATGTGAAATCAATTCCGCACCAGTATTATTGGATTTATCTACGGTTGGTAAATGACATTCTGGCTTTGGTAATGAATCTATCAATGATTCGATCGAAACATTACAACTTATTTCAGTTGCAACAGTTGTAGATCTTGATTCATCGTTAATCACTCGGCTATCCGGTATATTGGTATCATGACTAGATTCCTGAAAGGTCATGGTTGTAATCTGTTGAGGCTGATTACCATAGTTATCACTGCTCTTATCATTTTGTATAACATCTATAGCTGCTGCTGATGTAGAAGTTGTCGATGCTCTTGATGGAATAAAATTCAATTCATCTATTGTCGATTCGAATGAAACTGCTTCTGGTTCCATAACACCATCATTAATGTTTATTGTTTGGACAATATTGGATGATTGTTGCTGATCAGAATGTGGCGATGGCCGTTGTGGGTGAAGTTTACTATCATATAGATCAACATTATTGACGATTGGTTGTATCACAGATTCGAAGCTGCTTAAATTGAAATCATCTTTTTCATTATCATCTTCTTCTTCATCATCTTCGTCATCGTCATCGTCGTCTTCATCATCAACAATACCATCATCATCATCATCATCTTGTTGTTGTAAATATTCATTATTTTTGTTATTTTCATGACAAATCAGAAGAGAATTATCCGATGATTGAAGATGTTGTTCTTCCGGATTTTTTATACAAGAAGATAATTTGGCTTTAGATGCTTCAGGATATGAATTATGGCCGAATGAATTCTCCGAATTTGATTCAGAATAGCTATTGAAATCATAAGACGTTAAAGTAGATGTTTGGTCATCCATCTGAAGTTTTATTGTTGTCGACGATGTTTGATTGGTTGTCGTTGCCAATTGTCCAACAAGTGATGAATCATTACTTGGATCAACATAATTTCCATAACCAGTCGTTTCGGCTGAATCACTTGAAGACATCGATGTAACCGATGCTCCATTATTGATGGAATAATATTGAGGAGATTTATAAGCATTATTATCCATCACATTTGAAGTATATAAATTTGGAGAGCTTTGTTGTGATGGCTGATTTGAATTATTTTGCTGTTGAGCTGCAGCGGCAACCATACAAGAACTAAAATTCGATAAACTTTCCGACATATTGCTCGTACTATCAATATTATTGTTAACTTGTTTAGGTGATATTTGTGAGCCACAAGAACTTGTTGATTTATTATAATCATTCCGTCCATAAGATTGGTGGCTCATATTACTCGACATAGAATTATTTGAAAATGGTGACAATTCTTCATTCGAATTGCAACGAGAATTTGAATGACCAACGCTACTGGGTGGTGTTGGATAACCGGGTGTCGGTGTTGGAGTTTGCGATACATTTCCAATCGTTGTAGTTGATGTCTGAAATGGTGGTGCTGAATTTGGTGTTCCATAGTTTGAATATTCTACACCAGTACCACCATTAACAGAATTACTTTGAATATTTTGTGAACCATTGGTTGCTGTACTTAGAGCACATGAAGAATTAATGCTGGAATGACTAGAATTTGATGTACTCGATCTGGTTTGTTGAAAAGGTGAGTGCCCGGAAAGATTTGTTGTAACTGGACTTGGATAATTATAATTGTATGTATCATTTGTTACGATCGATGGCTGTTGTTGTTGTTGTTGAGCATGGCCACTATGAGTACTGGCCACTGATGAACAACGTGAATGTGATGCGCCATTATTGCTTAAGATTGTATTATTATTACTATTGGTAATTGGGGATTGATTAGCCAAACAACAATTACTTCCATTGATATTGGCCACTGGAGTTGGCGTACAGGAATTTGTCGAATTAGCGACAAATTCTGGTTGATATAAACTGTTTAATTTATTATTGTTGACTTTCTGTGATGAATTATTTTTTCGAGTTTTTGAAGTCGATTTACTAGACGTCGAGGTTGTTTGATGTTGTCGTTGCTGTGGTGGTGGTTGCTGTTGTTGATGATGATTATGATAAACATTATTGGTTTCGGATATACAAGGAGTATAGACATCATCGGTAAAAAATAAATTCGAATGATGATGCGTTTTGAACGGATTCGAATTCATTGGAAAATCATCTGTATGATGAGGATGTGTTATCGTTGGAAATAAATATGGCGATGGATAATTTAGAAAATTCTGTTGATGATTTGTTGATCCTCGCTTAAAGTTTGTCGCTAACTGTGTTGGATAATCTGAAGATTGATAACAAGTGTTACCATTGTGATGATGATGATGATGATTATGTGCAGCAGCTGCGGCAGCCGCATATGCATTGTTCATCGCAGCCGAAGACATATATTGCTGATGATGAACATGAGATGCGGTTGAATCAGATTTATGATTAACATTATTCGCAGCTTGTTGCTGTTGTTGTTGCGGAGGCGGATGATTATATTGATGATGATGTTGTTGCTGTTGTTGTTGAAACGCCGCATATTCATTATTCTGATGATGAATAGCCTGTGCGGCAGCTAAACAAGCTGCTGTATAGTGATCATGAGCTTGAGCTGCTGCTTGCGCAAATTTGACACCTAAACCAGATGGATCAACCAATGAATTCTGATGTGTATGATGATAATTGTGACTATTACGATTCGAAGAATTCATTGATGATGATAGATTTTGCATTAGATCATATTTTGATTGAAGAGGAGCTTGATGAATGTTTGGAAACGAATGTGATGATAATGCTGCCGTCGAAGATGTATTACCATTTTGGTATGGTTTTTGATGATGATTATTCGTATTTAAAGAGTTAGCAGTATTATTATTTAGATTCTGATTATTATCACTTTTGTTATTATTGTGATGAGATTTGGTCGATAACAAATGTTGATTAGACGTTGTTGATGAATTGACTTTATTGGAACTTGAAGGACAGGTGGGCAAACCATGTGGAGTCATACAGTTAGATAACGGTACATTTATATTATTTGAATGAACACGTGACGAATTCGTTGTATTAATCACATTTTCAGGAGTAACTACACTATTCATCACGTGGCCATGTTGTTGTTGTTGCTGATGGGGATGATGATGATCAAACACATGTCCATTATTATTTGAAAAATTTTGGTGCCAACCATTTGTTGGTGGTTGCAACGAATGTGAACAGAAAAAACCATTATGATAATCTCTTAATGAAGATGCACTATCCATAAAGGAATCATTTGACGTTGCATGCATATTGTTCATTCCTTTGACCGATGTTCTCGAAGATTGTATTGGTTCGACAGACGTTGGTCCATTCATCCCATTTTTATAATTGGATGAATTATCAACAACATTTGACTTATTGTTCATTGTCATTGTGGTCGGATCCATAAATCCGAACTCTGAAGCCATTGATGACAAATATTGATTAGCCGAGGATTTTGTTGAAGTTTGTGATTGTTGATGAGCGGCAAACGATGCGGCAGCTGCCGCTGCTGCAGCAAAATTAGTATCATAAACTCCTGAATGATGATGCGGTGGTGGTGGCAAATGACCTGCAAATGGATTTGAATTGAATGATGGCACATTCGAAGCTGCATTATCGGTATGGCCATTTATATCATAAGATGATGATGAAGAATTGTCAATATGATTGGTGTGTTGTTGCTGTTGTCTTGAATTATGAAATAACCACGGTGAACAATTCGTAGATCGATAATGATGGCTATTTATAAATGATTGGTGATCAGTTTCACCAGCGGTTGTCTGATTCAACGTTTTTGTTCCATATTGATTCATTTGATGTTGTTGTTGCTTTTGGTTTGTCTTGGTCGCATTACTGATAATTAAATTTTTGGTCGGCTGCTGTTGACAATTATTTGATGATGGAAGTGTATTGACACTGGAAGCTGCAACAGCAGCAGCAGCAGCCACGTGATGATGTAGACCATTTCTGTTTTGAGTCATCATTTGTTGTGATTGACAAACAGCATTATTCATCAACTGATGATTTCTTGTTGCCGTTGTTGTTGATGATGCTACTTGTCGTAGATGATGACTATATGGATCCATCCATTTTGATGGATCCATGATTATCGATATTGTTTCGATTTGATTGATTGATTTTCAATCAAATCAAAACAAATTGATTGTTTATTATGATGATGATGATAATAATAATATTATTATTGCCAAATTGTTTTTATTTGGCTTTATTTTCCAATCATTCATTTCAATCGGATATTATTTTTTATTTTTATTTTTTAAAATAAGGATTATTATTATTATTGTTGTCAAATTGTCAGCTGTTTGTTTTAACAGAAGAGAAAAATTAATCATTTTATATTGATTTATTATTCGATAGAATAAAATTTTAAACTTACTTATTTGAATAGATATGATAAAAATTTAAATATAGGCGATATCAATCAAATATTTTTTTATTTCGCATTAACACACACACACACACACTTCTACATTTAAAAGCAGATAAATTGATGGATGAATGAAAAAAAAACAAAAATACCAACAACAAATCAGATTATATTCTTAAATGTGGTCCATAAGTGGACTGAAATAAAAAATTGACAATGACAATGATGAATGGTCAGGTAGAATTTTCTTATTTTAATAATTATAAAAATTATTTTCGTCGAATTCCGGAAAACAAAATCAAAAATCGTTTGATGAAATTATTCAATTAATTAATTTCATTTTTTTTTTTGCCATAAGATACACAACATAAAAAAAACATATCTTCATCATCATTAGTAATTTAATCAATAATAAATAACAATATCGATCGATTGTTGCTGTTAATAATAATAATAATTCAATGTCGTAGACCAAATTACACTATCCGATTATTATTATTATTATTATTAAAAATATATCATTTTATTATTATATATTGTGTGGTACATATATCAATTTGATGATGATGTCGATATTATTATTGTTGATGATGATGTTGTTGTTGTTGTTGTTGTTGTTGTTATTGTTGTTGATGATGATGATGATGATGATGATGATAACAACAATTGCCCTATGTCTGCATATATATAAAATGTATATTTGTTTGCGTATATATACAATATATAAGCGCGGCCTATAGACATGTATACATTATATACATGGAACATAGAAAAAAAATGATAATAAAACAACGACAAAGCATCCCAAAAAAAAAGAAAAAAAAAGTGAAGGAAAAATTCGGCAGTGATTGCCCTCCCCTAATTTATATTATTATCATTTCTCTCTCTCTCTCTCTCCCTCTCTTTCCTATATAGATTATGGTCACAATCAATTATGTTGATCATTTGTATTGCCTAAATTAATGAATAAATTTATAGAATCAATAAAAACTATATCCAACATTATTCTGAACGTCTATCATTTCCCGTAATATGTATCTTTTTCAATAATGTGACCAAAACATTTATGCGTACGTTGAGGAAGAATACAACAACAACAAAAAACTTTGGAGAGGGAGAGTGGCTACTCGCTATACTCGCTATAAAAGAGACAAGACGACGACAAAACAAGGATTCGATTAATCGGGAATGGGAAAATGTGTATAATATGGAAAAAAGAAAGAGAACGCGCGCGCTAACAATAATAATAACAATTGGGCAATATTCAAATAGTACGTAACTACTAAGTGTGTATCTTTTTTCAATATTTATTAGGTTGTGGCATCCAAATTAGAGATGCTTTCCTTTCTATCTCTTTTATTTTTTGCAAACAACTCTCAGCAACAAAAACAAAATTCCAATATATATTGGATCATTACAATTGCAATGTTATTATCAACAATAACAACAACAACAACAACAACAACACTGAAGACAACATGAAAGATAAAAGATCCTATAGTATCCTATGGTATAACATGGAACATTGATGCGCGCTATGCTTTTGTGTGTGTGTGAATGAGCAAGATTTTTTTTTTTTTTTGTTTTTCATTTACCAAATTTCGTTTTTCTTTACACAAATACGCATCATATTTTCACATCATCATCATATTACATTTTGTCGCGACGGAAAAAAAAAATTTGTGTTCGCCATGTCGACACACACACTAAAAACATAATAATAGAAACACTAATTCACGAGCTTTGACACGCGTCATCAAAATTTTTTTGGAGGGAATGACAAGATTGAATGAGGGTGTTTATAGTAGTTATATAATGGTTAGTTTATAGAGAGAGAGGGTGCACGGTAAGATTCAATAAGATAGTGAGAGAGAGAGAGAGAGAGAGAGGGGTGATGGTTGCATTGCAATTCCATTTTGGATAGTATTAGGTAACAAAAAAAAACATATAACATAAATATCACATAGCATCTTCTTCTTCACCAACCAAAAAAAAAAAAAGATGTTCGCTCCAAACTTTTTCATAAGGATTCATACATCTTTGCTCATCACTTTCTTATCTATTTTCTATGGTGTTTTTTTTCTTCTTCTGTTGTTGTTGTGTTCGATTTCATTTTCATTGAAATTCTCAAATTGAAATGAATTGAATTAAAATTTCATTTTCGTTTCTGTTTTGGATGTTTTTGGGCCTCATTTTTTTAATTTGGATTTTTTTTTCTTAGCTAAGAATGAAAACGAAAAAAAAGAAATATTTCTTTCACAATATAATGGTCGATGAATCATCTAGTCATTGTCCTCGTAAAATTTTAACAAACAACAAACAACAACAAACAAACAAAATTCTATAGATAAACAATATAAATTGATGATTGACCAATGAAAAAAAAATTCTGAATAAATAGAGAATGAACAGAGTAACAAACTTTGAAGATATCTTATATTCTTCCCGTTTGAAAATCAATCATAATTTAAGACGACGCATGACTTGAATTCTTGTTCCGTGTGAATAAATTAATGAATGAATTGAATTGAATTGAATTGGATGATGATCAAAGAAAATCTAAGCGAAAAAAAATGAATGAATGAATGAATGAATGAATTATTGAAAAAGGTCAACAGCAGGATTCTTTTCTTTTTCTTTTATCTTGCTGTTCTTATCCGGGCAGACTTAATTCACTAACTATTTAGCTTTAACTTATAATATTTGTATTTGTAAATTTGTTTTGATTGAGTAGTTCAAGACACAGGTCAGGTCATTAAATACACACAAACACACACACTTAATAATCGAATAATGATGATCATTCAAAAGAAAAGAAAAACCTCGCCCGCCCGCCTTCGCTTTGTGAAATAATTACAATTCTTTTCAACCACCAACACCGAACAAACGAAAAAAGAACTGGTTTTTGATCTTAATCAAGAGGGGGTGAAATTTTTTTTTATTTATTTACACGTTCAGGTTTACCATCAAATGGATCAAATTATGATTGATATATTTGATGATTATATAATATAGTAGTAGTAGTAATAGATTGCGTAAACAGGTCAGGTATGTGATTTATTTCATTTATTTTTTCTTTTTTAAGCATCCGATAGGAATTTTTTTTTGTTGTCTTTTGTACAAATTGATAATAATGATGAATATTTAAAAAAAATTCTCTTATTTTTACCGAATTCAAACGATAGATGGCGAATAAGTTTGTCTTTTTATTTAAAAAAAAAAAATATGATGATGGAATTTATGAAAATTTCAAAAAAAAAAAAAAAAAATATATACTTCCCCTTGTTAACAACTATGTATGTGTTGATCGCGTCCATCGTCATCATCTTTTGTCGTCGTCATCATCATCGTTGTTACTGTTGTTGTTCAACAAAAAAAAAACATTCAATTTCAAATTTAGAATTTGGGCGTGTATTCATTCGTTCTTGGCATTTTCTTTCTTGGTTCCAAAATAAACCATATTACAAAAGAAAGAAAGAAAGAAAGAAAGAAGCTAACTATCATTTCCATAGTTCAATGTTATGATGATGATGATCCATGAAAGTGTTGACCATGAATACCACTGCCTATATTTCATATATAATAGGTACGTGATTCTACAGGCTTTAGCGTTAGCGGTATTTTTTTTTGTTGGAACTCTACAACAACCAAAGAAGATGGAATAATTCTGGAATAAAAACAAATTTCTAAATATCGTAGTAGTTATGATTATGGTTGCATTTTATAGTTTTGGCCAATCGACCTTAAAAAAACATTGAACATAAAAAAAATTGTATTTATGGAGGGGAAAAAGAAAACTATAGAATCAGTATATCAGTATCTTGCTACTACTCGATTCTGTATAGAGATTCTGTGTGTGTGTGTTGAGATGACATTTGGAACCACCAACAACAACCAGAAAACAAAATTCTAAATACAAAATAAGGTACGCATCAACAATTCCATAAATACGGCACAAACAACAAAAACTACTACTACGACTAGAATCAGCCACTATCATCACTATGATAGAAAAAAACCGATAGTTTCATTTTGGAACACCCGAATTCATACACACACAACAACCGAAACAAACACTGTTTTTTTTCTATTCTATTTTTTCTATTCATTTTTTTGGGAAACAAGAAGAAAAAAACCGAATTGAATTCATATTTTACTGAAAGAAAACACGATGACAATGATGATGACAACAACAATAACAAAGTGATGATGATGATACCTCACAATGTTGATAAGTTTTTTTGTTAATATTTCCTATATTCGTCTGATATTTATGTGCATAGTATACAATCATCATCATCATCTATTAATGGACAACAACCAAAAAAAACCAAAAAAAAAACTAGGAGATCCAAAAAAGAATTAAGAAGAATCAAAACAACAACAACAACAAATGACAAACAAAAAGCTCAATGAAAATATTTGTCATTTTTTTAACAAAAAATTTGTAAAACAAAAAATTATTTCTGTGTGATTAGGAGTGATCATCAAACAATTTTTTCAATCAATATTTTGTATATTTTTGTTGAAATAGCCGCCCATTTTTTTCGAGAAAAAAAAATCATCCATTTTTTTTGATTCTCATTTCATTGATAATGATGATCAAAAAATGTGTAAATGTGTGTTTCGAAATGAAAAGAAAGAAATGAAAAATGCTCAACAAAAAAACAAATAAGAAAACAAAGTAATTAACAGTAAATATTCTATTTTTTTAAATAAAATAAAAATGAAGAACTGATTGATTTTCATTGAAAATGTATTGTAATAGAATATTTTTTTGGAAAATTCATCATCATGATGATGATCATGATAACAATAATAATAATTTCTTCGTTTGTCATTCAACACAACAATTTTCTCATCAATTTCGATTCAAATCATCATCAACATTAGTTAGTTGAGCTTGTTGTTGTTGTGCAATGCCCTCACATTTGTGATTTTTTTTTCTATTAAAAAAAAAGAAAAAGAAAAATATTTTTCACCGCCCATTCAATTCAATTCATTTCGAAAAATCATCATCATTGAAAATCGAATTCGAAAATTAAACAAAAAAACAAAAAAATTAACCAAAAATGTCGACCAGAGATGTAAATACTCAAGATCATCATCATGTTTATCAATATGTTGGACCATATCGTTTGGAAAAAACATTGGGCAAAGGACAAACAGGCAAGTTTTTTGTTTTCTTTCATTTTGTTATAGGTCACTTTTTGTTTATCATGATGATGATCATTTTTTTTCTTCATTCCAATTTTTCATTCTAATCTAATTTTATTGAAACTTAGAATGGTTCGTTGGTTGGTTGTTTGTTGTTCTGGAATTAAAGCCTTCGGGACATTCTATTTTTTTTTTTTTTTTGATCTCGTTTTCATCTATTTATTTTTATCAACAACAATAAGTTGATCTGCTGATACTATTAGATTCTCTGAAAGCAATTAGAACATTCATAGAAATGAATTTAATCTTTTTTTGCTTTGTTTTTTTTTTGTTTGATTATAAATTCTATCGATCCATCTTTGTTGTTGTTGTTTTTCATTCCAAAATCATTCCAATATCCAAAAGGAATTAGATAAAATGAAATTTGCGTTTTTTTCCCAGTTAAAATTACTGGACAATAATCAAATTATCCGAGCGAAAAACAAAACAAAACAAACCTTCAAGCCTATAGCCAAATTTGATGAATGGTGATGATCATCATCACCATTTAAATAATTTTGATAGCATCCTTGTGGTTGTAGTTTTTTTCTGAATTACTTTATGGCACGAAATGTGCTAAATGTCATATTTCAAACAAAAAAAAAATCACAATGAAATTTTGTATATGAGATTAGTGATTTGTTGTTGTTGTTTTTTTTCATCTGATGAATATCTATCATGCAATGTACGCCTCTACAGAATACACGCACAGAATCAGTGAAAAAAAAGAAGAGAAAATTCACAATCACAATCACGAATTAGTTGAAAACAAGAATTTTCTGGATCTTTATAATTTGACTTTTCTTTCTTTCATTGTGATTTAATAACTTTTAATTTCATAATTTTGTTTGACTTGCACATTACTTACTTACTTACTTACTTATATTAGTAACCGGTTTTGTAATTATTATTGTAAATTTTACTCACAAACAAACGTTTGTATTGTTTTAATCTATTCCATTAATCTATTTTCTTCAATTCATCAATTTTTAATCAATCGAATGTAAATAAACAAACAGAGCCAAAAAAAAATTAATAAGATCATTGTTGGCTTAATTATATCGTGAACTAAGTGGACAGACAAAGATAGATGGAGAAATTGTGTGTATTAACCTATAGCCAACAACAACAACAACAAAAACCCGAAAAAAAAGTTCAATAATAAATTCACTTGAGAATTTCAATTTGTTTGTTTTTTTTTGTCAAGTATTAAGCTACCACTTTTCTGTTGTTGTTTCGTATACATTTGAAATGGATTTTTTTTTTTTTTTGGCAATTGTCAAAACAAATGTTTGTGACATTTATTCTCTTTTTTTTTTGCTTTCCATTATATTTTGACCGTTTGTGACGTTTATTCTGTTCATTGGGATTTTAAATTTACGAAATATATTTTTTCTTCGTTGCGTTCGTTGACATGAACAAACAAGATAAAAAAAAAGTTTGACAAAATGATAGACGATTCTATATTTTTTTTGCAAAGTTGATTGAAAATTTTTATCCATTTCCAATGATGATAATGATGATGATGGTTTTTTTTGTTATTCATTTCATATTCAGTGAAAAAAAAATGATAACGATATGCAGAATATATATTCCAAATATTGTCTCTTGAGGTCAAAATAGAATTCGAACGAATATGAACAAATTAAATATATGTGAAAATAGTGGAAATTGTAGAGAAAATGACATTTACCTATCATCCTACGTACATCTTAATCACAGTCACCAATGTGGTTATAAAATATTTATCAGGTATTATCAGTGAAAAGTAGTAAAACAAGCTAAAAAAAAGCTTAATAAAAACTATAGTTTGTCATCGATATTATAATAATGATGAGACATTTCCTGACTGAAAAAAAAACGAAGAGAATGAAAGAATAAAAATCAAATTTTCATCCGAATCGATGATTTAACAAGAAAACACAAACAGAAAGAAAATCTTATTCTTTACATTATTTTTGGTTTTATTATTTATAAAACAAAAAACAAAACAAAAATGTCCAGAATCAAAAATAAATTACATCCGTTTTTTTCCCTTCTCTAAAAAAAAACCTGAGCAAAAATATCATAAATTCCAAGCGTCTAATCAAATCCTATCATTATCATTGTATTTTTCTACTTCTTATTCTTCCTTATCCAGTTAATTAATTGGACACGCAAAATTGGATCCATTTTCAAAATGATGATGATGATGATGATGATGATCCTATTTTTGCCAATCATAGTTATTATTATTATTATAATCAGATGCTTTTCATTGTCCTCATCGCCATCGCCATCATCATCATTATCATCATTTGGATTGAATGAATCCAAACAATAATAAAAAAAAAAAGAAGATATTTTCTATCACGGAAATTTGATAACCTAAAGGTGGTTATCATCATTTTTTTTCTACTTCTTCATTGTTTTTTTGGTTAATGTACAATCAACATTCATATAAAATGAAATTTACTTGTGTTTTTCTTCTTCTTCTTCTTTTTCCCTTTCGTTTGTTTTTTTTTGGATGATATTCGAGAATTAAGCAAGGCGAATACTGAAATGAAAAAAAAACTGAAATGTGATTTCATGATAATGACACGATATATTAACCAAACAGGGAGGAAAAATGGGGGGTAAAATATGAAACAAAAAAAAGATGAAATTTTTCATTCATTTTTTCATTCTTATTTCAATTATTTTATATTATAATAATGTTTATCAAGTAGAAATAATTTCTTCTTCTTTGTTTTGTTTTTTTCATCTCAATGCTCTTAAACAAATAATAATGAATGAAAAAAAAAGTTAGAAAAAAGTATGTCGTTATCGTAAACAACAACAACAACAACAACAAAAAAACAGCAACGAAACTATTTGAACCAGAAAAAACAAAACAAAACAAAACCTCTATACACCCACACACACACACACCTATTTAACACCCACATGGTAAATCCAAATGGTTCGAAAGAACAAAACGAAATTTCCAAAAGAATAGAATATTATGAAGATAAACATCTAACAATGGTGGAAAACTTTTTTTTCATTTTGTTTTGTTGTTGGTTTCTTTTTTGCTTGTTTGGTTTCATATTCTTTTGCATATTGGATATGCAAAAAAAAAAATTGACGAAGCATGTATTTGTGGAGGGGGAAGAAACAAAAAAAAGGTGTTTTTGATGTTTTCTACAACAACAACAACAACAAACATCATTTATTTCCATATACATTTTTCAATATAATATTTATGTACGATCCAGAAACAAACAAAAAAAAATTTGATTTCATCATTCTTGCTGAATATTCCGTATTTATTTACCATTATTATTCTTTTCAACAACAACAACAAATTCATTTAGATTTTTGTTGATGATTTTGCTTGATTAAATTTTTTTTTTATATTCAACTGCTTTCAACAACAACGATAATTCCGATTGAATTTTTTTTTCATCACCATCACCATCATAATTACAATATTATTAATGCTTGAATATTCACATATAAAAATAACTGTATATTCTGGTTATTCTGTGTGTGTATGTGTGTTATTAATTAAATAATACGGTTGTTTTTTGTTCCGAACTCGTTTTTTGTTGTTGTTGTTGATGAAATGAAGAGAGCTAGAGAATGAAGAAAAATTCATTCTATTCAAACTATAATGTTGGCCGTTTAGAATAAGTGTCGGCTTTTTGAAAAAATAAAAATGATGATGATGATTTTTTTACTGAAAACTTTATTCTGTCTTTTTTCTTCACTATAGTTTAATTTTCATTGTTATGTTTCTTGTTATTGTTGTTGTGCATCATAATTTTTCATTTAATCAATCTTGGTTGGTGGTTCATGATTTGAGAAAAGAAACAAAATCTCTTGATTCTTGAATCGATTTTCTTTTTCATTCTGATTCTGATTCTGTTGTATTAATTCTGGATCGTGATCTTTTTCTTGTCAGATTTTTTTTTTGTTTCACTATCACTATAGTATGTGAATGTGTACAAGTATATATCTTTTTTTCTATGTATATGTGTTTCAAAATAAAGTGAATGAAATGAACCGACCCAAATAACATTTACATTGATATAAATTATAATTTTTAATGTTGACACCACTGTATATACTAGGCCATAGGAATTATTTCTAGTGAGAAAATCAAATGAAGAAAAAAAAATAGTGTCCAAACAGCAAACACAATAATCCAAACCAAGTGAAGATGAAGAAGACAAAAAGTTAGTGGTAGTCAATTCACAACAACAACAACAACGATTACTGATTAATGGAATCGGTCCAATCTATTTTTCTCACTCTCTTCGTTCAATATTCTTCTTCTTCTTCGTTTTTCGTTCATGAATGAATAAAATATTGTTACAATACAGAAAATATATTTGTTATTATAAATAAAAATGACAATCAAGTTGAACTTCGATAGCCAAAAGATAGCCAAAACAAACTTATCCAAAAAATACAGATTCGATAAGAGAGCGAAGGATATATCTAAACTAAAAATGAACGAAGAAGAATCCATTTAATGTACATTATTCATTGATTATGTACAGTGTGTACACCCTTGAATGTTGCTAAAAATGGACTAATAATAAAAGATCAATTTTTTTTTTTGCTGTTGATAATAATAAATTATTAAAAAGTTATTAATTTTAAATATGGTTCTTTTTGGAAAATTTTTCTTGTAAGAATTGCATTTATCGATAAGATTTCTGTAGAAAACACTATTAATATTTGTCTTCGAAAATAGATAGACAAGAAACGAGACGAAAAAAAAATTTAAGCTTTTTTTGGTTTGGTTTCTATTAATATCCATAATTAATTACGGATAAAATCAATTTTTTTTTCGATTAAAAATCATTCAAATTTTTCTTATTCTTTTTCTTTTTCAAAATATATTTAGGTCTAGTCAAATTAGGAGTTCATTGTGTGACGGGTAAAAAAGTAGCAATCAAAATTGTTAATCGTGAAAAACTTTCCGAAAGTGTCCTACAAAAGGTTTGTCTCTACAAATGATTAATTTAAAAAAAATGAAAATTCTTATCAAATCATTTTAGGTGGAAAGAGAAATTGCCATCATGAAATTGATTGAACATCCACATGTTCTACATTTATATGATGTATATGAGAATAAAAAATATTTGTAAGTTTGTAAAAAACATTTTTTGTTTTGTTTCGATTTTCAATAATAATAATCTTATCATTTTTTTATATTAGATATTTAATGTTAGAACATGTAAGTGGTGGTGAACTATTCGATTATCTAGTCAAAAAAGGACGCCTTACACCAAAAGAAGCTAGAAGATTTTTTCGTCAAATCATTTCGGCACTCGATTTTTGTCATAGTCATCTAATCTGGTTTGTTTTTTTTTGTTTTTGATTTTTTTTATTTTGTAAGAATGAAAAAATAAACTCAATTTTTACATTCATCTTATACTATATTTTTATAGCCATAGAGATTTAAAACCAGAAAATCTATTATTGGATGAAAAGAATAATATAAAAATTGCCGATTTTGGTATGGCATCATTACAAATCGATGGTTCAATGTTAGAAACATCATGTGGAAGTCCTCATTATGCTTCGCCTGAAATCATCAGGGTTTGTATATTTTGTTTTGTTTTTCTTTTCTTATGGTTATAATATTATCATTATCATCATCTCAATAACAATTTAAATGAAAGTACAGTGTACCCAGAATGAAATAAAATGAAATGAACCAATACACATTATCATCCTTTCCTGTTTTTGTTTTTTTGGTTTTCATTTATAATAGAAAATTCTTTAATACCGTATATGTATTGGTGAAACGATTTCCCGTTTTCTTCGTTTTTTTTTCACTCATAAAAAAGATACAGTATTTGGTTCTGTATCGAGAAATAAAATGAGAAAACAAAAAATAAATAAATAAATAAATGTTATTACAATTGATGATGGTTGGCCCTACACACACACACACACTAAATGACTGCCAATCGATCCATATTGATGCGATTCGGTGTTTGTTTGTTTATGTGTGTGTGTGTATGATGGTGGTGGTTATATTTATTTCCACACACACACACACACACACAAACACATTACAATATTAACCTTAATAGCTTTTTCTAATATCTAAGCCATCATCAATGATTATTCTTTTTTTCTTTTTCTTAGGGATCATTTTGTAGATCCAAACACACATTCTAAAAGCAGCTACATAGCCACTACATTTGACATTGTAATTATCATTATTTTTTTTTTCGTAGAAAACAATACCAAAAAAAAATGTTTTGCTTCGTTGTTTTGCTGTTTCTCTCACTAACACGATTACCCTTATACGAAGTTTATTTTTGGATTGATGATTATGTTGGAGATGATGTCAAAACAATTAATTACAAAAAATTATGTTGACGATAATGACATTTTCATTAAATGTCAATAGTGACTCTATTAATATTTATCTATTCGATTGAGATATTTTTAAGTATTGAACTTGTTGTCATAAAAATAATCAATTATAACTCGAAAAAAAAATTTATAAAAGCAGATTTTTTCTAGAAAAAAAAAACAATCCAAAATCCATGTTTATGAAGATTTTAATTTTACCAAGCAAAAAAAAACGAAGAATGAATGAAAATTCCTATCACGATCGATAATCTAAGTGAGATGATCATGCATATATCTCGTTATTATTATTATTTTTGTTTTTTTTTTGTTTAATGAATAAATAAATGATTCGAATGACAATGACAACTACCGTACGCCCATCTGGTCATCTTCAGGCTTGAACCAAAAAAAAAGCAGGAAAGAAAAAACAAAAACACCAATTATGAAATATGATGATGATGAACAACTTGAAACTAAACCAAATCACCATTTGTTCACTAAAAATGAAATTGGTCCATTAATAATTTCTTTCGGTTTCTATTTGTTTCCTTTCACTTTTCCTAATTTTTTTCTATAGGGTGAAAAATATGATGGAAGGCAAGCAGGTGAGTGTTTGTTGTTGTTTTTTCTATGTTAATTTTTTTGGTTTTCGTGTTTGTGATGGTGACGATTATATCGTTTGCGTTGTTAGAATTTATTTTTTCTACTGTTTTCTTTTTTTGCTAAATATAATTGGAATAACTGATCCATTTTTGTTCATTTATATTCTTTGTTTCTTTCATATTTTTTTCCCCTTCCAAATTTGTTGTCATCGTCATTTAGATGTATGGTCAGTTGGAGTCATTCTATATGCTCTTCTTGTGGTAAATGATTATTTTTATTCTCTCATTTTCGATGATAATGATGATTACATTTTTTCTTTCTCTCTCTCTATCTGATTCTGATAAATTTTCATAAACATGTTTGGCTCAAATAATAACAACAACAACAACAACATTCATCGGGCTTCATTGGATTGACATCTGTTTCAACCATTTATTCACTTTAATTTTGTCCACTTTTATTTTTGGCTATTTTTTCATTACTTTTCATCATCATCATCATCATGGTTTGAATGGAATTGAAAATATCTTCCGTTAAAAAAAATAAAATAAATAGGGTGCCTTACCATTTGATGATGATAATCTACGACAACTATTAGAAAAAGTTAAACGTGGAACATTTCATATACCACATTTTGTGCCTCCCGAATGCCAAGATTTGCTTCGACGAATGATTGAAGTAGACGCTAACAAACGTATTACGGTAAGTGATTCTGTGTTGTGTTTATATATTTCCCTTTTTCGATTTCGAATGCACATGTGTCATTCGAACCGTTTCTTTTTTTGATCATTCAAAAAAAACGAAAAGAATATTCTTTCTTTTCGTTTCTGTCCATAATAATAAATGCTATTCGTTGATTTTTTTTTGCTTTGCTATTTTCTTCTTCATTGACAACAACAAGAATCCAGGAACATATGAACAACATCTACATTCATTGAATGAAATAAAATCATCGTTGGTCGTTGAAAATTCATAGCGAAGAATGAAAAAAAAACAATCGATGAGAATGTTTTTGTGTGTGTGATGCATGTAGGAATAATAATAATAATGATCTTAGTGATTGAGTGATACAGTGAAAAACAAAAATAACAATATTCGAATTGAACAACACACTGATACCCCTCATTTATCCCTCATCATCAACTAACAAACTCAGCAAAAATAAAGAATAACCTATACATGTGTGTGTGTGAATTGTATATTAAAGATAAAAACCAATCACATTAATTAACATAGCTGGTTTTATTTTCCGCTTAATTTACTAACATGGACAATGATGGACATTTGTTGTTGTATTTTTCCAATCGAATCGAATCAATACATACATATTGCTTTATAAGCTGTAATATTGTGATATTACTGTTAAATGATTCAAAGTACATTTGTCGAACATTTTTTTTGTGTTTGTCCATTTCCTACTGTTATTATTATTATTTTTGTAGGGTCCCTTTTTTTCAGGATCAAATTCTTTGTTGTTGTTGTTCTACTTTTGATTCGATTAAAATAGTTACATCTCATTCTATAACTTTATTGGTTTTTTTGTTTTGCTTTGTTTTTGATTTGACAGCAACAACAATAACGACACAAAGATGTTGTTTATCTAAAATTACCGGAATCGTCAAATACCTTAAATTCCATCCATTCAGATAGAATACATGGAAGGGGGAGGAAAAAAAAGATCAAATTCCAACTATGCACTGTGTGGAATTTGACTACGGAAATCAATTTTTGTTTTTGTTTTTTCTGCTATGAATTTAATAAAATGATTTTTTTTCAAATACGTGAATGCTTCAACTGCTTTTATCTGGTTGATTTTTTTTTATTGACCGGATACACACATATATTTTTTTCTATGTTTGGTTTGGGTTGACAAGAATATTATGATTTCTTTTATGAAAAAAAAACGAAGAATTATAGTCCAATAAATTTGTGAACCGTAACATAAACAAACAAAATGCAATTGAAAAAGTAAAAACAAAACAGTAGAAAAAAAAATCGCTGACATTTGCAACACACACGATATAATTGTTTTTTTTTCCTTTCATTTCATTTCGGTTCAACAAACTTTGAATTGAAATTTTTGTTTTATTTTTTGCAATTGAAAAATATTCTCTATAATAATCATTTCATTGAACATCAATCATGTCATTGAATTTTATCGATTTTTGTTTGTTTGTTTGTTCGTTTGCTTAATATAATTGTTTTTTATTCTTGTTGTTGATTTTCACAGCTTTCCGAAGTGATACGCCATCCATGGGTTACAGCGTAAGTATATTTGTTTTTTCATTAAGTAAAATAGACCATCATATCATCAATGATGATAATTATTTAATTTGATTCGATCAATGTTTTTTTTTTGATTCTGTTGAATTTATTGATCGATTCAATTATGTTTGTTTGTTTGTTTGCTTTTCTTTCTCTCACTCTATCTATCTTCTTTCAATGAATTTGATTCATTTTTTTTCAATGACGTCTGAAATTATATGTCATCATCATCATTATCATCATTGGCGAAACATAAAGTGGCAGCAAAAATGAGCTTGAATTAGAATTACCGATGAAAGAAGTGGTTCAGGTATGTGTACATTAAATATATTTTTTGATTGAATTTCAAAATCCAAAAAAAATTTCAATTTAATTTCTCTCTCTGTGTTTGTGTTTACATTCCAAATTAATCAGCTAACGGAAAATTATTATTACTTTTGATTCCATTAATGAAAAACCTTTTGATTGAAAATCCTTTTTTTTACCATTTCTAAATCAAATGATGATTGTCACATGCTTATCCGGAAAGCAAAAGAAAAAACATTGGTGTTTTATTTCTATTCTTGAGGTTTTTTTTATGTGTGGAATACCATTTGCACCTAAACCATCAAATTGGCGAAGAGTTATTAAGGGAAAAAAAATTTGTTAAGCAGATCAACTTTTTTCCTTTAGATTTCCAATTTGTCATTCATTTTTTTCATTTTTTTTTTCTTAAATAATTTAACACCAACACAAATGTACACTATGCATGAAGAAAAGCTACTTTTGCTGAAGCTTGATAAAAAAAACTTGTTCCAGGATCAAACAGAAAAAAATGGGCCAAAAAAGAAATGAAATAAATTTACACAACAACCACTTTCGACAAAAAAAAAATGAAGTCAAGAAAAAAAAATCGAATCGAATTGAATCGAATCCCAATGTGCTTTCGACGTACTTGCACACAAAAGTCACTGAAACAAGAATATAAAAATTTTCACTTTAAAATTTTCATTTTTTTTTATTTTTAGAATATTGAATTTCATCGTTATACTTTATTATTATGAGTGTGTGTGTGTGTGAAAAAATGAAAAACAACATATGCAGGCCAAAGAGCAGTAAATTTTCTTCATCATAATAATATTCTTTCGTATAATAACATTGCATAGATACTATAACTATAGTAATAATTTGGTTTTTCAATCATGATGATATTGGATCATTGGATCGTATCGTATTCTGTGGTGTGTGTGTGTATGTGTATGATCATAGTTTCAAGAAGAAGAAAAAAACTAATACTGATACATCAATACATTGGCATCGATGATGATGATGATGATGAGAGCTTATGCAAATTTAGAAATGAAATTTTCTCTCTCTCTCATTTCTGTTTCTAAACATCTATTTTTTTTGTTGGTAACATACAACTGCTCTAGGATATAAAATGAGAATATTTTTTTTGGGAAATGATGATGATGATGATGGCTGTATGGAAAAGATTCTTTTCTTTTCTTACCAAATAGTCATCCATCTTTGATGATGATGATGATGATTTTCCAAATATATGTGTTTACCATAAAATGCCGAATGAACAAAAAAAAATAAAAAATACAACGTTACAGAATAAAACAGATTAGAACCCCTTAAAAAAAATTTAATGTGTGTGTGTGTGTGTGTGTGTGTATAGAATGAATTATCAAGTTATCGTTTTTGGCAATATTTCATTTTCAACTTTTTTTCAAATATAAAAAAGATATATAGAGCACAAGCAAATTTAATCATCATAGTGAATTGTTTTTGTTGTAAGGATTTATTCCGGAAATTTTTTTTTCGTTTTCGGAATTTTTGTTTTTGAATTTTGTAATTTTTTTTCTTGATAAACATTAAATTGATTGGCTAGATCGATTGGATTCATTTTGTTTTTTTTTTCTCTTATTATTATTATTACCATTATTTTATTTGTTTGAAAAGTACACAGAGAGAAAAAAAGATCATTCATAAATAAACAGGAAAATCATTTTCCCCTTAGAAAAAGCTAAATCATATTGAATTCTGTATTTTTTTCTTTTTGTATAATTTAAATAATTAATGGATTTTTTCTCTCTGCGTTTTTCTTTTATTTCATTTTTTTATCATTATTAATCTCGAAATCAAAATAAAATGGAAATTCCTATTGACAAAAAACAACTGAAACATCGATGACAATCATTAGACGCATATAACATCGACGGTTGAAGAATTGGATCCCGATGTTCTTAACAATATGACTTCACTTGGCTGTTTTAAAGACAAGGAAAAGCTTTTAAGGGAGCTACTAAGTATTAAGTATGAAAAATCTATCCTTTTCCCTTTTTTATATTTTGTTCATTTCATCTTTTTGCATTTATTATTTTCCTATTATTGAATAGAATATGATAGGAATGTGAATGAACTGAACATAGTTGTGGTTAGGTTTTTTTAAAAAAACGAAAAAGAAAGAAAGAATGTATGAATGAAAAATAATTACAGAACGCTGAATGAATTGATAGTGATAATAAAAAAAAACTAGACAAAACAAAACAAAGCAAACCTGTCCAATAAGGTCATTTTTCAACATAACACCACCAATAACAACAATGATAACAACATAAAAAAAATCTATTCTAAATCCTCATTGTATTTATCTACGTTATTAACACAAACCAAAATAAATGTCGGAACCATAATTCATCTACAAAAATAGTTTATTTTCTTATTATTATTACTAACCAAAATAACAAAAATCCATTCTTTTTTTTCTTCTAAATATTCGTATGTCCATGGTTCTTGTCATCATAATGCCAATAATAATAACCAAAACAAAAAAAACAAACGAATCTTACAGCCATAATACCGAAAAAGTAATATATTTCCTTTTGTTGGATCGTAAACGACGAAAACCATCATTTGAAGATGAAACTGAATGTATTATCAGGAATCGTTCCGAATCAGGTATGTTGTTGATGTCATTTTGAAAGAATTTTTTTTTTTTTTGTTATTCACGCTTTTCCCATATTAAATGTTTGCATGACGATGTCATGAAGAGTTTTTTTCTGGTGATTGAATTTTTTTTTGTTGTTGTCTATCTGTGTTAATGTACCGGTGTTTGTCATGCTATCCATTTTGTTTGGTTTGGGTTATTTTAGATACCAAAAAAAAAGCACACACGCATACTTTACTGTATGATACAACTCATTAATCACCATTCATTTTGTTTCTTATTTTGTTTTCTCCGACATTTTTTTTTCTTTCAACGCCATTTACACTGTTTATGATGACTGATTTCAATTTTTTATTTTTTCTTGTTTGTTTCCTATACATCTATAGCCGATCCACCAAGAAAAAGAGTAGATACACGTCCTAGTAAGTCATATCGAACGGAAATGTTAGCTAATGGATCACCGATTGCACCTCGACGATTTCCATATGGGTATGTTTATCAAAAAAAAAAATTTATCAACCATACATTGTTCTTTATATAAATTTCTATGTTTTTTTTTTGTTGATTTCATAATGGATTCTCTTCAGAATCAATAGCTATTCAAGTACCAAAGTGTATATTAATTGTACACCGAATAGAAGTTTTAATCGACGTAATGGCAATATGAATAATGTTAACGATTCTATGATTACTAATAACAATAACACTAATGCTAATGCTAATAATAATAATAATAATAATACTAATCATCATACACCACATCGTCATTCATCATCACATCATCCGGGTGTACATCCGCCACCGCCGCATCATGATTCGACAAACAATTTGCTAATGTCACCATTAAATTGTCCCAAAACACCACATCATGTTAATAATGATAGTAGCGATGAAATCGGGATCAATACATCACCAGTGTCACCAATATCTCAGCCTTATTGGAAATCACGCCTAAATACATTAAAAAATAGTTTTCTTGGTACACCGAGGTTCGATTATATTCAGCTCATTTCGTTTGGAATATTGTTCAACTTTTTTAAATTTTTTTTAAAATATAGATTTCATCGACGTGCCAAAATGCAAATTCCATTGTACGAAGATGTTGCATTGGCCACTGAAACTACACCTGATATGACCAAAAAATCTTGGTTCGGTAATCTGATGGGCAATGAACGAGAAGAGACACATGTTTTATTGATAAAAGATAAACCATTGTCTGTTATTAAAGCAGATCTCATTCATACTTTTCTTACGGTTAGTTTTTGTTATTAAGTAAAATCATCCAGTTTATTCAATTAATTTTATCTATCTAGGTACCCGATTTAAGTCATACAGTATTATCACCAATGTCATTTCGTTTGGATTATCGTCGACCAGGTGGCACAACTTCAATGTTTCAAAGAAATATTCGAATACAAGTTGATATTGCATGTGCCACACCTCCATCCAATGATGGATCAATTCCGTCGCCAAATTTTGATACAAACGCTATTGAAAGGCCAACAATTTATTGTATTACATTCACTTTATTATCCGGTATGTTTGTGTCAATGATTGTTGTTTTATATTTGAATCTGAAAATTTAAAATTAAAAATAGGGCCAGTGAGAAGGTTTAGAAGAATATGTGAACATATATCTGGCTATATTCTTGGTCGCCGATCAACGTCAGCACCACGTTCACCACGAATGAGTCGTCGACCGACACGGGAACTCAGTGATACAAGTTCCTGTGGATCATGTGCATCGGACAGTTTGTCACCAACGCCAACACATCTACATATATCGGAAGATACAATAAGTCTAGCAGCAGCTGTTGTCAATAGTAGTACTAATAATTTAACCGGAGCCTTATCCAGATGTAAATCGGATCAAGATGCCAATAAAGACCTATTCAAACGTGATGTTAAATTGTTGGAAAGACGAGCAACACAAACAGATAGTACGGGAGTTCCAAGAATAATAAACATTGCCAACGGACGACGAATGTCTTTGGAACCAAAATTACAGACTGATAATGTGTAGCTTAACGTCTGAAATGATGACGATTCATAATAGATGCAAATTAAAAAATTCATTCATTCATTCATTCTCTTTTTTTGAGAAAAAATTCAAATCTTTTGAGTGTGTTATAAATATTCAATTTACGTGAAACGTATAAAATGAAATTAACTATGTGCTTTTGAAATCCACAGAAATACAACCTATGCCTCACCTATCAACACACAATCAAACATAAACACACACACAGAAAAAAATTCTGATTTAAAAAATAATCTAGTCCATTGATTTTTTATTGAATTAATCAATTTTAAATAGATTGAAAAAAAATAACACAAATACCATCATTATCATCAAATGGAATATTATGAATTATTTTTCCCAAAAAAAATATTTAAAAAAGTGATATCTACATTCCATTGAAAAGATAAATAATCATCATCAACCAACACATAACCGAACAAACAAAAACCACGAATTGAATTTTAAATCAAAACAAAAAAATAATAAAAACAAATATTTGCAATTTAATTTTCTGTTTCATTCGAAAATGAGCATAGAGTGTGTGCATAATGTTGTTGAAATCAGGTAAAATAACCCATCCGATTCTATTCACCCAAAAAAAGAAAGAAAATTCTTTTAAATTCTATTGCTAGGAATGATTTTTTTGCATCATTTTTTTTAAAAATGAAATGTATTTCTATTAAGTGATATTCTTCATATATTGATTCATAATTCTCATTCTCATTTGATTCTCATTCTTTCATATACAATTTATAAAATGTGACAGCGAATATGATGAACATATAAAGCAAATTGTCATTTTGAATGCAAAAAAAAAGAAATTCAAATCATTCTGTATAACACATTGTATCATCAACAACATCATCATCATCATCATCACGAGTTTTCAAATTGATTAAGTCTGCAAATTCAAAACATTTTCTCAATTTGTTGTTGTTACACACAAATACACACCGATACACAGACACAAAAGTCGTCTAATTTGTTCATCATTATGATGATGATGAAATTGTAATTCTCACGAGGTGTTGTATTTTTTCTTTCATCCGTGTAACAAACCTGAAAATTGTATTTTTTCAAATTTTGTGCAAAATAATAATAATAATAATAATGATAAAGAGGAAAAGAATTTTTCTTTTTAAAATTTTTATGGCAAAAAAAATATTAATAGTCAAATTTAGTTATGTAACTTTCGTTAAAAATATTTGAATGGCAAAAAATGTAAATTTGGCAAAATTGTTTTTTTTTTGTTGTGAACATCCATTTGATAGGATTTTTCCCACTTTATCTCTCGTTATATATAGTATTGAAATCCATTATTCAAACGGGTTGACTATCGGTTGCAGCTGCCTCTATTGGTGCCGTTATATGACCATGACCATAATATTTTGGGCCATAAAGTTTGGCATAACAATCTATAGAATGAGAAAAAAAAATTTGAAAATTTCATAATTGATTTTGGGATGTTTTTTTCATTTAGGAAAAATAATAAATTTATTATGAACTTACTTTTACAAAAGATTTCATTTTCACGTTCACAAAGAGTGGTTGTATCCAAACGTTTATTGCATTCTTTACAGGTGAAACAAGTACTTTTATGCCATGCATAACCACCTCCCATCATTTTTTCGGCCATATAAACGGCTTTTTTTTGGTGAATGGAATGTAATTTTATATTTTAGAAAAAGTTTTCATAATGTTAAAACTGAACATAATTAAATACCTTTGCTACAACGCGGACAAATATCTGCACCACCGAATTTGAATTTTCCACCACCACCATTGCTTTGTGAAATGGGAGCTGCTTTTTTTGGAGCGACAAATGCCTGAGCAGTCGAAGGAATGTTTGAAGTTGGCGGTTCATTAGTACATTTCTCTCCAGTGAACATAGATAATGTTCCAGAACCCTGACCATAACCATATCCTTTTGGTCCAAACAAACGGCCATAACATTGTTTACAATATATTTCGGCATCATGTTCGGTTAAACTCCCAGTGTCCAATCTTCGTTTACATTCTTTATTGGCTGAAAAATAGACATTTATTGAAGGTATAATCAATTTTACAATGAAAATGGAACGGGATAAAATTTCATATATCCGCTTACCACATACGAAACAAGAATTATGGAAACTTTTTCCAATTGCTTTTTTTTCTTCGTTAAAATATACAGATTTGCTGCAACGGGCACAGATTGCCATTTTGTTTTTGATGTTATTGGCCTGAAGTATTTACGATCAAATGACAGTGCAATATAATTATTATGTCGATGAAATAATATGATGATAGATATATGGTTACAGATCAACACATATCATTCAAAAAATAAAATCCGATGGAATGTGAATTCTGAAAACAAATCAAAATGATGATGAGTAAAGTTACTGAGAAATCACTGTCGATATGGTAAAAATATTGAAAAGGCTCTTCACTCAGTAAAATAAACCGCCATGGCAATGTTAATTTGATCGTTAACAATGGTGATGGAGTATGACTATCAAAAATAATGAGATATTTCAAAAAAAAAACTAAGTAGGATGTATGGCGATTCCTATCACCTCAACTGATCAGTATCTTTGAATAGCTTACTTGCCCCCCAAAAAAAAACACAATTAATAATGGCAAATATTTCATGCTAATACGTTAATACCATTATTCATTGTACATTAAAAAAAATTTTTTCTGGAAAATCATTTATCAAAACCATAAGTGATACAAAATGTCAAAATCAATTTATCAATCATATATCTAACAGGTGGTTTGTCGCATTAAATATCTATAGAAAAAAATGTGATAATTATAAACCTACTTTTTTTTGATGATATAATATTAACGATTAATAAAAGAGGTAGTAAATGATAAACAACACACCAATTCGAAAAAAAACCAGGAACTCAAATGAAAAAAAATTTTGAGTGAAAAAACCTTGAAAATTGCGAATTCGTTGGATAATATACACTCGATATTAGCGTGGATGGACAAGTTTTATATGCAAACAAATACACTAAAAACACTCCACACTTGTTATAAAAGCAATTTCGAAATTCTTTTTTTCGCGACATCTATCGAAATTCGATTAAAATTATTTAATTCAAACAAACAAAAAAAAATTCATTTTATTCAATTTTTTTTCTAAAATAAATCAATTGGATTCCGTAGTTTTCAATTTGTTTATAAATTTTTTATCAATTTTACGTCGAAAATCTTTTGGCAATAAATTGATGGCAGCCAAAACATCAGTTTTTATATTATCCGATATTTTCAATGAAAAAACATCAAGAACCATCAATATACGGATGTATAAATCAATAATATTTTTTTCATTTTGTTTGGATTTTTTTAACGTTTCCAATAATTCCTGTAGATATTTTTCACTTAATTCAATTAATCGTGATTCTATTTTTTGATCATCACTAATACGTTTTAAAATTCCTTCAAGTAAATCTAATGCCATACAACGTTTGAATGGTCGTACATTGTTGTCCAAAGATAATTGATTAATAATTTCAAAAAATTTACTATCAAAAAATAATTTTTCATTATGTAATTGTGGTATGATTGTTTTGAAAAGTTCAGGTTTGATTTCATTATGAGAAGCTTTGAAAAATAATTGCAAATTTCGTTCGATATGTTCATTAAAAAATTCAACATCATTTTTGGACAAACAGTTTCGAGACAAAGTTAATAGCCATGATGTTAAGGCTATAAATGATTTTTGTAGATCCGAATTTTTACATTGACATTGTAACTTTAGCAATGTTGTCAATAAATTTTCAAATTCTTCTTTGGAAATTTTTTCGTTTTCATTCAATACCAAATGAGTTTTCGAAATTTGTTGCAACAATTGCTGACATTTATTATTCAAAGCGATCATATTTTTCGATGAATGATTAGATTTGAGGAAATTTAAAATATTCTTTAAAATTGTGAACGCCATTTCAACAGAAAAATTTGGATGATGATCGATCAAAATTTTAATAAGATCTAACACACGTAGTTTGAATGATTTGATCATTGCAGCTTTTTCCGCTTGTCGTTTTTTTTCACCATATTTTTGTCTAAAAACTTGAGCTAAAGATTCGTCCAATTTGAACATTTCACTATCACTAAGAACTTCTTCCGAATCGTCTTCATGTTCAGCTGCAGAACCTAAAGCTTTGAGGACGTCTTTTTTGAATTCTTCATCAACTGGTTCGTTATCATCTTGCAATACGTCGTCGTCGTCATCATCATCACCACTATCTTCAATTTGATCAGCAGTGTCCATTTCATTGTTTTCATTTTCATCTTCTTCATCATCATCTTCCTCATCGTCAATGTCTTCAGCATCAAATTCAATGGTCCCATCATCTACAAATGCTTCATTAAGACTTTGTATTCCGACTGGAGTTATGAATGGAACCAAATATTTAAAAGTCATTAGGATAATATTTTTTGAAGATTTTGATTTAATAATCAAAGAGATTAAAAGATCAACAAATACATCCGACCAAAAAGGATCGTTTGATTTTCCTTTTGCGTTTTCACTTGAAAATGCTCGAATAACACATTCATTGAAATCCGGCAATATGGCTTGTAAATCGGAAAAATTTTCAAATGATTCAATAAGAAAATGTAGATAAAATAAACGAAAAACTTGACATTTATTCTCATCGGTTTTGATTGAATCGAATTTTTTGTTGATTTCCAACAATACTTCTCTGAATTTTTGCATTGAAATTTGTTTGTCCACTAATTCCAATTTTTTATCTCTAATCAAAATCATTATAAAATCTTTTATTTGAGTTAGCATTTCTATTTGTTTTGCAAGTTTGTTCTTGAGAACAATAGAATCAGAATCGGTTGAAACAGTCGATGATAGTGCATATAAATGAACGATAACATTTTGAAATGAACTTTTAAATTGTTGACGAAGTTTTTCACTTATTGGATATTTAAATCTTTTCAATTTTTCTCCACTATCATTATCTAATATTAAATCTTTTGTCAATAGATCAACGTTAAAATATGCAAAAACAAGAAAAAATTTGCAATTTTTCATTAAAAATTTAACGTCACCCGTATAACATTTTAATAAGTGAGTCATTTGTTGCAAACAACGTACACGATAAAAATCACTGGCAGCAACGTTATCCTGATTCATCATCAAATTCATTAGTATTGATATCCATTCTTTGATCGAATCATTACTGAAATTTTTCAAAATATTAGACAATAATTTTGATCGTGATAATTCATCGAAATTTATTGATCCAGGTTTTTCGATAAAACATCGGGCGAATTCAATCTGGAAACTAGTTTGATCTTTGATTTTCAATGAATAATTTTTAAGTCGATCACAAAGAACCAATGCAGCATTGTTCAATGGATGTTGTTTATTCGATAACGTTTGAATAAGAAGACGAATAAAGGTAGATGATAGAATAAGTTTGATCTAGTGTAATTCATTGATTTAACATGAGAAATTTGTTAGAGAAATATATTAGATAAAGACATACCTGAGAATGATGCGAAACATTTTCTAGCATGATTGGAATAATGTCAAATCCTAACGATGTTTTTACCATGTCAACTTTGAATATTTCTTCGACCAATCTGGTGAAATAAGCATCCAAATTCTTATTGTCTATTTCTTTGATCAAGGCAGTAAATGATGCTATGATTGGATGAATGTTTGGCTGAAATTTACTAGTTTCTTTAATCAATTTGATTATATTTGTAAAATCTTTGCTATTTGGTTTATAGACATTTTTCACTATAAACTCTTTGGACAATTGGAATTTTTGAAAACATAACAGCATAAGGTAGGTTTTAAATAGTTTATTGCCATGATCATCCATGTTTTTCAATCGATCAACTACGATTTCTTGAAACAAATCCGAGTCATTAGAAAATACTTCGTAAAAGTTATTCATCAATTCACAAACAATAATTTCGACATAACTCTTTTTGCAACCAATCAAGAATAAAGTTTCGAAGAGTTTTGAAAGTATTTCTTTATCTGTACTTTTAGTGATTCGTTTACTTTTCAATAAACAACTGATAAACAAAGTCCAGCCTATTGTAAGCTCCGAATCGAAATCACTTTTAAAATGTCCAAATTCTTTTTCAGCAATCTTGATAACATTGGTAATGTCGGTATGTTGAGGAAAGTGTTGCAATAATTCAGTCAATAGAATACAGAATCCATGTCGAGAAAATTCACGTGTTGATGTTAGACCACGAATTAGACGATCCAAACAATATGATAAATCATTATATTGATCATTAGAAATTTGTTTGGCTAAATTTTGTACAATGATTTGAACGCTACGACAACGACGATCATCGGACGATCCTGATAGATGCCAAAAATGATCGAGAATAACCTGATTACAATTGGCATTGGATTTTTGTCCATTTTTATTAGTATTTTTTTCAATAAGTTTCATAATTATAACAATAACAATAAAAATTTTCGAACAAATTTGAAAAAACAATTCTTTGAATATTTGCAGCACAATAACAATTCTAACGTGTGTGTGTGTGTGTTGAAATACAATCGATATATCGATAGTATTCTTTTCGATTGCTGCCATCTATTGATTAGAAAAAACAGAAGTCATTTAAATTCAAATTCTACTTTATCCCATTCTCCACTATTAGCTTTTGGACTATCTCTCTCTCGCTTTCTCTCTCTAACTTCTATATAAATGTATGGCGTATGCATGATATATATTTCGGGTTAGCCAAAAAAAAAAGTAAATGAAATTTGTGATTGTGTTTGAAAATAAAAAGGAAGACGCATAGTTTATCGGATAGTTAGTTGTGATCTGGCTTTGGTCGTGTTTGGTTCATCCTGATCATTGTGCGTTTGTGCATATATATGATGATGATGATCTCACTATCGCCACATCGTTAAGTGTTTTTTTTTAATATTCAAAACCAACAACAAATTTCTCACATATAATCTAACGAAAAACAATTTTGAAATCTAATTAGTTTGAATTGGAGAGCTTCAATTCAATGAATGAATGAATGAATATATATTGTACATCAAATAAAAAAGTAATAATAATGTGAGTATACAAAGAATCTCGATTAATTGGTTTGTGAATATATCAATTCAAATGTGTGCTTTGTGTTTTTTTTGTTGTTGTTGTTGTTGATGATATGTTTGTATCTCTCTCTTTCTATCTGCCTTCGTATTATCATCATCATCATTATCATCATTATTTTAATGATCATCAACCTTATGAACAACAACAACAACAACAATGACAACAGTAAAGACATCCTGAATTTTTGTTGTTGTTATTTTGAAAATTCTTATAAGATGAAACATCCACTAATGATGATCATCAATCCAGAATCTGGTCTTTTTTTTCTAATATAATCATCCAATAAACAAAGTTATTGAAATCAGTTTTTTTTTCTCCTCTGTTCTCAAACTGTGACAACCAATCATTTGACATTTATTGAATTCTTTTGTTGTCATCATCATCATCATCATCATAATTTCAATTTGTTTGTTTGTTTGGATTTTGGGAAAATTTCTATCCCATTTTTTGTTTGTTTGTTTCTCTGTGCAAACATTTAAATTAAACAAAAAAATTTTGCATTTACATTTCCGTCATTTTTTTTAATTAAAACTTATTTTAACGAGTAATTGTGATTTGAATAAATTTATAACAAATTTTAATTGGTTTTTCGTTTTTGCAAAAAAACAAATCCAAACATCGAATAATGATTATCGATAATCGATCATCATTATTTCTCATTATCATTTGTTGTTTCGTAAACCAATTATTTAGAACAGAAACAAAAAAACATTAACAAATTATTATGGCTATTAATAATTTTTGTTTGTTGTTTGTTTTTACTGATAATAATCGATTAGGATAAAAACAAAATACAATAACTTACCAACCAACCAATCATCATTTTCGCCAAAAATTAAAATCCCATAATCAAAAAAGTGATGGGTGACTATAGCTAAAACAAAAATAATAATTAATCAAAGTGACAATTATTATTATTATTAGTAGTAGTTTCCCATTATTGTTATTTTTTATACTTAATTTCATTCATTTCAGAACATAGATAGATAATACCTGTGGAATTTTTTTTCTTCTCTCGTTTTTTTCTTATTCATGAACATATCTTTTATCATTATCATCATTATGTGTATGTATTTATGGCGTGATGTACAATATTCGAATGAATAAATAAATGAATGAATGAATGAATAAATGAATGTTCGTCAACCGAAGCAAACAGTTGGACAGGGAAGGGAAAAGAAGAAGAAAAAAGTTAATTAAGATTCACACACACTCCAAAAAAAAAACATACCATAAAGTAATTTCATTTTCTTCTCATTACTTTTTCTTTAGCGTGACTTGATATTTTTGTTGTTGTTGTTGTTGTTTTGTTTCATTGTCTTAATTGTTAAAGAAAAAAAAATTGCAATTAAATTTTGCTGATTTGCATAATTGAATCTTATATAGATTCTTTATTTTAGTAGTTGTTTAGTTTGGTTTGGTTTGTTATAATTGTCATTTGTATTCGACAAAAAATATGCAAGCAATGTTAATGCCGACAATTTTTCACCATTGCTTCATTTGTGTTATTTGTCAGCAAAAAAAAACTTAAGAATGTTCATCAACAACAACAGGAACAAAATGCCATTTAATGGAATTAAATTTGCTTGTATCAAAATAACTATATCCAATTATATTGTTGATTTGTATGAGAATGTCGAGTCTTTTTTTTGGTATTTCATTTCAATAATTGCATAAGAATTTCCATTTTTGACCATACGGATATTTAATGTGAAATGTGATAATAATTCTGTAATGAAAAAAAAATGAAATGAAATTAGATTTATGATTGAGAAAAAAAACGAATGTGACACACCTTTTTGTCTAGCCTGGATTGACCAGAAAAAGATGACAATTTCTTTTTTTTTTAAGTTCAATGATTGACACCTGAACGTGAATAGAAAATAGTTTGGTTATTTTAGGTTATAAAATAGTAGTTGGAGATTATAATCCTGTCATCACGATTTGATTCGTCCATCACAAATTTTATCATATCATTTTTATTTTCTATGCACGATACACCTACACATACACACAAACACAGGAGAAACAGTGTGATATGAAAATAAAAAAAATTGGACAATGAATCAATAAAATATCATTCGAATATTGGAAAAATAGATCATACTTTGTTTATTCGATTTGCATGATATAGGATCAATGAAATTCATCTGAAAAACAAAAACAACATAACAGTATGTCCAAATAATAATAAATATCTATTTGGTACATTTCTGACATTTTGAATATAAAGCTAATAATAATGGATGAAAAAAAATTTTATGCACATGCACATGCATATAAGCCTGAATATTGTGAACCAAATAAATAATATTTTGAACAGAAAAAGAATTTAAATTTTTGAATTCTCGTGATAAATAATACGATGATGATGATGATGATGATGATGATCTCTTCTGGATCAACTGAATTCGATTATTATTATTATTATTTTTTTTTTTTTGAAAAATGAATGAATTTACGTACACGATTTTTTTCAATTTTTATTTCTCATCGTTGTTGTTTTCAATATTCAAAATATGAATTTTTAAAAGACAACAGACATTGATAAAACATATGACCAATTTTTTTTTACGAACGAAAAACATTCGAAACAAAACAAAAAAAAAATAACGAGAACACAGAAATGTGTTTCATAACGTTCTTTTTTTTCGAGGAGGGGGTGGAAAAAAAGAGGAGGAGATTATTTGCCAACCAACCAAAAAAAAAAATTATAATCATATTAATCGAATGAATGTGAATGACTTTTTTTTTGTTTTGTTTGCCTCTCTTCCCTCCTCTCTGTATATTCATTCAATATTCATCAGTGATTCATTCTGAGATAAATCCTGAATGTTTGATCAACGACTGAATGAATGAATGAATGAGATCAAAATTGTGAAAAAAAAGATGATAATCGAAGCTAATCTAGCATATCATTCTTCAGTTTGTTTTTTTTTGTGGGAGAACAGGCATTAAATTGAATAAATGTTGTGTGTGATCAGTGGATTCGATTCGTTTGGCCTGTTTGCAAAAGCACACGTGTTTGGTCTTTGATCATTTTTTTGTTGGTTGTTTGATTTTCCCATTTTCTCATTTTCGTTTGTGTCGTTAAAAAGTGTTCCAGACTTATATTTATTTTCAATTAAAATGCTATATATGAAAATAATGACAAAACAAAATATCAATTTTGTGTGTGTGTGCATAAAACTGTAATTTGAGAATCAGCCAAAATGTGAAAAGTCAGATTATTTTTCTGTCTCTCTCTCTCTTAACTGTCAAAAGCACCAACAACAATTAATTTTCAATAATTTTCTTGTCTCGACTTGATCAAAATTTGGTAGAAATTCGATCTGTTTTTTTGTTTCCAATTATGAAATTGATCTCATTCTGTTATTGTTGTTTGTTGATTTGAATTTTGGGTGACCAAATTTTTTTTTCTTTTGTCAACCATTCAATACACTAAGCTTAAATAATGATAAAATTAGTTTTAAAAAATTAATTTAATGTGAATATTTTGAATGAAACAAAAAACTTTGTGAAACCTTTTTCAAAATTGAACCAAAAACAAATTTCTGAAACAAATTTTTTTTTGGCAAAATAACGGATCTTTTTTTGTTTGGTTGTTGTTGTTGATATATAGCTTTCTCTGTTTTGTTTCTCTATTCTGCAGATTCTTTCCATTACATGGCAACAACAGCAACGATGATGATGATGATAGTTATAATCTAGTTAATGATGCGTAAAATTAGTAAAATTGGTTTCTTTTCTGTTGGCTAACATCATTTTTTGATGATGATGATGATGATGATGATGGAAAAATTGCCTTCCATTTTTTTGTTTGTCTATTCATTTTGGCCCAAAACATTAAGTTTATTCTCTCTTCTCTATAAACAGACAGTGAAAGTTCATAGCCTTTCACTGTTGTTGTTGTTGAATTTTCAAAGTTTTTTCAATTTTATTTTAATTTTTTCTCATCATCATCATCATCATCATCATCATCATCATGGATAAATGGTTAGGTGAAACAAACAACCAAACAAAAAAATTCATAATTGAATTTCCCTTGTAAACAACAAAAAATTGTTCATTTCTGTCCATCACAGAAGCATTGCCAAAAATTATTATTCATTCATTCATTCATTCATTCTTTTCATTTTCTATTTTTGTGTGTGAATATCCAATCTTATTTTCTACACAAAATACAGTTGCAAAGAAAAAAGAATTTAATATTTATTTGCCTAACGATGTGCATTTGACAGCAAACCAAAAAAAAAGCGAAAACTTTTTCATTCAAAATACTCTAAATACAGAATTCATAACCATCATCATCATTGGATGGTTGGTTGTCTGGTTGTTTGGAAACAATTTTTTTTTCTTTTCATATATAAAAATAAATATCCACTACCATTATATAATATATACTGAATGGATGATGATGATGATGGAAAAAAAAGTAAACGATTCGAATGGGGGGGGAGAAAAACTTCAATCATTTTCTTATCAAAGATTCATAGTTGCTGTTGTTAGTAGGGTATAGTGTTTTTTTTTCAATTTTTGGCATTCAATATTTGTACCGATTTACGAGAAAAAAAAGAAAATGTTTTTTTTTCTCCGAAATATCATCGTTATTATTGCCGTTGTTATGGCCAAACATCAACCCACAACAACAACAGAAAACGAAGTGGATGAATGAATTCCTAATCGATTTCTTGTTTGTTTGTTTGTCTTTTTTTTATTTTCCTTCTTCTTTCATCTTTCTCCTTGTTGATTGAAAACTTGAAATGAAATGAATTGGGAAAAAAAGTGGAATAAAAGTCTCAGAACCAAAAAGAAAGAAGAAAATTCTTTTAAAAAACGATAACGACGACGACGACGACAACATCCTAATTCGATTTTAAAACTCAATCTTTTTGTCATTGTTGTTGAACTTTTTTTTCTTCCTCCACCACCATCACCACCACCACCACTCATCCTATATTTCATTTGAAATTAATTTTTTTTCCATTCTTCTCTATCACTTAGTGTTGAACAACGACAATAGATGACAACAGAACTTTTGGATATTCGATTTACAGATTCGTAATTTGTTGTTGGATAAGGGAAAACAAAAAAAGAAAAGAAAAATAATAGATCAAAATGTGTAATGTGAACAACAACAAAAAATGACAATGGATAAAATGTGTTATTATTATTATTATGACAAAAACATACGGTCCAAAATCATTCGAGCATTATTATTATTATTATTGTAATAACCAAATTTACCCGAAAAAAAAAACAAAATTGTCGATGGTGAAAGGGACAATTTATTGTTTTTATACTTAGCGTATTTGATTATTGTTTGTTGATGTTTTAGTTTTTCCATATAAATAATTTGATTTGACACCAACAAACACCATTTTGTTGGATGATCTAAGTTGATTGATAATTTTTTCTCATTTTCAAAATCAAAAACAGAAGAAATGGATGATAATGAAAAGCTTCTTTTTTTTGGAATACTTTTTGTTGTGAAAAATGTGTGTGAATAAATTATTTAATTTAGAAAGATTAGATTGAAAAATAATTTTATGTGTGTGTGTGTCAACTAGCAAAAATAAAATATATAAAGCAAATATGATTGTGCCAATCTTTTCCCGTTTTTTTTTCGGTCTCTCTCACTCTATGTGAATACGATTTTCATTCAATAGTGATGATGATGATGCTATTAAATGATTATTATTATTATTATGATTATGATGCCTAATCTGATTACAAATTTTTCATCTTTTCATTTGTGATGGGACTGTATTTTTTTCCTGTTTCCCGACAACGACGACTACGATGATGTTGAAAACTTGGAAACGAAAAGAAATATATATAAAAACTTTTCATGGCCAATGATTTTTCTAAAATGCGATTAAGTATACGGCGAAGAAGAAGAAAATGAAGGAAATTTTCTGTTTGTTTGCTTTTTTTACCATTTGAAAAAATGAATCGATGATTGAAAAAAAACGGTATATTTTTCATATAATGTTGGCTTTTGATTTTTCGTTCCTTTTTTTCACTTGTTATTTTAAAATTATTATTATTACTAATATCGATGATATATTTTGATGTGATAATAATCATTGTATCAAAAAAAAATTGTAAAAAGATTTTGGATTACATTCTTTTTGTAAAGAAGTTATAATTTGATTGCTTTCATCATCATCATCATCATCATAATGGGTTTTGATTGAACTAAAATCACAAACAATATCGGATTGCCTAGGCATTAAAATCGAAATCACGTTTTCTGGACCAAAATTTTTCTCTTTTACTTTACTTTATATCGATTATAATGATGCTTTTTTGTTCATTTTTCGGTGTGTGTGTGTGTCTGTTTTAATTTTGATGTAATTTACCAGATCGACACTTTATTTTGATTTAATCAATGTTCAGGGTGTGTGTGTGTGTGTGTGCAAGAAAAAAGTTTCAGAATGAAATTTCTTCTTATTATTTAAAAAAACAAACTTCATTCCTGATTTGCTAATAATGTGTGTGTGTGTTTTGTGTTTGTATATCGGATTATTTGTCTGCCACTTTTTTCTCTCTTTACATTTATTATATTCTTTTTTGTTTGGCTTGTTAATAAAATGTGGCCATAATACTAATGAATGTCTATTTTTTTTTTATTTTCATTTTCTTCTTTGAATAACAACAGATCATTTTGCATCTATAGATCCAATACAGCGACACAACAATAACGGAACGAAAGGAACGACAATTTTCGATTCAATAACATTGTAAATTAATTTGTTGGTGAAAAAAAATGATGATTATGAATTGTCATACATTTTTGCTGTCCTCCTGTTTTTGTTTGTTCATTCATTCATTCATTGTGTAACAACAGTAAAAAACTTTGATGACATTCAGCAACAAAAAAAAAATTGAATTGAATTGAAATTAGTTTAGACGAATTGTGTGTGTGTGTGTGTGTAACCATTTTAGCTGTTATTATCATTGTTGTTGTCGATTTTTTTTTCTTTGTTGCCCATCAATATTTTCAATTCGCCAATTTGCTCAATTCACGACGCAATTGTCAAACGTATTGGTCTAATTAAAAAAAAAATAGTTTTTTCATTCGTTCAAATAAATTGTAAGTATTGTCAGTGTGTGTGTATACGTTTGAATGAATAAAATAAATGAATTCCAATTACAGAATACAGAATAGAATTTCATCACATTGGATTTTTTGTTGTTGTTGTTGTTTTGTTTTGGATGAAAATAAAATCATTATTATTATTATCGAACAACATGGGCTTTCATCATCATAATAATCATCATCATTTTCATCATCAAAATAATTCCAATTCTCAACATAATATTAATAATAATAATAATCATCATCGTTCATCGAATCATCGAATAATGACAAATTCGTTGATTAATATGAACAATAATAATAACAATAGTAACAACATTCATAACAATACAACAGTGGCCATCAATAATAATAATAATAATAATAATATTGGTTCGACAACAAATAATTGCCAATTATTGATGCCAACAATATCGAATTGTGCTGCATGCCATAAACCAATACAAGAACGTTTTCTACTTAAAGCATTGGATCAATTATGGCATGAAGATTGTTTGAAATGTTCTTGTTGTGATTGTCGTCTTGGTGAAGTTGGTTCAACATTATTTACAAAAGCTAATCTAATATTATGTAAACGTGATTATCTAAGGTAAATTTAATAATGGCTATTTGCCACGAATGATGATTAATGATTCATTTTATTCAATTTCCATATATCCACATACAGATTATTTGGTGCTACAGGAATTTGTTCTGCATGTAATAAAATTATACCAGCATTCGAAATGGTCATGAGAGTACATGGTGATCGAGTTTATCATCGTTAGTAACAAAACAAAAAAAATATTCTCTAAAATTCTAACAAACATTAATTATTTTTTTTAAAATTTTCTTTACAGTTGAATGTTTTCAATGTAGCCAATGTAATCATCGGTAATTTCATAAAATCAATTGAAAATTATGAATTCTAATTATCTAAATTATTATTATTATCATTTAGATTCTGTATTGGTGATCGTTTTCATCTTTATGATAATCGAATTCTTTGTGAATATGATTTTGAAGAAATGTTAGTGTTTGGTGGTGGTAATAATGGAAACAATTCTACTGCTATTAACAATAGCAGCAATAAATTATCTATAAATAATAATCATTTAGAAAAATTAGTTAAACAAACGGAATCAACATTGGCATCATTTTCATCATCATCATCATCATCATCAACTACTGGTTTATCGACTGCAGTATCTATTGCTGGAACATCAACAACACAATCAAATCATCAGCCACAAGCACAATTAGCTCAAGTAGCTCGACAACCAATAAATCCAATAAATTCAAATCAAGCCGATGATGGTTCCAGTGGTTATGGAAGTCCAGATTCATTACTTAGTGATGGAAGATGAATGAATTTTTTTTTTTTGTTTTTTGTCAATAATAAAATCCAATTTGAAATAAAATCAAAAACCATATTTTATTCTGTTTTGAATTATTATTTTGACGAAAAAAAAAACAAATCCTAAAAATTGATATGAATTTTATTTTATCAGCACCATCTCTCGACCAAGAAACAAAATAATTATATTCGAAAAATTTTATCCAAAATGCGCGCTTTATTTTTTTTGTCGGGTATACATTCTGGTCATCGAAAAAGCAGAACAAAATTTTTCAATCTAATTAAGTTTTTGTTTCTGTGTGTGTGTGTCATTTTGATTCATTTATTTACCCAATAGCTGATGTTGTCATTTTGATTGAAAGACATACACACACACACACACACATTTGCAGTCGGTGTTCCAATCAAATTAATCACATGCAATATGTGAAAGAAGAGAGAAAAAAAGAACGGCACATTTGGCTTCATGTTCATGAAATTTATTCATTCATTGGATGATCATCAGATCCATTTACAATTAAATGACTCTTGATGAAGAAATAAAAAAAAATAATCTTTTGCTAATTAAAATAAAACTTTAAAATGAGAAAAAAAGCACAAATGTAATGAGAAAAAAGTGGGTGGTGGATGGGCAATGATGGAAAAAAATAAAATAAAATAAAATCGTCCAATCACCTTCCTTTGACTGTGTGTTCGTATTTGTAATCAGGTTGTCTTTTTAGTTCGGGGTTGATCTCGGTCGAATTTAGTTTCATCATTAACCGGACGTGTGCGCCAAAAGTAATTCATTTGGGTTATATGGAAATGAGAGAAAAAAAAATTTCACCAAATTCAGCATTATCATGAACTCTTTTTTTTTGCACTTCTTTTTTTCAACATTTTTTTCGCCATTTTTTCTCTTTCCTATCTTCTATTTTTGTTTTTCTCGTTCCCCCCCATTTTTTCATCGTTAGCTAAATACACTTCACTGATAAAATGCTGTTCAAAACTTAATTAACAAAGTTTATTATGTAATTTAATTAACAATATTTTTAATTAAGTTTTTTCACCCCCATCATGATTTTATTCTACCCCACATTTTGCTGTTTTTTTCAACCAATTCTCATCATCATCATCAACATCATTCTCATCTGCATCCGTTTCAAAACAATTTTTTGCCATAAAATTAAATCCCGAAAAAAGAAAACTGAATTAACTATTTTTTAAATATCAATTTATTTTGTCTCCATTCGCTTTCACTCGAACAGCAGCAGTGTTTCACCATATAGCAAGTGACAACCGATTTCTTTTGTTTTGTTAATTTTTTTTTCAAAAATGTTGTTGTTTGGTCGTTTTTCCCGTTATTTTTATTTTTTGCATTATTATTGATTAAAAAAAACATGCACACGCGGACAAACAAACTGTGAAAGGGCTAGAAACATTAACCATGGTAGGACCAGCAAACAAACAAAAAAAAAATTAATAATTCGATATCAAGCAAAAAAGGGAAAAACATCCCATTTTCTCCATCAACCACCATTATTTTGTTTATATTCAAAACCATTTATTATTCAATCATCATTATCAATAAACGTCATTATCATTATCGCCATTTTCTTTGTTGTCTGGTTTGGTTCGATTAATAACGATAGAATTGTAAATTAATTTCAAATTGTTCATCGATTATGAGGACGATGAATAAAAAGCCAAAAAAAAGAAATCGATATTTTCAAAAATTCTTTTCATGATTCATTCGTTATACAATTCAATGCTGAAAAAAAATGAAAATGAGCAAATGAGACAATGAATCACATGTCGATGTGATGATACACATTAATGAATGGACAGAATTTTTTATTTTCATTCATTCGCCTTTCACATTCACTAATAGTATTATACATAAAATTTACTGATAAATTTTGATCGAATAATAAAAATGTGAATAAAAATTGAACCTGATAAGAGCCCGTTGAGCTATACAATCTGTATTATGGTAAATGTGTTTGGTGACAATATTTAAAGTAATGGGAAAATTATGCGATAATTTTTTTTTTGTTCACATATATTCTCTATATTCACATTTTCATCATCATCATCATCATCATCATTATGATTATTATATTGAAGAAAAAGTTTGCCATTGTCATATTCACCCTTATCATATCTATATTGGTTTGTGGTTATTTTTTTTCGAAAATATTCTGTTACTATTTCCTATTTTTTTTGCAGGAAAAAAAATATAACCACAGTAGCAGTAGAATTATTTAAAATAATAATAATAATGATTACATTTATTGATTTGGCCATCATCATCATTATCATTATCATACAGTAGCATTCAGTAGCATTAATTCTTATCATCATTCATTCATTCATTCATTGTCAATGTACATATTTCTGAATTAATATGATGATGATAATGTTATAATGATTGATCAAATTCTGTATTAAATATATGAAAAAAAATTGTTAAATATCGTTTATCATCATCATCATCATTTTATCGATTAGAACCTGATAAGCCAAAGTAAATATAAACCGAATGAATGAAAAAACGATGGACATTGAAATGGAAATCAAAAAAAAAAATAGCAAAAAGATCAATGGACCAAAGAATAGGAAAAATGAATAATTATTCCATACAAATGATGAAAAATTATAAAAATCAAATGTTGAAAATTGAAATTTGGAATTCTCCCTCTATTCTCCCTGCACACCCTCAACCAAACCCAAGCAACCAGCCAAAAAAAAAAAGAAGAAGAATCCTTTTGTTTATCCTTTTCCATTAATTCATTTCATCAGTTTTTAACTAGAAAAAAACTATAGCTTTATCTCCAAGTTTTAGCCTCATTAACTCATTGTTTTTTGTTTGTTTGTTGTTGTTGGTCCCTCTATTCTTCATCATAATCATTGTCATTGTCTTTTTTTTCCATTGCAAAGTGTCAAATCCTATGTAGTTTCATCATCATCATAGTAATTAGCCCAATAAGCCATTTGGCCAGCAGCAGCATTGGCCATTCGGTTTTAATTATACCAAAAAAAATACTTTTAGCAAAATTGATTTAATACTACTGCTGCCTATTTGTTAATGCATTACAATCACAATGGGTGCACAACAACAACAACGGCAACAGAATCAAAAAAAACAAACGACAACCAACATGAAAAAAACTAAAAAAAAACTTCCATTGATAAAATGACAGTGGTATTTTAATTTTTTCCAATTATTAATACAACCAGAGATATCAGCAACAACCAGAACCCAAAACAAAACAGAAAAAAAGAGAGGGAAAGGGCGAAAAAAAATGATCATCGATATTTTTTTTCTGGAGAACAGCGCCGACGCATCAGAATCACTATATCTATTCTATTTGGTTTGGTTGATATTCCAGAATCCAATGTATCCTTTATATCGTTTTTTTTTTTTTGGTTGTTGTGTATGTTTCCTATAAAATAAGGCAACATTTGAATTTGATGTTTCATTCGTAATTCATACACGAGGTCCACATGTGGTCCACATACACACAGAAACAAACTAAACAAATTCCAACAAAAAGAAAATTAGTTAATCATTAGTCTGTTGCATTTCGTAAATCAATTTGTTTTTTGTTTTTTTGATTCTGGAATTTCGTATGAAAAATTAACAAAATGACATCGAATGAACATTTTACCAGCAGTGGATCATCATCATCATCATCACGAAATAGATCATCATCAACACAACAGCAACAACAACAGAATAGTTCAAATAATTCTGGAACAAAATCATTAAAATTTATTCAAAATTCTCATCATACACATCATCAACAACAACAACAGAAACCTAAATCATCATCACCACCACCAAAATGTTTTGGATGTCATAAACCAATATTGGAAAGATATTTTCTTAAAGCATTAGATCAAATATGGCATGAAGATTGTTTAAAATGTTCTTGTTGTAATTGTCGTCTTGGTGAAATTGGTTCAACATTATTTACAAAAGCTGATCTTATTCTTTGTAAACGAGATTATCTTAGGTAAGATTTTTTTTTGTTTGTTGAAAAAAATATCCGATCATCTTATTATCCACTAATCATGATCTATTTATTCTTATGCTCCAACAAAAAAAAACAGAATGTTTGGCGCTACTGGATTCTGTTCATTATGTAATAAACAAATTCCTGCATTCGAAATGGTTATGCGTGCAAGAGGTAATGTTTATCATCTGGAATGTTTCAAATGTGAAGCCTGTAATCATGTATGTAATTCAAATAAAAATTTTTTTTCTTTCAAAAAATAAGATTAAATTTTGCACACACCAAAAAAAAAATTGGATAAAATTTTTTTTTGTTATATCTTTTTTTAAAAAAATAGAGATTTTGTGTTGGTGATCGATTCTATTTGCATGATAATAAAATATTATGTGAATATGATTATGAAGAACAGATGGCATTAAATCAAATTCATCAACAACAGCAACAGCAGCAACAGCAACAACATCCATATTATCATAACTTAACAAATGTACAAGCAGCAGCAGCAACTGAATTACATTCACCAATGCAACTTCCGGTAATTTTATCAAAATCTCCAACCCATCCGCATCCGCATCAACATCAACATCATCATCATAATCGTCAACAACAACAACAACAGCAACCATCATTTCAACATGAATCATCATTAATGCACCCAATTGATTCGTCGGATTGTAAAATGAAAATTAAAAATTATTTAACATCACCACCACCACCACCATCATCATCATCTCAGCCACAACAATCATCATCTGCAGCAGCATCAACGGTTGGAACATCAACAGCAATAATAACTAATGGACCAAATGGATACTAAAATTTTTGGGAAATTTATTATCATCGTTTTTTTCTGTTATTTTAGTTGTTTTTTGTTGTTGTCTATTATCATCATCATTATCATTGAAATCATTTATGTCATCTACCATCATACACACACTTACATGCAATATACATCAAAATGGGAAAAAAAATTCAACCCTTTACCAAACATTTTCATTTTTTTCGGACCAAATTGTTTCATTTCGATTTTCTGATTTTCAATCATACATTTTTTCTTTTCTTTCTTATTAAAGCTGATTTGAAAACAAGCCAAAAATATTATAGAAAACGCTGTTACAGAAACATTATTTCTGAAATGAAAATTTTTTATCATTTTTGGAATGGTAACGTGTGTCAGTCGGTTGGTCAATTGAATTTCGTTTTTGACATTAGATGTAAGCAAGTGTGTCATGCACATTAATGAAAACTCTTGAATTTTTTTTTTTTGAATTCAACCACATTAGTTAATCAAATAAGCGTAAAGATAAAAGTTAAATTTGGTCATTTTTTTTGTTGTAAAATCTGATTTCGGTTGGTTAGTTTTTGGTGAATGGGGGGAGGGAAGGAAAAACTGGTTGATAACGGTACATTTATATGATATGTCATTTATTCTCAATCTCAAAATCGTTTGTTCGGTTGTAAATGTTTTAAAGATATTTCTTTTGTTTTGTTTTGTTTGTCAAACAACAATTGAAAAAAATTGTGAAACAAATTTTCTTTTTGTTTGTTGTTGTTTGGTTTGAAAAATGGACCATTTCGGATTGAAAAAAAAATGTTTTGATAATGAAACTCGATAAATGGAAATAGTTTTTTCCATAGTTTTTCAATTCGATTTCAAATTCTTTGTCGTTTTTTTTCGAATATTATCTGTTACATCAGCTTTCAAGTGATTATTTTATGCTATTTTAAGCGAATCACAATTTTTCAAATGAATGTGATGAAGAAGAAAAAAAAATTTAATGCATTATTTATGTTAGATTTTTCAAAAACAATTAACCAAAATGATAAGAATCATAGTGATAAAATACACACACACATACATCATGATTTAACAACAACGTCTATTGTCAATGAATGATAATTATTTGAAAAATTGAACGATAGAGAGAAAAATCCAACAAAAAAAATTTAAGTAAAAATCGATGTTATCGAAATTAAACAAAACAAAAAAAATTCTTTGATTTAACAATTTTTTCCATTTTATCGTCATCGGTATTAATTTGTTACCGAATAACAAACAAAAAAACAAAAGTAGGAGCTGAAAAAAAAAACATTCTTCACACATCGTTATTTACCAAATGATTGGTTTGGTTTATTACATTTTCATTCATCACTTTTGGATTGTAATTTTTTTTGCTGTTGTTGAACATTTATCGTTGTCAGCTTATTACATGATCTTTCCATTTGTTCAAAAAAAAACAAACGAAAAATTCGTTTCCTTCACAAGCATACATAAAGAGCTAGGTAAAAGCCAATTTCTTAATTCAGTTTCTTTGTTTTTTTTTTGTTTTATATATAAAAAAATACCCATTAACGACAATGGACGATGATGACAATAATAAATTCAGTATTGAATTATCAGAGAAAATCAAACCGAATTGAAGAATATTTTTTTTATACAGTACTTTTTAACAAAACAAAAAATAGCGTGATTGTGAATAGGTTTTTTTTAAAAAACAAAACAAAACAAAATAGCAACGAGAACACAATATTATAATTTAAATTGAATGAATGGATCTAAATTTCATCAAATGAATTGAGAATTGCGAATGTATAATGGAAAATGGACATCATCAGAAACACATTTACAAACTGAAAAAAATAAAATAACAAAACAGAAAACCCCCTACCGCTGTCCTGGTGATTTTTTTTTTGTTGTCTAAAAATGTAATGAATTTGATTACTGGTTTGATAACAACAGTGGTTAAAGTTAATTATCATAATGTTCATTATTTAATTAAATTTATCCCATATTATTATTATTATTATTAATAATACAAATGGATGCAATCTTTTTTTTATTACAGTGGATCGTCAACCGTAGATGAATCATGATTGGAATAACGAGAAAATTTTTTTTTTTTGATGAAAACTTACTATCATTGATTGACGTCATCAATACCATCATCATCATCATTTTAATGAATACAAAAACTAATCTTCAATTAAACTTTCAATTTAGTTTTTTTTTCGGTATTGGTGTGCAAAAAGAGAATAAGAGATAGATAGAAAAAACAACATAATAATTAAAATAATTAATCGTTGATCGTAAACGAAAAAGGTTCGAAAACACTGAGGTTTAAATGGGGAAAAAAACTGCTAAACAACATGATTCTGTATGATAATCATCTTAATAAATAATAATTCGAAACGATCCTATTTTTTTCCTGACATCAATCTTCTAATTGTTTGAGAAAAAAAATTAATGAATATTACTGACTTTGACATGATGGAGAAATGGTCCAGAATTTCTTTTGGAGAATAAACGAAACGAGAAAAAAAACAAACAAACAACATCATCATAAATGATGATTTTATGCTTATATTCAATATGTGTGTGTGTGTGTGTTTATTCTAAATTAAATTTATTCAATCACAAATCAGAATAATAAGACGTTCGTTTTTTGTTGTTGTTGATATCGTTTATTATTTCATTCATTCATTCTTTTAGTGAATTTCTGGGTGAATTCATGTGGCCGTTCATAGAGAAAAGATTCCGATCCAAATTCTCTCTCTCTCTCTTTGTGTGTGTGTGTTTTATTTTTTTTGATGAAAAAAAAAGAAATCCATTTTTATGATTAAATTTTTTGGCTCTTCATATTATATATTCTTTTTCATTCACAGTATATACTGCCCAGAATGAATTGTTCATTCAGTAATGTTGTTGTATGAGATGTGGTGGTGGGGGATGGTTGGTTGGTTGGGAAGCAAAAAAAAAAATCACTCATTATTGAATTGATAAGATAGGATAGATGGATTTTGGGCAATTTTGTTTGTTTGTTCAAACAATAAACAACCGACCGACCGACCGACCTATGACAATTACTTTGTTTGAAAGAATTTTTTTTAATCTTAATTCTTTCAAACAAATCAAACCAAAAAAAACGAAAGGTGTGTGCGTGTTTTTGCTTAATTTATCTTTAGGAATAACGTAAAAAAAAATCCAAAATAATCAAATAATCGTTGCTAATTTGGTATTTTGTTTTTTTTCCTGAATTATAAATATAACCACATTAACAAATTGGTTAAGAAAAAAATTTCAACCAATTTCTTAATTAATATAATATAATTCTGGTGGGAAAAAAATTGAAAAAGTTTGTCACATTTTCCTGTATACAATGTGTCAAAAAATGTTGTTTTTTTTCATTTGTTTACAACCGAAAATCAGTTTGGATAAAGTGAAGATATAGATAGCAGAGAAATCATCATCATCAATGAAACAAAATTGTTATATAATGGTCAAAAATATTAAATATATAAGTACTTGTTATTATTGGTTATCAATGATAATGATAACAGAATCAAATGAATGAATGAATGAATAAAAAACGAAAACGAAAACGAAAAGAAGAAAAAAAACACTATTCTATAGTAATGATGATGATGATAACAAATATAAACTACTAAATGTTTTTTTTATATATCGCATTGACATTCATATATACACTTCTTATTCTTTAACATTTCAATTCAACAATAACAGATCAAACATTGAATGAATCAATGAATCAATGAAAAGGAAAAAAAAGTCCAACAACAACAACAATAACAATAACAACGAAACGAGATAAGAGTTTTATGGTTTTTCTTTCTTTCTTTCATATATGAAAATCGATGTCATTTTTGTTGTTGTTGTTATTGTCGAAATCGACATCCTTCGAAGCAACAACAACAACAAACAAACAAACAAATCCTGAAAACCAAAAGAAAAAAAAAACATCAAATAAAAAAGAAATGGGTCTGGATATGTATTTCTAAACCAGTGATTCTCAACCTTTTTGTTGTCGCGGCACAATTTTAGAATTTTTAAATATATAACAGTTGCATTTTCAGAATTTCGCGGCACACCAAAGTGCCGCGGCACACTGGTTGAGAATCACTGTTCTAAACACATCAACCTTTAACTAACAATTAGAATCATCGTATCATCAATGGATTTTTTCTCCTTTATATATTCTTGGTTTTCGATCAATTGACATGGATTTTTTCTTCTATTCGCTTTGGATGAAGAAGAAGCAACATTAACGACATTAAAAATCGACATAATCATCATCGTCATAATCATCATCATCATTTCGGGTTGCTCTCTTATCGCAAACAAACGCGGCATTTATTTTCAATTTTCTTTGTTGTTCATTTATATCATTTGGAAAAAACTATTGGCTCCTTATGAATGAACATTTTTTTTGTTGTTGAAGGCGAATTGCCGCCGGACGCGTGTTTAATCGGATGTGGTGCGTTTTTGTTTCCGCCATAAGGTTAATGATTGAATTTTGAGATAAATTCTATCTTAAATTTTGTTTATTTGTATAGAACTTTAGATATTTTTGTTTGCCCATTATACAGTTTTTTTCTCTTTATTACTCTCTCTTTTTTTTTGTCATTACACGTCGTGTGCAGCAAGCGATTTTTTGCCCCATATCGAATAGAAATTCAATTCAATTCATTTCATTCCATTTTCTAACATTTGATTGGAGTCAGTTTTTATTGAATGAATGGATGAATGAATGAATGGCTAGTTAGCTGTGTGTGTGTGTATCATCAATGTATCATTATTTTTGGTGACTTTATTCCGGTTCATTTCAAACATTATTCATTAAATTAACGGTTGATAAGATAAGAGAAAAAAAGAATGTCTATAATGACCAATGTCCATTATATTTGTGTTCATTTATTTGTAAAAAATTCTGTTTCTGAAATTCTAAAATAAAACGATATTCAATAACATTTTTAGATTTTATTGAAGATATTTTTATTATTATTGTCAATAATGAATTTTTTTTTTGAAATGGTAGATTTAAAAAAAAAAGATCAACAACAATTTCCGTAATTGAAAAAAAAAACGATAATGACAACAACAAGAAACGAAAAAAAAATCCATTATGATTGTGCATAGTAGAAGTGAAGAATTTTTCATTTTTTTGTTGAAAACATGCAAATCCAATGATCAATGATCAAATGGTGAATCTCCACTTCCATAACCGCTACTTGCATCACATAAATCGCCATCCATTTTATTTGGATGTTGTTGTTGTTGTGGTTGCTGATGAATATGTTGATGATGATTATTGTTTGTAATATGCATATTATTATTATTATTATTATTATGATGATGATGATAAGGATGAGCTTGTTTAAAATGATGAGAAGATATCAATGGCTGTAATGATGATTGTGATGATGATTGAATCGTTTGTTGTTGTTGTTGTTGTTGTTGATGTCGTTGCATTAAATCATTTAGATGATTATTTCGTGATAGATTTGCAAATAACATTCTTTCTTCATAATCATATTCACATAGAATTTTATTCTCATATAGATAGAATCGATCACCAACGCAGAATCTGTTTGAAGATCAAAAAAAAACGAGAATCAAGAAGAAAAAAAATCAAGAATAAATATGAGTTACAAACAATTATTATTATTACATTATAATAATCATAACTATCAATGAATGAAAAGATAAGGTCAGAATATCAGCGAAATTTTTTTCCATTTTTTTTTCTTGTTCAATAAGTGTATTCAATCATTTTATACAATTTAATCTTGACATTTTATCTTTTTCTTGTCATCATCATCATCATCATCATCATACATACATATTTCAAATAATAATACTTTAATGTGTATTTGTGTCTGCATACGGAATATCATTATTATATTAATGTAATTTATTTATTGGATTCAAAAAAAAAAAAATGTTGAGACAAGGCCTTTAAAAGACATTACATTACATTGCCATAGACAATGCGAAATAGAATCCAATATACTTGATTGACGATGATGAGATTCGATAAATAGAAATACACAATTATTTAGACATTCATATCTTTTTATATATACACACAATATACAAAACATGTACACTTTAATTCTTTTTCAATGCATTTATTTTTTTTGTGAAAAAAAACCAATATCCTAATCATAATCATCATCATCGTCAACGCCGCTTCATTCATTCTTATAATTTGATTGAGTTTGACAATTTATATATAAACGATACAGGATCTATTTGGGTTGTATAGAGAGAGAGGGTTGGTCTATTTGATGATGATGATAATATAGACGTATTGGCCAGGCAATAAACGCTAATTGATTTGCTCTACATTAATTTTTGTTTTTGTTTTTCCACCCTGTTGTATATCAGAGTGATTGATGTTTTTTTTATACCCTACTTATTTATAGAATAATAATATTAATGGACTATATATGTAATTAGATTTTTTTTGGATTTTATAATCATTTTACAAAAAAAAAAATGATTTATTATTTAAATTCAAAACAAAAAACTACTTACTTTTGATGACATTGAAAACAGGAAAAACATTCCAAATGATAAACATTCGATTTAGCACGCATGACCATTTCGAAACCGGGTATTGTTTTATTACATGCTGAACAAAAACCAGTATTACCAAATAATCTAAAATAATAAAGATTTAAAAAAATTGATGATGAAAATGATATTTTATATATATGAAACAAAACAAAAAAACAGTCTAACAGGAAAAAAAATAAATTTAAATTGTTTCAATTAAGCTAAATTATTATTATTAGATAAATAATATGGAAAACAAAATGAAATACTTTTGGGTGAATGCGAGAGAGAGAAAGAGAGAATCAAGAATAATTTGTTTTCGATTAATAAAAAAAATGATAATACACACATAAATGTTAGGGGAAAAGTGAACAAAAAAAAATCCGTTATTCGAGACGAATTGGTCATTTCCATACTAATTTTTTGTACAAATTAGTGAAAAAACAAAATAGAGTGAGAGAGAGATAGATGATTATATACAATAAAGTATGCAAACCATGAATATAATCTAAATGGATCATGCAATATGAATGATATATAATTGTTCATTTTCAATCCTTTCCTTCCCCCTCCTCCACTCAAATATCCATTTTAGTTTGTTATGTGTGTTTCAAGCAATTTTAATTAAATTAATTATTAATAGATTTGAATGAAAATGGAAAACATGAATGAATGAATGAACCTTTGAATGAAATGAGGGAATTCATGATTACACCAACAACAACAACAAAAAACGAAAACAATAAGCAAAAAAAAAAAAATGGAATGGAATTGGAAAAAACCACATCATATATGAGAGAGATAAAATTGAGGAGGGAGGAAATTTTTTTTTTGTTTTGTTTGTTCGAAAACAATCTGTATAACGAATAATGGACCCAGAGCTTAAACAGAACATTTTCGTCTTCGTTTCCTCCCCCCCTCTCTTGCATATTTTTATTTGTACGTTTTATTCAAACACAGAGCATATATAATACATCTATATGAATGAAAGAAGGGAGGAAAGGGAAAGGGAAAAAAACACAACCATAGTCAATAGAATTATTAATTATCATGCTGCTGCATAATATGATGATGATGTTGTCAGTTGGAAAATAATTAGCGATATGGTCGTTTGGTAGCCATAGTAGTGGTGGTGGTAATAATCATCATCGGTGATATATTATATGTAGACAAAGAAGAATCCTGGTTATTCGTTATTATGCGTTCGAAAGTGAACGAAACGAAAACAAAACATTAAAAAAAAATTCATTTCAATGTTGATGATTATAATGATTATTATTATAATGGGATCCACTCTTCATTCTTTTTCCTTTCCCTCCGATCATCATCATCATCATCATCGACGAAAATATACAACAGCAGCAGCAGCCAAACCGATAGATTGGCCACTGTATAGTAGAATCTAATAATTGTCTTGTAAAGCAATAATAGAAAAGTACAGTAAATGAAACTGTTATTCACCAACCAAAAAAAAAAAAACGTGCCCTGGTATTTGGATATTTCAATAGTGTATGTATGTTCGGTTATTCATTCATTCTAATTATCGTCTCGTTTTTCATATTCTTCATTCATTCATTCATTCGTCGTTGTCAAATTAGAATTATTATCATCATCATCATTATTATTGAACAAGAGAGAGAAAGAAAGAATGAAAAAAAATTATGAATTATTAGAAAAAGCAAATTTAATTATGAATCCCCGAGACACACACACTATAAAGTCTAAAGTAATTGTGCTCGCCAATTTATAAATGCCCTCTTTTTTTTCAAATAATAATAATGTTGGATAGTCCTGTTTATAATTTTGGTCTAGTTTGCTTTTTTGTCTGATAAATTCTGTGCTGGATTTTCCTTTTTTATTATTTTATCAATTCTATAAAATCTAATCCAATGAGAATTTAGATTAGATTGATCAATTCGTTCAATTTTTGTAATAGGAAAATTCTCTAAATGAAAAATGAATTAAAGAATTTGTGTTCATAATGGTAATTTCAAACAATAAGAGAAATAAAACTTTGCCACGTGTTTGTAACATGTTACGTGATGTGCAGCGGTTTTTTTTCCCAGTTGTTAATGTTGTTTTGAATTTTTCTTTACTTTTGTACATAATGTATGTTGGAAATTAATTTCAATTTTACAAAGTGCAATCGATTTTTCTTTTCCCTTTATACCATGAATGGCAGATGTCCTTCTGTTATCCAATGTAACCGATGCTGCTGCTGTTGCTGCTAATATTTGATGGAAACAAATTCAATTTTGATTTTTTTTTCATTCATTCAATTAAACTAATTGAATACTATACTACAAAGAATGAACAAACAATAAAAGAAAAAACAGAATCACATCACAGATTATGGATCATTTTTCATTCAACAAAAAAAAATTTTCTTTTCATTTTCAATTGAAAAACAGCAACAACAAAAAAAATCTATACTTTCAAATGATTCAAATGTGAACACCACTCTATGTAGACACTAAAATTCTAGATTCAATTAAATTTTCAAACTATTTGCATCATCGTTTTTTTTTGTTTGTCGTATGTTGTTCAAAACTTATAATTAATCAAAAGTTGGCTATAATTTTCTTTTTTTCCCTTTTTTCATATAATTATTATTATTAATAAAAATAGAATAAAGTAGCTTTTGTTTTTTTTTCTGTAACTGACAGAATCCAAAATTGTTTTAAATTTTTTGTTTTGTACATTACACTTTTTTTTGTTTTTGTTTTTAATGGTCGAAAACATTGTCTATATATCGTTCATTATTATTAAACTAATTAAAAGTTTAATCAAGCTAAAACTAATTATATAACTAACCAACCAAGTCAATTCTATATGTGTGTTTTTGCAAGAATACATTAATATTGTAATCATAATAATAATAAGAATAATAACAAGAAGAATCATGGGTATGTGATAGAAATGAATGAATGAAGAGAATGAGGATGATGATGATTATAATGTTCCAATATTAATGCTTATAGGATCACATACAGAATTATCACACTGTGTGTGTATGTAATGATAGGATTCTTGAATAATATGAATGAATATGAAGAGTTTCAATTAAAAAAATTTCAACAAAAAAAAAAGTTTGTCTTTTTATTCCAATCTGTGTGTGTGTGTGTTATAAGTGTGTTGGTGTCATATATTATTACTATACTGGTAATACTAATTAAAAATAAAGTCAAACTTTGAATACTTTTTTTTTTTGATTATATAATAATAATGATGATTAAAATAAATGGGAAAAAAGAATGAAATGAAATGAATAACCAGATTGAGTAAGTCACGGGCAATATCACTTTCAATTTTCATGCCTCTTTTTTTTCGGTCCATCATCATCATCATCATTTTCATAACGTTTAATTAAATAGAAAGCATTTTTTTCAAACAGGATTTGTAACTGATCCAAACAACAACAGCAACCAAAAAAAAAGAAAAGAAGATGTATGCGATATAATGCAAACAACATAAAGTATGTGTGTGTGTGTGTAATGGATATGAAATTTATTAAAAAGAGAATGAGAGAGGCAGAGAGGAAAAAATTCATTTGGATACCATTCTTTTTTTCAACAAAAAAATAATAATAATAATAATTGCTGCATGCATGATGATCATGAATGTTTCATGGTTTATTATTTTTCTCTTCATGCTATTTGACATCAAATTTTTAAATAAAATAAAGTAAAGTGAAAAATTCTTCATCATTCTTACCTTAAATAATCTCGTTTACATAGAATAAGATTTGCTTTTGTAAATAATGTTGAACCAACTTCACCAAGACGACAATCACAGCAAGAACATTTTAAACAATCTTCATGCCAATATTGATCCAATGCTTTAAGTAGATATCTTTCAAGTATTGGTTTATGACAATTAAAACATTCGGCTGGTGTCGATGATGATGATGATGATGATGATGATGATAATGATTGTACAGTGTTGTTGTTGTTATTGTTATTGTTAGTCGATCTTGACACTTGTTTTTGTTTACTATTACCAGCCATTTTTTTCATTTATAATAAAAAACAACAACAAAATTAATCAAATCAAAAGAATACAAAGAATTTTGATTAGATACAATGATAAAAGCAATAATGTTTTGTATTTTTTTTCGTGATACGCGCGTAAAAATAATTTAATACGATCTGATCGAATGTTCTATGTACGAATGAAATTCTGACTGTTACATGAAGTTCTTCACATGGACTTAATATGAAAAAAAAACTAAATCAACAAAAGAAATATTCCATCTGTTACTGCTAGTAGCATTGATTGAATGATCAAAATTATCTTAGTTACAAAAGATTCATACAAACGGTATATAAAAATGAAAATCGATCCTAGCATGCTTGGCGCCATACTTCGAACAACAACAACAACACATAGACGCATTATTTTTTGTTGAAAAAAAATTCTTTACCAAATAGGATTCTATATATAAAAACCAAAGGTCTGAAAACATTTCGGATCAGATCATTATATATAGATAAGATACACATGCATTCAAACAAGCGGAAAAAAACTACATTTTGCTATTTGTTTCAATTAGATTATTATTATTATGATTCGTTCATTTGTAGTGTACCAAACACACAATTTTTCCCAAATATATTTTTTTTATCTTATTATTGTATAAACGTTTTGTTTAGTTTTTTTTCATCCTCGCTAAGTGGCAATCATCATTGATTATTATTAATATTTTTTTATATATACTATATTCACTTTGTTTGATTTTTCTCTCGTTTCAAATATAATAATTATCATAATAATAATAAAATTCGTAATTTTCATATATAGATAAAATACATATTTGTGGAATGTATGTGTAATTTTGGCAAACAGTTTCATTATCCATTACAAATTATTATTATTATTATTGTTCTATATGGATATGAAATAGATTATCAATGTGTAAAGAAAGAAAGAAAGAAAAAAACATTGTTTTATATATAATCTATCATATTGAATTCTAATAGATCGATTTTTTGTTTTGGGAGATTGTATGAGATTGAATATGAATATAGAATCGACCAATCAATTTTTTCAATATTTGATCTGAAATAGCAGAATGACAGTAGTTATTGATTTGCCTTCAAGCTTTTTTTGTTTTTCGTTTTTTTTGATATAAAATACTAATCGAAAATGATAGAGAAAAAAGAAAGAGAGAGAGAGAAGAGAAAATTGATGATACAGATCATTCTCATATTATTATTATTTTTACATATAAAATTATTATTACACATTGGTTGGCAGCTACGAAAAAGAAGAATGCCATTATATTTATCATTCATTTCACTTTTCTCTTGTCTGATATAATAATAATAATAATATGAATTTCAAAAAAAAACAACCATCATATTAACAATCATATTTTTTTTATTGCATAAAAATGATGTGTGCTGTTGTTGTTGTATCCAATTTCACAAATAAATAAATAACTAAATAACTAAATATTATTCTTCATCATTTTTTTTCGACAGATTCCATTGACTGTTGTTATATCATCATCATTATTATTATTATTATTGACCCTAACAAGCTCATTTGTTGTTTGCTCATTGCTGTTGTTATTCATATTATATTCTGGTTTTTCTGTGGCCAATTTCGACTAACAATTCTTGGATATATATTTTTTTGAAGGGGAGAAGGGGATAGTATCTTTTGTTGTTGTTGCTTTTTTTTAGCTTAATGAAACTTTGATATCAGCTAATGAATGGACTAAAATTCCAGAAAAAAAGAAAAAAACATTTTGAATTAAAAGCTTGCTTGCATTCGCATTGATATATTGCACAACCCGAATTAATTAATTATTATTATTGACAAAAATTAAAGTAATTGAACTCACTTCTGTGAACGAAAACAGAAAAAAAACATCCTATTAATTATGATGATGAAAATGGTTAGCGAACCCGGAATTCATTTCCTAACTTTCGACAAAAAAGAGAGAAAACTAAGCAAAAGAAGAAGAAGGAGAAAAAAATGTCAATTTACAAATTAAACTTGATTCTGTGATGGAAAAGAGAAAAGTTTTTCTTTCTTTACCATTCACCAAGTTTAATTTGAATTATTCGTTGATCAGTCACCATCATCATCATCATCATTATAATCATAATCATTTTGAATTGAAATTACTTGAACAGAACGAGTCAATTTGATAACGAATGCAATTTGTAATTTTAGTTATTGTCGTCCTCTTTAATCAAGCTAAATAGGCTTGTTGCTGTTATTATTATGATTATTATTGTCCGATAAATTCGCAGCCAGTTTATTTAGTAAATGTCCCTTTTTTTTGTATTATAACAGTATTATTGTAATAACATCTTAAACAAATTATTACCATGTATGTGTGTCTGTTGTGGATATCGTTTCCCGATTTATATAACATTTATATTTTGTTATATAATATTTATATATCTAAATAGCTAACAAATAACTGGCCACAAAATGCATTACGATAATTAACTTGTGTGCCTTTCGATATTGCTATTATTATGTGTGTGATGATGATAAGGATCCTCTTAGCTATATTTATATCGTAGATGTGTGTTCTATACGTTCTGTAAAAAAAACCGTTTTGGGTTTCGCTGCTTGTCATTATTATTATTATTATTATTCGTAGTCGTTGTCACTGACATTTCAACTTCTCAATCTATATATACAAATATTTGAAATGAATGTGAAAAAAATACATTATCGGCTAAAAAAAAAACCATTTTGTATTTTTAATCCATTTGGAATAATTTGTTTTTTTTTTCCCAAACCATTCAGTCACTCTTATTTTCGTTTCTTTTGGCTGCTGTTGTAGTTAGTTTAGCAATCATCATGAATAATATACAATTAATAACAAAATCTGTAAAAGATTGAATAGTAGGAAAATTAACGCAAGTTTAATTAAAATCAAATTTTTTTTCTTATTTCTAAAGAAAGGAAAAAAAAACGTTCACCTTAAATGGATTATCGATGAATGTTAAGAATATAACGTTGATTCATTGGACAAACAAACCAAAAAACTCAATTTGAACTGATTATTGGTTGTCAGATTTTTTTTAATGGTCTATTTTCGATAATAACAATACTAAATAAAATTTTGTGATTAGTCAATTAATTATTAACAAAATGTATATAATGATAATGTATAGTATGTTTACTTGTTGTGTTTAATATAATTTTTAACAACAAGACGAAGAAGAAGAAAACTAAAATCTTAAGATTTTAGTTTAGAATATGTCAATGTTATTATCGGGATATACATTATCGTCGTCGTTTTCAATAATGTCCGGTTATATTTACAATTCACTATTTTATTTTGGTGGGACCAAAGGAAAAAAGAGAGGACAGGACGAAAACAAGCATTTCTAATACATAACAACAACAACAACAACAAAGGCCATTAGCTACTTTAGAAGAAAAAGGTTTCGAAAATTTTTTTTTATTCCATTCATTATAATGTGTGAATATTTTTTTTTATTTAGTTATTTATTTTTATTCTGGATCAGTCACATACATATATACCAACCAAGTACATATATTTAAAATGCATTTACATTTAGAATTTTATCAATATATAATATGGAATATATATAGAGAGGGGGGAAAAAATGCATCAATAAAGACAAATCAAATGCGAAAAGCATCCGACAACGACCAAAGCAATGATGATGATGATGATGATGAGAATACACATTTATCTAATAAAGCAACGACGAAATGCACTTAAATTGAAATAAAATCTTTTTAATGTACTTTGGGCCAACAACATTTGTTGTTGTTGTTGTTGTTGTTATTGGTGATGATGATGATGATGTTTTTGCTTTTGCCTTCATTTTGGTCCAATGTCGATGGGTGTATGTTTGTGTGTGTGTGTGTGTGTCTATGACAATCCTTGAAAAAAATTGGCATGAAAGATGCATTTAGAAAATAATATGGTAATCTATTTTATTATTTATCATCTTGGAACACACACACACACACACTTATATACACTCTATATCCACTAATATAAACATAATGTGGTACCAAAAAAATAAAAACAAAAAATAAATAACTTTATTTTCTGGATCAGTTTTTTTATATATTTGTTCATTGCGAATACCAATTCCATATTGCAGAATTGAAAGTTTTTTTTTAATGGACTCAATTACATTACACAGAGCTATATGATGATGATAATAATCATCAAAAAATCATTATAAATAAATCGATCGATCGATCGATATTGAATGAAAAATTGATAAATATAATTAGATCAATCAATCAATCAAGTAAGTATTATTATCGAGAAGAAAACTAATTATACAATAATCATCATTATAATGAATTAATAGAAATTAATAAAACATTTTGAATTTGTATGGAAATATAATTGATCGATATTCGTTGATAATGACAAATTAGGTTTATTAGAAAATGGATATATCACAATCATTATTGAAAAAAAAAGATATTTCTCATGAAGGTTTCTATCAAAAATTACACCCAATGTATAATATCAATTTATAAAATTAAATTTTTATTCATTCATTTGCTTTCTTTCTTCCATGTTCTAAATTTACAATGATCCATTGTTGTTGTTGTTGTTGTTGAAAATGATGAATATAATGATAGTTTAATTGAAGAAGGAAAAAAATGATGAAAATAATTTTCTATTCATACAGTTTGGGAAAAAGCTATAAAATTGATAATAAAAATAAATATTTTTTTCAAAAAGAAAAATAGAAAACACGCACACCGAAGACAACATTTCAATTTAATATTATCATTTCGTTTTCTTTCAAGAATTAAAGTTTGCTAAAAATCGATTATTTCAATGGCCTCGTTCGAATGTGAATATTCAAAAAAAATAATGTGAATATCATTAAATGTAAAGTATTTAGATTAAATTTTTTTTCCAATTCTTGTTGTTGATGATGATTGTCGAATGCCAAAAATAGAATCATAAAACGGTAAACGAAAAAAAAAACAATTCAAAAATTTTGAATAATAATAAAATTATATGAATCATCAATTTACAATCAAATATTATGTTGATGATTACAAATTTATTCGTTTTATATTTATATTATTTTCGGATCGATAATGTCATCTCACACAAAATTAATCTAAATTCCATACATCAAATATATGTTTGTAGAGAAAAAAAATTTCAATTGAATGATTAGATGGTTAAAGTGTCAGAATAAAATCGTCATCGATATAGAGCCATTTGTTTTATTTTTTTTTGCAAAGGAATGTTTTTCATGCAGATTTTTTTTATTCCTGTTTATAAATCAAAGTTTGACAATTTAGACAATGTTATCAAAAAAAAAGAAAGAAAAACTTTTATTTATTCGCTTTTATTGTAAAAAATTCTACTGATGACAACATAAGTGGAAAAAATCCAAAGTTTTTTTCTCCTATTTTGAATTTTTATTCTTTATATACTTTTTTTTTGTTTCTTCAATAAATTTTGATTATATTGAATTGTATTGAATGAGAAAACATTAACAAAAATGGAAATGGAAATGTTTCTGTTACATATACTACAGTGTGTATCGATAACATGATAATAAATCCCATAAATATAAAAGTAAAATAGTTTGTGTTTAATAGATGGGCAAATCAAGGGCCATTACCATTAAAACAATAAAAACGAAAAATACATTATGATTGTCATTGATGTTGATGTTGTGTGTGTGTTTGTGAATAATGTTAAACAATGAAATTCGGTAGAAAATAGTATAGAATTTTGATACAAAAAAAAGCTTTATCAAGTTTAGTACACCTTGATGTGATGCTAGAATTTTGTTTTGTTGTCATTTTGCCAAATGAAATAAAAAACATTTCGATAATATACTCATTAGTTCACTATGTTCTAATGATTATTTGATTATATTAACACAATGATATTTTTGCTTAAAATGAAATGATATCATGAAAGTAACAGAAAAATTTTGCTTATCTTTTTTTTCAAACCAAACAACAGAATATACAAAACACTTGAGGCAATTTTCATTTCATTGTTCATTAGCCATTAAATGGAATAGATACACATTCGAAATCGCGCTAATGATTCTCCATTGATATTCGAATTCGAATGCGACCGATTTTTATTTACTATCGCGATACAATCGATACCGGGATATCAAAACAAAGCCAAACATTTTCCCGGCCATAAAATCTGAATTTTTGTTTCAAGTTGTTGTTTTTGACATGAATTTAACTTCGAATCGAATAATACAATAATGTCAGACATAAAAATTACACCGTTAGGTATTTTTATGATATAAATTTCATCAATTCAATTCTAAACAATTGATATTTTTCATCCAGGTGCGGGTCAAGATGTTGGAAGAAGCTGTATTTTGGTTACAATCGGTTCACAACGAGTCATGTTGGATTGTGGTATGCACATGGGATACAATGATCAGGTTTTTAACAAAAATTTCTTTTAAAAAAATTTAGTAATCATTAATGTTGTTTTTTTGAATTAGCGACGTTTCCCTGATTTTTCCTATGTCAGTAATGAAGAAAGTTTGGATTCATATCTTGATTGTGTTATTATTTCACATTTTCACTTGGATCATTGCGGTGCTTTACCATACATGACAGAAATGGTTGGATATAAAGGACCGATCTACATGACTCATCCAACAAAAGCTATCTGCCCAATTTTATTGGTAAGCTATTAAACTAATACAATTTTCAAAATTTAATTCGAAATTTTTTCGATTTGCAGGAAGATTTTCGTAAAATCACCGTTGAACGTAAGGGAGAAACGAATTTTTTCACATCACAAATGATCAAAGATTGCATGCGAAAAGTTATTCCTGTGAATCTTCATGAAACTGTCAAAGTAAATGATGAATTAGAGATCAAAGCTTATTATGCTGGCCATGTCTTAGGAGCTGCAATGTTTCATATAAGATCAGGACAACATTCTTTAGTCTACACTGGCGATTATAACATGACCCCTGATCGTCATTTAGGTAGTGCTTGGATTGATAAATGTCGACCAGATGTTCTCATCACTGAAAGCACCTATGCAACCACAATTCGTGATTCCAAAAGATGTCGTGAAAGGGATTTTTTAATGAAAGTTCATGAATGCATCGAACGTGGTGGCAAAGTTTTGATTCCAGTATTTGCTCTTGGACGAGCACAAGAATTGTGTATTCTTTTGGAAACTTATTGGGACCGAATGAATCTCAAAACACCAATCTATTTTGCTGTTGGCCTTACTGAAAAAGCAACAAATTATTACAAGCTTTTTATCCCTTGGACTAATCAAAAGATCAAGAAAACTTTTGTCAAACGTAATATGTTTGAATTCCGACATATCAAACCATTTGATAGGGCTTATGCAGATAATAAAGAACCTATGGTTGTGTTCGCTACACCAGGAATGTTACACGCTGGACTATCATTGCAATTGTTTCGCAAATGGGCTCCAGATCCGAATAACATGGTCATTATGCCGGGTTATTGTGTAGCAGGTACTGTTGGCTATCGGTTACTGAATGGAGCTAAAAAAATCGAATTTGAAAATAAACAATTTGTCGATGTTAAATTACAGGTTCGTTATATGTCATTTAGTGCCCATGCTGATGCTAAAGGTATAATGACTTTGATAAAACAATGTGAACCAAAAAATGTTGTTCTGGTTCATGGTGAAGCTTCTAAAATGGCTTTCTTAAATGGAAAGATTAAAAACGAATTCCATATTGATTGCTACTATCCAGCTAATGGTGAAACAATAAAAATTGATATTCCGATCTCACAGGCCGTCGATGTTGATGTTAACTTTCTAAAACGAACAATAACTTCTGGCATTTCTGACCCTAAAAGACAGAAATTAATGCATGGAACATTGAAGATTGATAGTAATAATTCTTCAATTCTTTTATGCAGCAAAGATGAATTAGAACAATATGGAATAAAACCATTCACTATTACATTTAAAACTTTTATTAAATTGGAAAATGAACAATCCGATTCGTTATCATCAGAAGAAATAACGCAAGTTATCTATGAAAAATTAAAAAGCAGTGAAAAACTTAGTGATCAACATGTGATAAGCAAACCTAGTGAAACAGAAGTACTAATTTCACAGGTTTTGATTCAAGTTCAACCAAACGAAAACGATCAAAGTAGTAAGGAAATTATTATTAAATGGCCAGAAGAGGTATGGCTTCTTTTTGTTTAAAAATGTAATTATTAATTATGGTTTCTTTTTTTTCTAAATTCAGGACGAAGCATTGGGAAGTTTTCTTCTCAATTACATACAAGGATTAATTCGATGTTCTTATAATACCAAATGATTTATTCATTCTGTTTGACCATTAAATTGAACACATGTTAATAATAATAAAAAACTGATTTTAACATCACATTGAATCATCATGCTTCACTTGTTGAGCTGTCATCATTCAGTATTTTTCTTTGATTATATCGATCTAATTCTTTACGAATTTCTTTTACAATCGATTGCGTTTCTTCACTTAATTTTATTTCCAAAATATTTGGATGTTTGTGCGTTTCTTGTATCGTTTCTCGGCTATGAATATAACTGATTCGATCATAATCCGAATTATGGCGACTAGTTACATGGCTATTATATTGGACTGGTATGAATTGCTGTTTACCACTATATGATGCTGATGAAATACGTGTAGGAAATGTTTGCCAATTTTTGGTTGATGAATTTAATGTAGAATAATCATATTGACTGCTTTTATCGATTTTTTTGATATCTGTACCGGAAAATGATACTGCAAGATCATCAGTACTTGATGCAACACTATTCCAATTGGTTGGCTCATTTAGACGTTGTATTGATGAACTATTTGCAGGCATTGATCTGCTAATCTCTTGATTAATGTTTTCGATCCAATCTTCACGATCTTTACGACAAACACAGCAATAAAGACAAAATATACAGAACACTAGTAACGATAATAAACCAAGAATAATCAACATAGATGTCAAATTAATCCAATTAATTTGAGCCGTATTTGCTTCAGATGAATTTTTTACATTGTAGGCTTTAAAAAAAATTGAAATTAAAATAAGATTTTGTATAATGTTAAGAATGTAATACCTTCAATTTTAGAAGTAACTGAAAATCCTGTTAAATTATAAATGAGTTCGGCCGATACTAACGTCATCAAATTGTTGGCATATTCGTATGACATCAGAGTTCCATTATTTCTTAGATTATAAATAATTTCAATTGTTCCATTTGGTTCATCAATTATCATATTCTGAATCTTTTTTATTTTCATTGAAAAAAATAAGAGATTAAAAAAATTTTTTAATCGGATTTTAAATTATTCATACTTTAACATCAAGTAAATCTTGTTTAAAATTGCCCTGTTTTTGTAATCCATATTCATAGACTTTTATCAATTTATTTCGGAAATTTTCTTCAGATGTATTTAATGATTTATCGATATAATGAAAGCCTAATATGTAATATTTGAAAACGAAAAAAAAAATTCATTAATCACTTCATTGAAACTTTCAATTAAATCGATTTACTTGTTTTAATAAGTTCCGCTTCTGTAATATTTATTGAATTATTTTCCTTTTTTGTACAATTAGATAAATCTATGAAAAAAAAATTAATTTTCATATTAATCAGACGATAAAAATGATAATTTTTACCTGTTTGATTATAAATATTTGAAATAGTTGGTGATGATGGTTTAATCGTTGTTGTTGTTGTTGTTATAGTTTCGATAATTTTTGGTGTAGATTCTGATGATAATTGATCAATTAATGAATAAGGAAAATCGACAAAAGATTCATTTTCGATTGTAGAATGATTTTGTTGATCATAATAAAATTCAAAATCAAATTTTGGCCATTTACGGCGAAAACTTTCCACACAATTTCCGGTACAGTTTGATTCTAAATAAATTTTCGAAATAATATCCAAATTATTGACCAAAAAAATATTACAATTGTAACTTACCATGTGAATAGATAAAGAAAGAAAATAAAATTAAAATCTTCAATAAAGCAATATAAAACATATTTATCATTTGAAAATGATGACAGGCAAATATAAAAATAATAATAATTTTGATCAAAATTAAATTTCATCAATTATACGAATGCATTGAATGGATGGTGGATTTTTCTGGTGATGGCGGCAACGATATGTTCGTCGTTTTTCAACATATGTCACAATCATGACAATTGTTTAACCGACAGGTGATTATCATAATAAATAAATATGAATCCTGAAATGATAATAATGTTGACAATGAATACTCTATTGTCATCATCATCATTATCATCAACCAGTTTTTTATGGATGAATTCGGATGAATGACTTGATTAACATTGCCACACCATTTTTATATAATAAACACGTTGGATGGAACCAAGAGAAAAAAACTCATTTATGAATCATCCGTTAAAATTAAAACCACCTAAATGTAAACATTGCGGATATTGTTAATATAATTCATATAGCACACCTGTGCACAGTTTTTTTCCCTGGGTTATTCGAAAGATTCATTGTTTTTTTGTTTTGTTTTGTTTTTTTCCCAAAAATCCAATCAAAAATAAATGCTATGGAAACGGGCGGTTTACGTTTTTCTTTGGTTTTCGCCTCAAAATCTATATTTGATAGGAAATCCAGCTCCGATTTAATGGAAAAAAACTTAATTTTCAATTTTATTAATTAAATTAATTAATTTAAAAATATTAAATACAAACTAATTCAGTTTCGATTGATTTTTGTTGTTGTTATTGTTGTTGAATAGGTGTGTGTCTTTTTCTTTTTGTGTGTCTGTTTGTGTTTGTTTGTTTGTTTGTCGAAAATTCACATTCGATTTGTGACCGAAAAAACAACAACAGCAATAACAAAAACAACAAACGAAAAAAACAATCATCATTTAGGTTGACACCTTTATTATCATCATCATTAACATTATTTACAGAAGAAAAAAACATCATCATCAAGTGAATTTCAAATGTTTTGTTTTGTTTTATTAATTCGATCAAAATTTTTATTTCAATTTTGGCAATAACAACATGTTGGATCGATCATCACAATATTATTTTTTTGTGTCGGTGTCTTTGTGTATCTTTTGCATGGAAAAAAGGAGAATGAATAAATTATTTTAGAAAGATGTCTTTCTTTATTTTGTTTACTCAAAAATGACAAATGTCAATCAAAAGTAATCATTTTGAATTTTGTGTTTATTGTTGTTGTTGTACACTACACATCCGATAAAAAAGAAAATTTTAAGGGGAAAATAAAATTATGTATGTGTGTGTTTGTCATCGATTGTTTTGCAAACAATATGAACAAGAAAAAAAAATTTTAATTTAATAATAATAATGATAATTAACAATTTATCACGTATGATGAAATGAAAAATTTTCTTGTTTTGTTTATTTTTACATCGATTGATTATATTTACTCTATTTGCTATACATAAATAGAGAGAGAGAGGAGAAATGTAATAATTGATCGATCTAACTAACTACTAGCCTAATCGATGTTGAAAGAATAGATGTTTGTTGAACGAGAGAAAGAGGAAATGAATTTGAGATAATATTAATAATAGAAAAAAAAACTCAACGATAACGTTTGAAAAAATGTGGGCAAGATACAAAAAAAAACGCTAATCATTTTATATGAAATATCATTATCATATATAATTTTCTTTTCTTTTGTTGTTGATAAAATTCAATAAAAGATATCAAAGATATTTTATTTTTGTTAACGAGATTCTATAATTCTTTGAAGAAGAAAAAAAAAGAACGAAGAAAGAAATAGAGACTTAGATTTGCATTTTATCGTTTGTAAGTGTATGTGTTTGATGAGAGGAAGAGGTGTGTGTGTTTGTTTGTATGATAAGAGATAAAAGTAGTTGGCAATTGCAAGACTGATAGCAACAGAAAAAGAAAAAACAATGAAAATAAATCACATTTTTTGTAGTAATAAAAAAAAAGATGGAGAATAAAAATGACCAAATACTGAAAATTTGCATAAATAAACACAACCATTCTGCTGCCATATAGAGTTTTTTCGAACATGAATATTTAAAAAATTCATTCAGGTTGTCCAATATTAATTGATTGAATTTTATAACGTTGTTTGTAACATGGTATTTATGGCCCGAAAAAAAAGAATAAACAAATGTCTAGACATTCAATGAATAATATACAACATCAGTATTGGATTTATTCTCCGATGAATTGACTAGGTTGATTATTTTGTTATTAGCAGAAGAAGAATCTTGATGCTGTTTTTTTGTGGACAACAACATTTGTGATTCATTAGAATTATTTATTGTATTCTGGTTGTTGGTTATATTGTTGTTATTAGAAATTGGATGATTCGGTGAGAATGCTGCTTGTTTATGTTGTTGTTGTTGTTGAAGAGGCACTCGTTTTGGTTCATCATGATTCTGTTGTTGTTGTTGTTGTGTTGATTGAGCACGCGGTTGTTGTTGTTGATGATTCGAAGCAATCTGAACATGTTGAGCGATCAATTTAGCTTGATGTAAGGAATTTGATTGTTGTTGTTGCTGCTGTTGTTGTTGTTGTCTTTCCATTGTTTTTTGTAGATGAAGTTTTAATTGATCACGGGAAAATGCTACAGCAGCCGGACCATTCAACATGCTTGCATCAATAATTCGTACAATTTCATGTTGTGTACCATCCGGTGTACCACCACCAGTATGTATGGCAATCTTTTGCGTTTGAGACATTTGACGAGGAAGTGTTTGTGATTTAATTTGTACTTGTGCAATGTTTGGTTGTTGCGAATTTAGAATATTATTCTTATTATTATTATTGTTTGGCGTGACATGCATATCATCAATTTTTTTAACAATAGAAATCATGTGCGGATGCTGTGATTGATTATTTGATTGATTGATTTGCATAAATTGCGGATGTTGTTGTAAATTTTTCGGTAAAGTTGAGCAAGATGCTATCGTTCCTGTTTTTTCTACATAGATTGGATGATTGGTCACTTGACGAATCGTTACATTATTTGATGTCATATTCAATGCAGATTGTTTTTTCACATTCATTTGTTGAATAATTTCATTAGATTGGCCAAATTTTGGCCGTATTCCTCTGACCGATGGACGTCGAGCAAATCCAAATGTAGGATCTTCATCTTCAGTAAACGAATATCGTTTTTTTATCCTTTCTGTGCGTTGATGTTCTTGTTGAACAAATGCCTCTAATTCATCTTTTTCTTCACCCGATTGATCAGAATTTTCATTTGTTTTGCATTGATTGTTTGAATTTGTATCCTCTTTTCTGATCAATACTTGAGGATAAGCATAAAGGCCATCACGACGACGAATCTCACTCGGATCAGGAAATTGAGTATGATGATTTTGTTGAATATTATCACCACTAACAAATTGTTGTGTACGTATCGTTTGACGAATTTGTACGTTTGGTGGAGCTGCGTAAGCCATCACTGTTGGATGTTTTTGTTGCACATAACAATGATATGGCGGAATAGGATGTTGTTTATGTTGAGGATGATGCAGTTGCATAATTCGAGGAGCCAATAAAGTAGTACCTTGTGGCACAATTATACGACGAACAGGTACAGTATTGGTTTGTGAATTATCTATTGATGAATTCGGTACGACTATTTGAGCTTGCTGTATGATAGTTGTTGCTGTTGTTGGTTTTGGCATGACATTAATTGTTTGGTTGGCATTGTTGTTAGGTAGAGATGATGAATTTGTTGCCATCGATGATGCCGATGATGATGACGATGATGTTGTTGATGATGAACCGGATGGCGAAGAACCGGATACATTTGATGGAGGTGGTGGGTGTAGCGGTGAGATCGTATAACTGCCTAATTGATTACTGACTAACAATTTTTGATTATAAATGATCGATGCCGAGTTATTCGTTCCTCCATTTGTATTATTCGAAGCTGTTGGAGCAGCTTGGACAATATATTGAACAGGACGAATAGTGCTTACTCCATTTATTCCAGGTTGGATTAATGCATAAGGATAACGATAGATGACTTGACCTGGTCGTAATGTTGTCGTTCCTGGATTGTTGACGATGCAAATATGTTGCTGGCTTGTGGCCATTCGTGGAGAAACATTATTGCCATGATTAACATGATGACCGGATATATTCAAATAAGCAGCATTCATGTTTGAATTGGGTTCGTTGGGAGAAAAAATAGTACTATTAGAATTTTTATTATTATCCGGAATAGAAATATGAATCTGCTGAACATTTGTCGATGATAGATTTGTTGGTGAATTAGAATTTTTCGGAACAGTTCCAAATTGTTCGTGATTCATTAAATTATTGGTTGATGATGATGATGACGAAGAGACTGGAGAATTTGAGTTGGGCGATATTTGTGATTTAATCTGTTGAATGTTGGCCGAAGTCGATATCAACAATGGTAATGTTTGAGAATTTTGTTGAACGGCAGGACATGAAACCGTTGGTGGCACCAATGATGATGATGTTGATGATGATGCGCTCGACAACGATGATGATGATGATGTTCGATTTGTTTCTAATATTGTATAACAGGGCAGCGGCATCAAATTGTTATTTGACGATATAACTGCATGCTGTTGTTGATGTAAAATCGGAACACCACCACCACCACCACCATTTGTTAAACCAATAAATTTATTGTTGCCGGCTGTCATTGATTGTGGTGCATTGACTTGCATGTTTACAGTAACAGAATTGGCAATTTCATTTGGATTGAATGTTTTGTTTTTATTGTTATTATTATTATAGTTTGAAAGATTTTGTTGTTGTTGTTGCTGTTCCATGATTTTTTCATAGAACAAAATGTTTTGTTTAAAATTCTGTTGTCTATTTTCAGTTGTTGTACCATTTATTCCGGTTTGATTATTATTATTATTAGTAACATTGTTATTGTTATTGGTTGTACAATTTGAAAATTCATTATCACTATTTTTACTATCTTCTGAACTGGATGTACTTAAACGATTTTCAAAATTTTTCACTTGATTTGTAACCAATAAATTGTCATTTGTGTTTTTGTTCGAAAGTAATTCTCCTGTATTTTCATATAATGCTTCATTATTATTATTGTTGTTGTTGTTATTCTGTTCTTTTGCTGAATCTTGAGAATCTGAGCTAGAAAAAGAACTGTTATTGTTATTTGTTGTAGCCGTAGAATTTGTCGGCGAAGCACCACAGTTGACCATCTGTGTGATTACATTGATTTCTCTATGACAAGGCTGTAAATTTTCGTATATATTTTCATTATTTTCATTGGAATTATCATTCGGTGGGATTTGTTTGACTGTTTCAAGTTGAAAAGTTTTATTTTGATTAATCAAAATGATAGTATCTTGTGAGGTAATACTAGAATCACTGGCAAGATCCTGTAAAGATCCATTGGGACTAGAATCAATGCAACAAACTTCATCATCTTCTTCATTAATATTGCCTGATGAATCAAGAAAATATGAATTAAGATGATGAACGGGAAAATCTGCCGAACTAAGATTTTCTTCATAATTATTGACTGTATCGAATTCATTTTCATCACCATTGTCATTTAGTGTTGGTCGTAAACCATTATTTGAATCAGGCAATGTTACTTGACTGCCAATAGCTTGTAGAATATCATCTTCTTTCAATACACCAATAATTTGTTCTTCTTCTAAACTGTCAAGATTATTATTCAATATCATCGATTGCCATTTAGAATTTTGATTTTGATCAAATTGATGATGATGATGATTGAATTTATTTCTAGAAGAAATTTCTGGATTTCTAATATTTTCTTTAGAATCATTTTCACTATCATCATCATCATCGATAAAATCAAAAGTAACTTCATTACGAAATACATTCAATGAATTAGCAATAAAATCTCTATAATCGGGGGGTGGTTCGAATGTAAGCAAATCTTGATATTCAGCTGGAGGATCATACATAAACGATTGAAATTCCATTAAATTTGCATCTGGTTTTAATGCTATAATTTGTGGCATTTGATCAGGCATTTCATAACAAAACACCTGCATTGTTTCACTAAATTTTACTCGTTTATTATGAGATTTAATAAAATCTTGTGTTGGATCAATTTTCTTTTTTAAAAGTGATTTTAATGATTTTTTGTCATCACTTGGATCACTTTTGACATCGATACCCGATGTCGATAATGTTGTATTTTTGGTTGATGAGCTTGTCGATGATGATGATGTTGTTGTTGTTGTTGAGGTTGTGATCGAATGATCACTTTGATCATCACTATTTTCATTATTATTATTTTTCTGTGAACAAGACATTTTTATAGTATGATGATGTTTTGAATTAATTTCATTATCGTTACAATTATTATTATTTGTCGTTTGGCAACAATGTTGCTGTTGACCATTCGTTTCATTATTTTCGCATTGATTTGTTGTTGTTGTTGTTGTCAATGTTGATGACGATGAAGATGTCAAATTGTTGCTTTGACATGGATGATCTGTCATCGTTTCACTAATGACATCAATTCATTACAGAATTAATCATAAAGATTTTGACTTTATCAAAAAAAAATATTATGTCATGACCACGGGAAAATCTTCGTCTGTGGCAAAAAAAAACCTAAAATCAAATGAAACAAAACAAAAAAGAGAAAGAAAAAAAATATTAATTACAATCGGAAACTTTATCCACTCACACAAACCGAAAGCCCTTTAAACTTTTGATATAATTTCGAAAATGATGATGATAATGATGGATAAAAGATGATTTTCAACTGTAGTCGTCGATTCAAATAAAATCAAATTTTCACGCTTTTTTTCTCTCTCATTTCTAAAAATAAAAAAAAATTATTTGCCCCACATTTTTTTTATATTAGTTGCCCAAATTAATATCCGATCGATGATGATCATAGGCGATGACTCTTTTTGGTTTTTATTTTGTTTTTTTTTGTTTTGTCTGTCTGTAATGTGCAATCATCATTTCCTAAATTATTATTATGAAATTCAAAACGACAAATAAACCTTCAGTACATTCGAATGATGTGAGAATAAATTTTTTTTTTGAAAAAAAATAACTATCCAATCGATTCGATTGTTTTTCAGTAGTTGTTGTTGAAAATCAATGATTGAAAAAATCGATGTATACTGGCAACATTTTTTTTGAAGATAATATGAAAGAAAAACATGTGTAGATTCACACCGATAAAGGTTATTTTTATATGGAAATTACTGTTGCTATTAAACAAAATTAACGGTAATAATAATAAGAAAAAAAGAAGTAATCTAAGAAGAAAAACAATCAATAATCTTACGGTCGATGTAATATTTAGATGATTAAATGAATGAAATTATATTATTATTACTTTGAAATACACTTTTTTTCTGACACATGTGTTCTACATATACACAGAGAGAAAAGTGTGGATTGCACACGCCAATTTTTTCGGTGAGTAAACGCCAACGATGGGGTTTGTTCACATGTTATGGATAGTAAACTTCAAATACACACCATTTGTGAGTTTTAATAGCCAATCATGGCGTGCATTTCTTGGAGCGCGCACGCATTCGTTGGCGTTTACGTCCACCTTTTGGTGTTCATAATGGGGTTTAAACGCAATCATTGGCGTTTGCATTCATGGAGATCATGATTCTTAATCATGTCAAGTTTGTTAAATCTAAAATATTTTTAATTAAATGGTCCATCAATTCACCGAGATTGAACATCTTGTGAGAACTTCAAATTCAAAGAAACAAATCTAACTTGAACATGAATCATGCAAATGCTCAATTGGTCCATATTAATCATAAATGAAACTTGTTGAAAATTTGTTCGAAGAAAGAAAAAGCACCAAATCATTGTCATGAATAGTGAGAATGTTAAGTTCAACAAAACATCATTTAAATGCTTATTGGGTTTATATTAGAAATCTCTTCATGTTAGCTTACCAATTTGGATTTATTGAATTATGAATTTTACATGCCTATACACCTTCTTGACATTGAAAGACTATTCACAAATCAGCATTGATTGTTATTATGCAATAAATGGTGACTTCCATGAGAAAAAGAATTTTTAAAAAGAATCCTAAAAAAATAATCATATTTTTTTCACTTATTAATCCGTCTGAATACATAACAAAGAAATGTTTGTATTTAAAAAATTATTTTTTCATTACTAATACAAAGGAAAAAGGATTTTTCTTTTCAATGACCTTATTAAAAACTGTAACAAATATCTTTATTAGTTTTTGTAGGTTATAAATAGCTATCATTGAACGCCATTAGGGTATCGGATAAAAAATAATAATTGAATTTAATTTTAATTGAATTAAAAAAATGTTTATTCGAATTTAGGCTTCAGTTGTTTCTCGGACTTTTACTAAAATTGGAACCATGCATAGAATTACACTACATCTTTGGCGATATCCTAAAGCAATTGAAACAGAATTAAGCCAATTGTTAAAAATGGATAGGACAATGGTTCGGTTTAAGTATCATATCATATGAAGTTAAGAATTATGCAAATTTCGATAAGATTTTTTTCGTGCAAACGCCAAGCAATTTTTTTGGACAATGCACGCCATGGCGTGCATACGTCAAGCCCTGGGGTGCATACTTCAAGCCCTGGCGTGCATTGTCCAAACAAATTGCTTGGCGTTTGCACGCCGCACGCCAGGCGTGCATACATCAAAACAGGCGTTATTGCGGCATCGGGTGAGTACACGCCAATCACTTTTTTCTCTGTGTATATTTAAAATAAAATTGAAAAGAGAAAACGACGACGATCAACAAGTTGTATAGATTTTTCATCATCATCATCATCATTTAGAAAAAGGATAAAATAATCATTTTCACTGTCTAACAAGAGATTGATCTATTTTATTTTTATTTCTCCATTTTTTTTGTTGGACATTCAAATGAATCTTTGAATTAAGATTAAATTTTTGGCTGTGTTGTCATTTTTGAGTGTGTTTAGGGGGAAAAAAATGAGAAAATTAGATCAACAAGCACAATGATTGACGGATGTTGTTGATTAAATGAAAATTATTGAATAAGAAAAAAAAGGGTTATCCAATGAATGAATGATATTTCATTGATTGAAAAATTTATAAAAATATCCTGCCGTACATGAACGGAAATGGTCAAAAAAATCATAAAAAATAATGAAGGTGATAGGAAGAAACGAAGTTCAATGATACGACATTTTTTTTTGTTGTTTACATACAATTTTCATTCATATCTAACAAGATGACAAATCGAATAAATGTTTCTTCATGCATGGCAAAGAAGGCAAAAAAAAATTTTTTTTTGTTTGATTTATGTTCATTCAAGGTGGTGTAAGAAAACAAAATAATATTTCCATTCATTCATTCCATTTGTCGTATTTCATTCAATCATTTAATATTTTGGATTTTTATCATTAAACAAAATGTATTTTTTTTTCTTTTTTGAATGAATGATATGTTTCTCTGTGTATATGATAGGTTATATGTATTGTATTTTGTTTTTTTCTTTGTGGAAAAAACATCATCTGAATGAATAAAAAAAAGTTTAAATAGGAAAATGTATTGAATTCAATTGAAATATTTGAATGAAAGGATGTATGAATTAAATAACGGCACACGAGTTGTGTCTGAGAATGTTGAACAATTTTGAAAAATAACAGCATTTTTTCAAATCTAAGCAACAAAAAAAAACTGATGGAAATGAGAAAAAATAATAATTTAAAATTGATGCTGGAAAAAAATTTATCGAAATGAAAATATCAGAAAAAAAAGGGGAATTTTTCTATTTTCTCAAATCTCAATGTGTTTTTCATTTCTGTTTGTTTGATTTTTTTTTCTTGAATCTAAAATGTGAAAATAAACGGGTTACCATTTTCTTTTTTTGCTTCACTGTTTGTGGCGGCAGGTGTTTCTTTGGTTTTCTTTGTTCATTCATTTCATTTCATTTACTCAATTCCGCTCCATTGAGGTGTACACAAACACAAACACACACACATATTTTGTATGTTTGATTACCATTCACAACATCGTAATCATTTTTTTAAAAAAATATCAATTATGATTAAGCTAAAATAAAAAATAAAATAAATTGTAAAAACCATCAAAATAATGATACAGATTGAATGATGATGATTCGCACGAAAAATAATTATAAACAACAACTGAATAGAGCAAAATTAGAATGCAAAAAACAACAACAACAACAACACTGACATTGCAAATAGGAAGGAAACAAATTCAAATATGTTAAATGAATGTTGTTGTTGATGAAAAAAATAGAATTGTAAAAATTGTAAAAAAACAATTCCATTGATCAGTGGTCACGAAATTTTCCAAAAAAAAATTCTTCTTTATGGATCATCTATTTTTATCGTTTAGGTTCTTGTTTTTTACAGTTACATTGTGTGTGTTATATTTGTAAATTGAATCTAAAGAGGAAAACAATGATTTTCACAAAAAAAAAAATTTAATGTTGACAAGTGACTGAACGACTATATTACAATTTGTCCAATAGATAAAAGAAAATTCTTTTGAAATAAAAAAACTGTATGTATGATCATATTTCATGTTTCATGCAGTTGAAATAATATTTAATATTACATTTGTATTATCAAATTGTTTCATATAACAAAGAAATCTTCTTCTTTTTGAAAATTTGACTTTTTGCAACAAAAAAAAACATCATCATCATGCATAAAACGAGGGCTTTGTTGATAAATGTATGCAAAAGAGATGTTGAATAAATCCCGAAGAAAAAAAACTTACCTGAAGATTTTTTTTTTGTTTTTGAATAAAATATATAGAATGATTTTTTGGTGATGGAAGACACTTGGAATGATGATGGATAAAAACAAATTATTATTTCTATTTTTATTAACACAGAATTTTAAAGAATGGCAAAAAATTATTATTGTTTTTTATTGATGAAAATGGAGTTTGCTTTCGTTATTATCGTTGATGATGATGATGATAGAAACCAGAAACGGAAACAAAATGAATGGTTTGGGATATCGAATTTTGAAGAAAGAATATTGCTGATGTTTTTTTTCTGACAATAACAACAACAACAACGACAACAATAACAACAAAAAGAAAAAAACACTTTTCAACAGGAATATTATTGGATATTAGATCATTATTATTATTATCAAACGATATTGGAGAAAAAAAATTTATCGCAAATAAGAATCAACATCATCAATATTTTATTTAGTGGTCTTTTTTTGTAACATTTAGAAGAAACAAACAAAAACAATTGCCAAAAAACAATACAATAATGATGATGATGATGACAAATACGATACGATATAATGGCAACCAAATGAATGTCTCAAATTGAATTCAATTATGTGATATTCAATTGAAATTGAGTTTTCGAATCACGTAAATGAATAATGATGATGATGATAATAAAATATTCTATAACAAACAACAACAATGATAATGAAGAATATTCTTTTTTTTTTGTTGCTGTACGAATCGATGATCGGTTTTATTCTGTGGATTCTTCGATTTTTTTTGGGGAATTATAATTTATTGATTATTTTGATGAAACAAATGGCTAAATATTTATTTATTTTAACGAAAAGATTTTAAATATTTGGAATGATGATGATGATATCATTTATGATAATGAAAAACAATTTGTTTGTTTGTTTTGATTGATTGATAGATTGTTTGTTTGGATTGAATTGAATCAAATTTCTTCAAAAAAAAATAATCAAATAACATTGAATAAATAAACAAATCATTCATTCATTCATTTTTTTTCTAAATGTAAATGATTGATAAATGAGCCGGGAAAAATTGAATTTTGAATAAGAAGAAGAAAATTCAATTCAAAATCATTCTTCATTGAATAAATCAAACAGATTTGATTGATGCAGAGTGAAGAAGAAATTTTCACACAAGGGGTCCATAATAGGAAGACGAATATATATTTTTGAATGATAGTGATTCACATTATCAAAAAACAAAAGAAAAAAACATTGAATATGACATTTTCATTGAACAAAAGAATGAGCCAGATGCAACAAGAAAACAAAACAACTAAACAAAATCAATCCAAACGTGCATATCCAAACACAAAGACACACGAGAAAAATAGAATACAATTTTGAAAAAAAAGAGTATCATAAAAAACGGATGATGATAATAATGATGAAAAAGTGGTTGAATTTTTTCGAGTTTCTCTTTTTCGGTGTTCATTTTGTTGTTGTTGTTTCCATTACTTATTTCACACAAATCTTTTTTATCATTATGTGTGGTAAATTGTTTTTGGTTGAATATTTAGCCAACAACATATTTACACACCACAACATTAACATATCGATATTGTTTGTGAATGAATTCTTGTATAATTTTTTTTCTTTTTGCTTTTTAATTTTTCATAATGACAACAAAAATAATGTACACACTTGGAGCTCAGAGCCCGAGCCAAGAAAAAAAATAATATTCATAGTGTGAGAAAGAGAAAACATTTTTTCTAGCTTTCGTCTGATATTATTTTTTTTCGGAGACATATACAGACACAAACATATAAACGTAAAGAATCTTCGGCAACATCGGTGTATTACAAAAAAAGCAACATACCAAACAAAACCAACCATACTCATATCATTCATTCGGTTAGTGGCCGAACGATATTTCGGTTGATTTTTTCTTCTTCTTTTTCGTATACACACTTTACCACTCATATATTCGACAATATAATGGAAAAATATAGCGCGCGAATACCACTTCTACCACTTCGATGTTAAAATGAATAGAATGAAGATGGTGGAAGCAGAAATAAACTTCGAAATAAACCATTGATGGCATGTTTGTGTGTGTGTATCGTGAATGTTTATATATATTTCTGGTATCTGTATATACAATTCTTTGGTCCAAGTTGCATGTATGATGAAAAAGGTCACTATCTCCATCATCATCGTTTCTAGCTATTCTGGTTTTAAGCTTTGTCGGCTTTATATGTTTGAAGATGATAATTATTTTGAATGCACAAAATTGTCTACATCGCAGCATCGTAACATTTGGTTTGATAATGTCTGCATCTTTCGCGGAAAAAAAATTGTAGCAATCCAATGGCATTAAATTAGCATCAAATTGTGAGGTGCGCATGAATCACCGAAGTCATTATACCACCAAATATAATCGTCAACATCATTGTGATAGCAATGATATTTCAAAATGTTCATTGCATCAATTCATATATACATAGGAAAAAAAACAATACAAAACACATCAATCTCAATCCTCCTGGAATGAATGAATCGTATGTCGTATCTTCATTCTCGATCTGCTTATGAACGAGAATTTCATCTTCGGTCATGCCCTCAAACACGCTTGCGTCTTTTTTATTTTTATTTTTCTTTTTAAATGAAATCCAAATTGATGCTTATAACGACCAAGTACGACTAATTTCCCCTTTTTTAACCGGATCTTTCCGATTACAACGACATCTGGTACTTTTGAATAAAGACATAAATAATGGAAGTTGAATACTTTTTTATTTCATTTTTTATTTTCAACGATAAAAAAAAACAAAATCTGTAGAAATACATGTTACATGATTATGTCATCAGAATAAAAGAGCAAAAAAAACAAATCTTCATAAATGGAGAAAAAGAATTTATTCATTTGTTTCAATTATTTTCGTATCGTATGTGTCTCGTGTCCAAAAAATTTATTCAATTATAAGATAAATGTTTTGTCTGTAATAATTTTATTATGTTACACATTGAGGGAAAATAAACATCATCTGTATTTATTCATTTGTTAACATTGATTGTGTAAGAAGACCTGGGACAAATTTTGGTCTATAGTTTGTTTGTATGTTTTTGCTTAATTCTGTGTATTATAAAAATAATAATAATGATAATGACATGAATCTCTCTAAAGTTTTAATATCGAGATTTATAAATATGAATTAGGAATATTTTGTATGTTTTTTTTGAAAATGTGTATAATAAAAATTAAAATGGTGATTGTGTGTGTGTGTGTGTTTAAGAAATAATAATTCAGCCAATTGATGATGGGATGTGTAATAATAATAATAATAAAGAAAAATGGCTGTGAATTATTACAACTGGTGTTTTTTAATCGTCAAAATGAATTGTCAACCTTGTATAAAATTATTGTGTGATCGATGTAATTTGCAATGGCGTATCCATATATCGGGCATGAGGAAATCGTTGATAATAGCGATCTTCTTTTAGGAATTTTACACTGACCAATTTTTTTTCACACCACCAGCCATGTAGTGCATGAAAAGCATTCGTTGCTCCAGCCACTGATCCACATTTAAGAAATACTAAACCTTCATTAGTACTATCATCGATTTCAATATGAACAATATCATGTCGACCATTATCCGAAGTAGTAGCCGTTTTTTCCAATATTGTATTCTTAATCTTTTTGCTCCAATTTGAATCGACGTATTGGGCTTCTTTTTCGAAAATATTTCGAATTTTCAAGAAACGGGTCAATGCCTGGAAATTTTTGTTACGATTCATTTCGGGAAAATGTGATTGTTCCATAGCATCAGTACTTGACGATTGATTAGCCTTATTATTGGAAAAAGCAAACGCTTGTCCTTGCCATTCAACGCCACCAATTTTTTGTGATTGTTGTGAAGCAGGAATCGAAAAGTCGTTATCATTTTCACTATCAGTAACACATGGACTATTGGTCGATGCAATCCATTTCCATGCCTTGAATTCTTCACCGTCAATTTCTTTGAATTCAACTTTGACACGAGAATCCGAATTTTCAATTTGATTTACAACCTTCTCCCAAACTCGTTTATATTTAGAGTTTTTCTTTTCGGCTGGCGATAATAAAGTGTCACGAATGTGCAAAACAGGCATCGATTGGGGTTCGTCTGGTGATTGTAATAGTTCTACAGATTTTTCAATCAATTCGTACACGAGTTCTTGTTCTTGCAGTTCTAGATTTTTGCTATAACGATAATAGAGGAAAAATATAATGCTAAACAAACCAATAGCCAAAGATGAAATGATGATCCAAAAATTTGATTTCCAAAAAAATTTCAATGAACATTGTAATGGCAAATTTACATTATAATTTGGCATTAATTTTAGTTCCGATAAGAAATGATCTTCGACTTTGATATTCCATGCTGTATTAAGTTTGATTAATTTGAATGCATTGGACATATCACGATTGAATAATTGATTTGAATTCATTTGATGGAGACTGACATCACGTGTAACCGATGCGGACAATGATGCAAGATTTGCTTGTATATCTTTCTCAAAATCACTTCGTTTGAATATTAAATCGGTTATTTTTGGCAGATGTCCTTGGTTTGATGATGATCCACAATAGGTGTCATAAATACGTTTGTCAATAAAGCTTTTGATTTCTTTGATTATATTTAATGCTGGCTTTTTATCACTTTCGAACTGTAGGCAATCGATTTGTGAATCGATATTGTTTTGATTACAAATAGGAGCCAATAATTTATTTTTATCTTCAATGAAAGTATAATCAGTTAGATCCAAATTATATCTTGAAGTGTGGGTGAATTTTGAGTAGAAATATATGGAGAAAATAACAACAAAAAAGATAATAACAAACATCAATAAAGCCCAGGAGATGTAATTTGATGATGTTGAAAAATTTGCCGTAGAACTTGTTCTTTGAGATGGCCACAATTTACGTTTTATGTTCTGAAACAATGATGTAAATATCCATGTGAATGAACGTTTGCTTTCGGTACGACGGGATCGTCCCAATCCGGGACGATGATTCAACAACGCTTGGCAAATTTTATCTTTTTTGTATGATTGTTCCGAATCAGATTCGCTATCGCTATAGTTTAATAATGATGGATTACTTTTATGAATGTCAAATAAGGTTGATTTAGTTGAACGACGGATTGGAGCTCGACTTAAACTTGAAATCGGTCGAAAAGTTTGACTCTCTGTTACTCGAGGCATTGTGATACCAGAAATTTTTTGTGAATTCGGAGTATTTGAAGTAAGTTTGACCTTTTCGTTGACATCATCATTGTCATCCGAACTTTCAGAGGAGAAGTTATTTAAACTTGCGCTTGAAGGTTGTATAATTCCGAAACTTTTAGACGATTTCTTGTGGAAAGATGGCTGTTTCAATGTTTTTTCTACTTCCTATATATTACAAATAAAATTTTAGTTATTTAATAATCAATTATCAAATTATTACCTTGAAAGATTTAATTGCTTCAATTTCTTCTGAATTGTTTGTTTGTCGTCTTGGTAGACTGCGCCGAGGAGATTGTCTTCGTGTTGTTGATCGTCTAATTTCAATGGTTGGTTGAATGGTTTCAACTGAAGAAATATCTTCATCAGGAATATTTATAATATTTTGAACATGATCACCGTTATGATTGTCACCATTCATGAAGCCGGAATATTCATGTTGATCATCATTCATTGAGCCATTATTGGATGTACCATTCGTTTCATTCGAATCATTGACAATTTTTTCTTGCTCTAATTTGATTAGCTTTTTTAAAAGAATTCGTCGAGTTTGTGTTGTTACAGGACCACATTCAATATTGTGATCATTGATAAGCCTATGGCGAAGCTCTTGGTCGGTTATATTCATATCAAATGATGGTGACAATTCGTTGGCCATTACTGGACACGTTAATTCTTATTCAATGAAATGATGAAAAATCAAATCAAGACAAATTGAATTCGGTCCAAGGTGTTGCCAAATAAAAAAAAAGTACTTCCATTAACCATCAAAAGCACAATCACAATGCTTATTGGTTATTGTTGAATGCAACGAACAACAAGAAACCACTCCGTTATTCGATCCAGTCACAATTAGAATTTTTATGTTTATTCACATGTTTCGGTTGAAAGTAAACGCATTGAAATATGTAAAACGAAAAATGTTGTAGAAGCATGATACGAACAGAAAGTGAATCCATAAAGCAATGTATTGTGACTGTTGCTGAGTTTTCGAAAAATTTGTCATGTCCAAAAATGTCAGGACATAATTTTCATTGCTTTTATTCATGAAGCCGGTAAATTAAAATTAGCGCCGAAAAATTTTTGGTTGGAAATATTTATAAAGTAATTCAGTAATTGGTAATTTTTTTTTAAATACCGAGGAAAAACAAAAAGACACATTTAATACATTTTAAAGAATTTGGTTCATGTTCATGTTTATAATTCGGAATGTTTATTTAGAATTTGCTGTTCCAATTGTTGGTGCAATTTTTTAACATGACCATCTAATTCTTTTACTCGATTTTCGATATGCTTGTGTAGATTTTTTCCGGAAGAATCTTCTTCTCCGTCAAAATCATTGCTTTGTTTTTTAAGATTGTGCGCTTGTAGTTGGCCAGAAAAATAGTTCAATTTTTTGATACGATTTTGAAAATGTAGCAATTTTTCTTTCAATTCTGCTAGTTCATCGGTATTGAATTCGGATTTAAGAGCTAATTGCCATAATCTAGCGGCTTTTATTTCATCAAATTCTCCTTTGAATTTGATATCTTTATCATAAACCATATTGCTGATTCGTTTGTATTCTTCTTTGAGCTCTGAATGTTTTTGTTGAATTTTTTCATTCATTTCTTTATCAAGAGATTCCTTAACCGGATCGATGTGATTATCAAGAACATCATCATCATTAGGATATAATCGATTTTCTCTTTTATCGTGATACTGATTGATTAATTGCCGATAATCATGTAATTGGTTTTCGAAGCTTTTCAATTCTTCTTTCAGAATTTCCAGTTCCCGTTCATTCAAATCCAATTTATGAACTTTTTCCCAAAGATTTTCAAGTTTTTTATCTGAAAATAGTTGTTTATTGTCGTCCGTTGATGTTGTAGTATCATTTTTGAACATGGATTCGGTTTCCAGATCATATTTGTTCAAAATCATTCGCAATTGACGTCGAACTTCAGTTTCGGTTTTTCCATCCGGATCTCGATTTTCTGCTTTAATTTTTTTCAATTCAATCTCTGATATATCCTGATGCTTTAGATCTTCCATCAACTGTGATAATTCTCTTGGTTGAAGTTTCTAAGAAATTAAAATTAAAATTGATAAATTTGAAATTTTTATTTAACAAAATTTACCTGATTAGCTTGATTCCAAAGAATATTTAATTTTTGCATTCGAAAAGGTTTATCCGATGGTCTATATCCATTACTATTAGCTTCTTTGGAATATTTATTTATAGCCAATATGGCCACTGAACAATATAAAATAAGGATAAATTTGATTAGTAAATTTTTCATTTTTGGTTTGTTGTTGGTTGGATTGAATGTTGCACAAATGATGGAATGATGTGCTGCATTCTTCAACCAACTAAAGTTGTTTGTATGCATCGTTCGACACGAACTATTTGTGAGGGAAAAACAATGTTTCAAATTAAATGCAAAAAATTATCAAGGCGTTTTTATTTTATTCAATTTATTTTAAATTCAAATCTAAAATCAACCAATACAATAAAACAAACAGTACGGTGTAAATGCAATAAATAATAATAATAATAATAATAATAATAATAATATTTACAAGATTAAATGATTAAAGTTATTGATGTTAATATGATACAACAATAGATGATTGTTCCTCTTATTTCATATGTTCAGGCCAAAAATTGATATAATATCTTGTGGTACTTCCATCAAATAATTTATCCAACCAATTTGGTAAGCCATTTAATAAATTATTTTCAAAAATAACATCATTATTGTCGATCGATGATAAATCCGATACATTATTACCATTAGTAGTGTTTTGATTTCGTACCAACATACCGGATTCGACATCGGATTCTTCACTAGAATTTTCATTCGTTTCATTTAGGCCAAGAAATTCTCCATCCTCTTCCAATCGTCGCTATCGAAGATGGAAATAAAAATTAAAATATTTAAAAAGATAAGATCTAATATCATTAACTATAAAATTTATTACCAATGGAATATTATTTTCCGGATGTTTTGCGTGATAGACGCAAAAATATTTTCTAAAACCATTAATCGAAAGGACTGTTCCAATGCAATTTTTCGGATTAATATTCAATTCTCGTTCACCACCAAGTGTTTGCAATAAAAGTTTTTTATACCAATCAATATTCTTTTCCACCAAAAGAAAGGCAAACATTAAAGTTTTGTTCCTTGAGAAATAAAAGTTTTAAAAAATTGGAGAAAAAATCACATAACAGATAAGTACATACTTCCGATATGGGTGTACCGCTTTATAAAATTGAGGTAACAATTTAGATTTCGAAGAACTATCACAAAGTAGTACGATAGTACGACATCCGGGCTTTAACAAACGAATTAGGCCATTATAAGTTTCTCCTCTCAATTCGTGTATATTTAATTTGCAATCATTCCTGAAGAATAAAAAACAGTCGAAAAATTATCTTAAAATTATTTTAGTAAGAATACCTTGGTCTTGCGGATGATCCAGGCATTTGACGGCCCATTTTTCTATATTTTTCTCTTATGGATTCTTCTTCGACTTTCCTGTGAAGTGAATACAATGAAACACTGTGTTTTGGAGTAGAAAAATAAAATTTCAATACATACATGAAATATGTCATGACATAACCGATAAATATGATAAAAATGATGGAAAAAACGACCGATAAAATCGGTGTAGGATCTGTTCGGGAAATATTGTCGCTTAAATTTTCAGTTACCAATAGTAATCTTTTAACTATTCTAGCAAATAGACTTTTTGCCGATTCATCAGTGAGTGAATTGATTTTTACACTGTAAGTAAATTGGGCGGCATTCTGTGATAATCGAGTCATAAGAAGATTCAGTTTTTGTTTTGTTTCATTTATATAAGTCGAATCGACAAAATCCCATTCATTGTTTAACCATTCATAGAAAACTTGATTTGATTCTTTTCGCCATAATATGACAACATGGATTCCTCGATTAATATTGACTTTTTTGCTTAAACCAATATTTGTCAATGATTTGACTAGTTCAGCTTGTTTTTCTCGATGAATGTACATGAAACGAAATCGATCTTTAGGGAAATCGCTTTCTTTCATGAATGCTCTCATGGCATGAAATTTTCGTTCATTATCTTCTTTTTCGCTGGAAACAAGCATTACACAAAGTTTTGCACGTGATGGCAAACTAGCTACTGGACATAAATGATCGAATACAGTTTGAGAAGTGACTCTAGGCAAAAATAAGTATTTGTGTGAATCCAGTACATCCTTCATGATTTGCGTTTTTAGTTCTGAAACTGAAAGACTAGCAGTCGGACTATTAATATCTTCATTAAATACGAGCATTGAATTCATTTTCGGGTCAATATGATAACGTTTCAATACTTCTTTGGTTTTTTGATCATCCGTCTTGACATGACCAAATGCGATACGTTCGTGAAAATAGAAAGCGACCAGAATATAACGAAGACGAATTGAACGATCATTATTAGTGAATAATACTCGTACTTTATTATCTTTCCATCCATTTAAAAAGTCGTAGTAATTATCGTCATTAATTTCGATGATTAAATCTTTTGGCAAAGATCTTTTAATGAAACCAATCATTGTAGATAATGAAATTTCTGGCTCTCTAAATGGTCTTATATCACCATCAATTAACGATATGATATAAGGTAAAGATCGAACGCCAATCTTTCGTGTCAAAGCGATTTCATGTTGTGAATGAACCGTACCGAAACCAACACCAACTGACTCTAATTCATTCATCAATCTACGAAGCACTTGTTCTACTTGAATGCACGGAACACATAGATCACCATAAAAGACTAGAATGTAAGGTGTGGAGTAACTTTGCGGTAAAATTGTGTTTTCATATGCTCGATGAGTTATTGAATGTTTGCGAAAATAACTTCCACTATTAAATGTAAATCTAAAATTTCGGCCATCATTGGAATCGAAAAAAGTGTCGAATGTATCAAAATCAAAACGGTTAAAGCCACGATAGTCGGATTTATGTTTGAAATTAGGCGAATCTTCTGTTTGTCCAGTTCGATCAAAAAGACGTCTTCTTTCTGGATCCATGAGGATCTGATTAATGAAAAAAAGTGTAACTAATACAACGATTAATGAAATTTTTTTTACTCACCTCATAAGCTTTATTGAGTTCTATGAATTTTTCTTGGGCATCGTTATTTTGATTTTTATCTGGATGGCTATGTGAATAATACAATCATTTTTAATTATTAAAAACCTTGTAAAATTACTTACTATTTTTTAGCCAAATTTTTGTAAGATTTTTTAATTTCAGCTATCGTTGCTGATTTAGGTACTTCAAGAACACGATATGGATTCAAGGCAAAACATATCGTCAAACCACAGTAAAGAATTGCTAATAAAAACCAAAAGAATTGACTCATTTTGGAAGATAGGATTTATTATGAGATTCAACACAGAAAAAGCAAGAATGACAAAAAAAAAATCTTATTGATCGCTAAAGTTTGATTGTCTAAAAATGAAAATTGTTTAGGTTCCAAACAAACTATAGGACTAGCGAAACATTTTTTACTACATTCATGGTTTATTGTTTTTTTTTTCTTTTATATACTAAAAACAAAATCGGGTCGATCTTTACCAGTTCTAATAAAAATAATAAAAATAATAATATTCTTGAATTGCACAGAATCGAAACAAATAACAGTTAAGAATTCTTATTCGTCTAAACAAAATAGAAACTTTTTGGATTCTATCATCATTGTGATGTGGAAATAGGATTCTTATTATATTTTGTAAACTTTTTGAAGCGGTGAAAATGAATTTTTTCAATTCTTTAGATCGCGAACAATTGATTTATACACCTTTTTATTGGTAAACAAAAAATTTAATATAAATTCTATTTTTTAATTGGAATTTTTTTTGTAATCATTATAGCGAAGAGAATATTTGGAAATTATGTGAGCATATTCAACAAAAAGAACCCGGATTGTTGAAGAATTGCTTTGTGGTTTTCATATCAAACGATATCGAACAAGTGCGATTGTTAAAAATTTTCATGAATTGATTAAATCAATTTATTATTTACAGGTATTATTATGGGCTCAGAAAATTGGAAATCCTAATCATAATTATCACGTAATATGGGATTATCATGTAATTTTAATTTACAATAACACTGATAACGATGATGATGATTCTACCATTGTTTTCGACTATGATACTATTTTGCCATTTCCATGTTCATTCGATGATTATCAAAAAAATGTACTTCGACGCTATGATTATATAAATCGTAAATATGATTGTAAATTTCGAGTCATAATGGCTGAAGAATATTTGCGAACATTTTCATCGGATCGATCTCGAATGAAAGATTCGAATGGACAATTCATTCAACCACCTCCTGATTATCCTTGCATACAAACATCAACAGAATCGAACAATCTTAATGGTTTTATATCGATGGAAATGCAAACATTCTCTATAGGACAAGTGATGGATTTAAATCAATTACTAAATAAATTCTCTAGATGATTTATTATTTGCTTTAGAAAAAAAAATAATTCTAATAATCAATACATAGAAATGTTACAATTGTGTAAATATTTCGGGGTTTTTTTCGATGATAAATTGTTAACAGATAATAATTATCCAACGTAAAGACCGAGACCAACTCTGGTTTGTGCTTTGAGATGATTGATCGTACCGCTAAACATCAATGTAAATGGCAATGGCAGTAGTTTTTTCTCAAATACGCAACCAACATTCCAATTCGTATCAACAAGTCCTCGAAAAACAAAATTTGATTTAGGCAAATCGATTTGATATCCAAATGATGCTGTACTATCCGGTTCGGTTAAATTTGTTTCCACCTGGACGCCAACCTTTAGTTTGATAATGGCAAATGATGATCAGCGATAATGAATGATATTGTCAAATATTACCTGTAAATATTCATTCTTTTTCTGATAATAACATAATTGAACACTGTTATTATTGATTGTACCACTGACAATATAATTGTCAGGCGATGTATAACGACCAGCAACAGACAATATCGAATGAGCTACATTCGAATTGTATTGGCAGACCATTTCAGCTCCCATTGAAAGTTTATTGGTTACATTTTGTAAATAGCTGACCACAGTTAAACCGGAATTTCTAACAAGATCGATATTGCTCAATGCCATTGAAGCAGTGTAATCTGGTGCAAGATAATCGGTTATCAATTGTGATGCAACACATTTTGAATTTTGAAATTGTGCGGCAATATTCATCCGTACACGTTCACCCATCAAATGTATTATACGAGAATTTAGATTGCCATTTGGATCGATTTCACCGAAAAATATTGGAAAAGCTTCGGATGGTGAAAGTTGTTTTGTTCCAATATAGGTAGCACCGAAACGATAACCGGGTGGTTGCATACTTCCCGAACTCATAATAATATTATGACTGATTTGAAAATGATTGCTCAACATTTTGTTGACCACAACTTTGCTGCCATCGAATGTCATTGGAAAGACATCTAAAATTGTTAATTTTGTTGATTGTAAAAATATGTCAATGAATAAATGGAAAAAAGTCTATAAAACATTTAACCTTTGCATTTTCTATGAAGTTCTTCCATTGATCCAGGATTATTATTCTTAATAATAGGCTGATTATTGGTCTCTGATATTTGTTTAGGATCAGGAATGATACCGGCCTGTCCAAGAGATACAGGCGGTGGAGGCATTGATGATGCAAAAACATTACCCATGATTAATTTATTTAACAACAAAAAAGATGATTTATTCAGAATCGAAAATGATTCAAATGGACAGTTCGAAAGAAAATCTAACCAAAAAAATTCGAAGATCACATGTGTGTATGCTATAAATCTGTATCGATAGTCATAACGTGTGGCGTATAAATGTGCGTTCTGGTGTTCATAATGGACGAAACCAAATGAATATTGTCTTCAATATAACGAAAGTCATTGATGAATGTGATCAGCGTTTTCTTCCAAGTTTCATCAAATGACATGAGCAAAAAGAACAAAAATTCAAAAAAAAAAAAATTCCAAGTCCCGACAATAGGTCATTGATTCCATTAAAAAAAAATCGAATCGAATCCGAACAAATTCTTCAGACCAAATAAAATTTAAGAAAAAAAAATCTGAAAATTAATATTTTTCATCATTCAACAAGTATTATTTATTAGTGTACTTGAAAAAAATAACCGCGCTATAATTTCAAACATATGTTACACATACATCAAGAATGTAAAGGCAATGTGTAATTACCGCTACTGGTTTTATTACCATCTTAAACAATCATTATGAATGAATGAATGACTGTAATGAATGAAAGAAAAAATTATTACCTTAAATGGTAATAATTGTTTTTTTTCTTGTATCATATTTTCCGATCAACAGACCAGAAACAATAACACCACTTGAGTTGCAATCCAAAAATGTTTAGATTACGAAATATATCTCATTAAACAATGGCAATCCGTTTCAAAATAATCCGCAATAATAATCATTGTTTATCCAAAAGCAAAATTTCATATTGTAGATGGATGTGTAACAATCGAGATACCATTGTAAATATATATGACATAAGACGATTGATTATTTGGATAAAGATCTGGAACATATTTTTTTAATGTAATTCTAAATTTTGAGGGTGGTCCAAATAGATTATTATCATTATGATGATGATCAAATTATTTATCCATATTTGTACATAAAAATGAAAAATATCCTTTTAAATTAATGATTATTTTAATCAATAAAAATTACATATCAAGTTGGATATCATTGATTCATTGATTGACATTTATTATTCAAAAAAAAAAAAAATCTTATACGTCATATCAGTTGAGGCCAACGTTTTTATCATTATCAATAACAACATCAAAACAACAAACAAAAAAGGATGGATGACAATTCATATTTTTCATGCGCATGTGTGATTTGGTGGTTACGCCCGCATTGAGTATTTCTTTATTTTTTGTTTTTTGTTTTTTATAATTTTTTTTTGTTTTGCCGGTATGCTACAGTGCTGCCCCTTCTGATTATGTTCTTTTTTCATCATCATCATCATCATTGTTCGAAATTGGAAAATGATTTTCGATTGCTAGACGTTTTGCTGGATATATACACATTATTATGGCCATACTGTGATTTCTATTTGGTGACTCAACCGATTCGAATGTGAATGAAAACCAAACAGCATCAGCAACAGTAGCACAAAAAAAAATTATTACATTCATCAGAATCCACACATATATAACACATCCAAAAAAAAATCTTGCTTTATTTCCATTTTTTCTATTAGCACAAGCCTAATCATCAATCGTCGTTGATATTAATTTTCATTGGATTTTCGTTCATTTTTTTGTTTGTTTGTTTCTTCATTTCATTGCTATTATATTTTTGTCATCGTTTTGGTCGAAAAGATTCTTTTCGATTTTTTTTATATCATCATTCTTAGTGTGTTTGTTTGTGTCGGTGTGTTTTTCCGGATAAAAGCCAAATTTGAAAATTTTTGTTTGTTATTTTTTCCAGCCCGTTTTTTTTTGTTCGATACGTTTTACTTACATTCTGAAGATTTTTCAGCTATATTCGAATTCCTTTTTACTTTGAATTTTTTTTATTTTTGTGAATAAAACAAAGAAAAATCAAAATGGTAAGTTTTTAACAACTGTCAATGATTATTATTGTTTGTTTGTTTGTTTCTGGATCAATATTTTTCAAATAAAAGCATGATTTGAAATTTGAATTTAATTGACAAATACACACACACACGCTAAATTTATATACTGGCCGTATACAAACATAGCAGCCATCGTCTTCATCCATCCATCATCACACATTATAATAATGATTCAGTATAGCACTTTATATTAGCTTATGTATTTTATCACCCCCTCTCCTCACCCAATGGTTTTGGCCAATATTGCCGACGCCCTCATTTATATTATATCAGTCATTCATTTATAATTTTTGTTGGCCGTTTTTTTTAAATTTTGTTTTTTTTTTATCAGCATCATTGCTTAAAAATGGTATAATATGATAGATAATTTCATTCTTTAAGATTTATCAAAGAATTTTGAAAAAATCAATTTTCATGTATCTTCTTCGATATTTTTTTTCCTAAATAAAATATCAAATGACGATTGTATGATGTCACCATTGTTACCATCAAAAAAAAAATAAATCTTACAATCGTACAAACATACCGACAGGATAATTATTATTATTATACATGAAATGCAAAGTTTGTTCAGTATTTTGTTTTGGCTTAAAATAAAAAAAGAATTTCTAGCTTCATTTGCAACAAGAATTTTGCTCTAATTATTTATACGCCTTAATCCATCCCACTCGGATTGATTCGTTTTGCTATTCTAAATTTGGATATGTATGTATAAATAATATATTCGGGCCAATATCGTGGATAAAACAAACAACGCGGCAAAAACAAAATATTCAACACATCAAATAGGAGTGCCTTGATATTGTAAAGAATACCATTCATTTGGCAATGATGAAATTTCGATTGCATTAATGAATTGAATTTAGGCGCATGTTTCTAATGACAGTNCTAAATTTATATACTGGCCGTATACAAACATAGCAGCCATCGTCTTCATCCATCCATCATCACACATATAATAATGATTCAGTATAGCACTTTATATTAGCTTATGTATTTTATCACCCCTCTCTCTTCACCCAATGGTTTTGGCCAATATTGCCGACGCCCTCATATTATATCAGTCATTCATTTATATATTTTTTTTGTCCGTTTTTTGTTAATTTTATTGTTTTTTTTTTATCAGCATCATTGCTTAAATTAGTAATTTTGTTTTTGAAAAATATTCATTGCGAAAATGGTATAGATAATTTCATTCTTTAAGATTTATCAAAGAATTTTTTAAAAAATCAATTTTCATGTATCTTCTTCGATATATTTTTTTTTCCTAAATAAAATATCCAATGACGATTGTATGATGTCACCATTATTACCATCAAAAAAAATAAATCTTACAATCGTACAAACATACCGACAGATAATTATTATTATACATGAAATGCAAAGTTTGTTCAGTTTTTTGTTTTGGCTTAAAATAAAAAGAATTTCTAGCTTCATTTGCAATAAGAATTTTGCTCTAATTATTTATACGCCTTAATCCATCCCACTCGGATTGTTTCGTTTTGCTATTCTAAATTTGGATATGTATGTATAAATAATATATTCGGGCCAATATCGTGGATAAAACAAACAACGCGGCAAAAACAAAATAGTCAACACATCAAATAGGAGTGCCTTGATATTGTAAAGAATACCATTCATTTGGCAATGATGAAATTTCGATTGCATTAATGAATTGAATTTAGGCGCATGTTTCTAATGACAGTTACATTTACGCATATACTGTTTTTTTTTGTATCTGTTGTATTTCACGTGTTGATATTAATTCTGTCTTTGATTTTTGTTTTATTTAATTATCATTTAGGCATCCGGAGTTACTGTCGCAACGGAAGCAAAAACACTTTATGAAGAAGTGAAAAAAGATAAAAAATATCGTTACATCATCTATCACATCAAAGATGAACGTGTATGTATAATTATTTTCTGAATTATAATCATTTTTATTTAACGAATTTGGATTTAGGTTATTGAAGTTGAAACTACGGGTCCTCGTGATGCTACCTACAGTGATTTTGTAGCAAAATTGCAAGACTATAAAAATGAATGCCGTTATTGTGTGTTTGATTTTCCGGCCAACATTCCGGTCGAAGGTGGTGGAGAAAAAAGTAACATGAGTGTCGATCGTTTGGTACTTATGACCTGGTATGATATTCATTTTTTTACTTGTACAAATTATTGAAAAATGAATTAATTTAATTTATCTTTAGGTGTCCGGAAAGTGCTAAAATAAAGCAGAAAATGCTTTACTCAAGCAGTTATGATGCATTGAAAAAAGCTCTTGTCGGTGTTTATAAATATGTTCAAGCTTGCGATTATGAAGAAGCATCCGAAGAAGCTATTGCTGAAGCTTTTCGTAAAGGTGGCAAATAGAGATGAAGACACGATTGCAAAAAATAATTCATCTTAATTCTCCCATAAAATTTAAATCTTTTTCTCAGCCACAACCATCCAACAGCCAACGACGATTGTGAGAAGCCGTTGTGATTTTGGATTTATATTCTCTATATATTTTACAACACCACATAAACTATTTATATTTGAATCATAAAATACCGTTATATTCAAACGACCCTTTATTCGAATTAATTTGCTAAATGTGACCATCTTAAAATTTAATTTTTGGTTTGATCATCTATGAATTTGGGTTGATAAATAAAACACAACCAAAATACAATTGAAAAAAAATCTAAATTCACAACCATTACATCTAAATTTCTAATAAAAAATAAATGTGGCCGAAAAGTCATCAAATTTGAAATTTTTTTTAATAAATAAAAATTTTTAATTATCAGTTTTTAATTTTTTACATTGTAAACTTTCACGGGCCATTTGCAATGCTCCATCAATTGTTTTATTACCGCCAATAAATCCGGTTGAATGGACAAATACACAGCCATCTATTTTGGACAAACGGCATACGTCGTCCGCTTGTAAACCTCTCCATTCGGCTTTGAGTGGATTACGTAATTCAAAACTGGATTCAGATACTGGTACAGCACGTATACGCCAACCATCATGATCCGGAAAGATGGCAAATGCTATCTGTCCTTCAGCATTATTTTCCGATTCAATTTGAAATAAATGCTGTATCCATGGTAGGCCAACATTAAGTAGTATAATACGACCACTAGGATCATTTTCAAATCGTTTATCGAATGCTTCCTTTACGATTTGTCTAGCTGGATACCATGAATGTCCGTAATAATTAACACATTCAACAAATTCTCGTCCAGTAAGATCAACCGCTTTCAAGAAACGTTCATAAAGAATTTCGTGAGTTTCTTCTTCATTCCAATGAGGTTTTAGATTAGCTACACGTTGTGATAGGTGAGTATGGATATGATAGACGGGTTCACATTCGTACATATTAATACCTATAATACAAAGATTATTTAAAACAATTCACAATGATTACTTTGATTAATTACCATTATCGATCGCATCAACTTCTTTCACAAAATTTTCATAAACCATATCGAAAATAATATCGGTTCGTTGTTCATCTTTGTTCCAATCTAATATACGTGCCAAAATTTCATGTCCATAATGGGCGTAAATCAAACCAGCTGAGCTTAATTTAATATTACCAATTTTAGGATTTTTCTCGGGAAAAAAATCGTTTAAAGTTTTAACAAAGGTTTTTTGATGATGATCAAAACGTTTTGAATCAGGATCATAAATACCGCCAACATCGACAACAATATCACATGAATTGAGTTCATTTGTTTCACGTGATCGTATAATAGTGCCATTCTCAAATGATGGTAATTTCTTGATCATAAAACAAGCCAACGATTCATCACAATGAAATGTTCCATTATGAGTGCCTATTTTTATTATTTTCATATTGTTATCGGTGGTGGTGGTGGTTGACATGGCTACATTAAATTGTTGGTTGATTAATACAGAATTCGAAAATCGTTGTTGGGTTGTGAACCGGCCAAAAACCTCATGAGCACTTGACAGTTGAGATTTCAATGTCCGAGTAAATGTTTTACACGTGTTTAGTCGCATATTTCTATTCTTCAGTTTCTTTCACAATGCTTGAATCAAAGTTACAATTTCATGAATTTCAATGAATACTTGCACCGTACATACAAGATAATGTTAATTTTTAGCCCATCCCACCAGCTTTTTGTCAATATTGAATTGAACATGACACAATCAATTTTGAAAAAATGCAATGGATATCATAATTTGACAATGATCAATTGACAATACAATTGAATCATATTCTTTATTCATTTTCTATTCTAAGCTCATCAATTTTATTTCATTGTTAAATAGAATGGAATATATTATCAAACAATTCTATTTATGTAGAATTCTATATCACTTAAGTTGTCCATAAAAAAATAATAATATTTTATATTCTGCATATCGATTTCCGAAACAGAAGTTCTATAGTTTTTTTTTGCAAATATTTCAATACAATTCAAAAATTATTCTTTTTCTCAACACATTCAAATCATTTTTGTGGGTAAAAATCTGGCCACTTCGATTTTTTTCTTAAACATAACGTAATGGTCATAATCATGTACGAATATCATGTATATTTCTATACCTCTACTATTAAACGTAAAATTAATGAAAATTTGAATGGAAAATGTTTGAAAAGGAAAAGAATCCTAATTTTATCAATTGTGACTACGACCAATTTTACCAGTTTTTTTTTAATATTTTTGCTACCTTTTTTTTCACATATATATGAAAAATGTGCAATTGTATAACAACACTACTGCTCACACACTAATCATATATGATGATAATGATGATGATGATGATATTGGATATTTGTCTGAGTAAATATTGAAGAGAGAGAGAGAATAAATCTATCTTTGCCAATGTTTTGTTGTTGTTGTTGTTGTTCCGATCACAGAATGAAATTGAGGATGAGGATGATGATAATGATGAGACCGACGCCGCCATCACTGCCACCACACAATTTTATAGAGAAATGTTTTTTTTTTTGCAGACACTTATACCGAGTGTATATTTGTTTGTGTTTGTGTGTGCATGAATGACAAAAAGTGAAAGAGTGAAAAAAAAAAGAAATAGTGTTAAAAGGGAGCAAAAAAAAAAAGAAGATAAAGAAATAAGGGGAGGATTTTATTATTATTTTTATTCACATCCTCATCATCATCATCATCATCATCATCATAATCATCACCATCACTATTATCATCAAAAAGTTTTTTTTTCAAATTATCTTTTTCAATCATTCTTCCTCTCTTTCTATCTATATTATTTTTTATAATATTATATTAAATAAATTTATTTTGATCGGTGGTAATTTTTTTCCTATATGATTCTTTAGAAAGAATTTCATCAATTACAATCAATTTGAAAACGAAATGTTCGAAAAAACAACATCATGGCTAAAAGATAATATTGATATAATATTGATATCGCCTGATTCGCCAGGTATTCTTATTGTTTCAGAATAAATATCATCATCAAATATATTCGAAACTATATTTATACACACATGTGGATATTTCGAATTATATGAAGCCAGAAATTATAAGCTCAACATAGCCATTATCAACCATTATCAAGTTAATAATATTAATTATTATTATTATTCTTTAATCTCAAGAACCATTACAAAAACAAAAGTGTAGCAAAATCCATCCAAACACCACCACCACCACCACTATCATCAACGGCAACAACAACAACAAATTTTTTTGTTTCTTCTCAAAACACAATCAAAGCATTAACTCGATTTTATTATCATCTCAACATCAACAACATAGACACACCACAACTGATCGTCATCCCATTTTTTTTTCATTGTTGTAAATTGAGAAACAATAACAACAACAACAACAACAACAAAAAGGTTATTTGTTTGCAACAAATTTTCATTGTTATTGTCGGTGATAATTATGATGATGATTGTAAGTGCATGAATTTAGATAAATTTCACATTTTTTAAATTATTTTTTTTGTTGGAATTTTGATTTATTTCACATATTTTCTTAAAATGTACTTTTTCGTCTGTTTATGTGTGTGTATATGTGTCAATTTCATGTGTGATTGAATCATGATCATCATCATCATCAATCTCATGATTCGATTGATTATGATATTATATTGAAAATTGAATTTTTTTATTATTTCGGCATCTCATCATCATATCAATATTGATTGTAACGTAAATTTGTTACTATATTATTTACAATGAATTTTTCTAAATTTCTAAAAATTATTTAGTGATTTTTCTTGTTTTCGTTCAAAGGTAAATTCTTGAAATGATTGATTATGTTCATATTGATATTTGATCACCGGTGTTTTCTCATTTTACAAAACAAAACATTCATCAAACATACACCGCACACACATACATCACATTTGATTTTATACGCCCGTCAACAATGTCTCATAATTTACCTGAATCATCATTGATGATGACATTTTGATTTGATAATTTTTGTTTCTCCTTTGTCATTCTTATGATTATTGAATTGAATAATAATAATGATGAACAGAAAACAGAAAACAAATGAAATAAAGTGATTTGTTCGCAAAATGTCATCAAATTATTATTATTATCATTATTATTGACTTTTTTTTGTTTTGTTGTTATCGATCAATCACAAACCACGAGATTCATAGAAGAATGGAATATGGAATCTAAAATTTAGAAACAAAAAATTTCGATTCCATTTCGTTTAATATGATAATAATGTTAATGAAAAAAAAAATGAAAAGAAGAAAGATATTCGTCACTATTGCAATGAATGGAACTTTGACTTCAATATTGGCTGCTTGTCTTCTGTTGCCTCTGCTTTTTTTTCTAACTCTGTGTAGTTGCTCGTTTTTTTTCATATTTTTTTTCTCGTTTAGATTCAGGACTTTTTTTCCACCAATACACACACATTATGCATAAAAACAAACGAATAAAAACTTAATTTCTTGTTTCATGATGATGATGATGATGATCGGTGATATCTGCACACACAGGCACACCTCCAGAATGCCAGAATCTTGAATTGATTTTTCATGTTATTTATTGAATCTTTTAGAATCGATTCTTATGTTGTAAACTTTTTTTGTTTTGTTTTCAAAGTCAAAGTTATTAATTTGTTGTTGTTTTTTTTTGATTCTTTTTATTCTGATTTACATTTCCATTACTTTTACCAATTAACCTAGTTATTATTATTGGAATTTAGTCTTTGTATTAAAGTTTTTTTTTATTTTGCTCTTTGTAAATGTGTGGGCCTGATGATACTAGCTAAATATTCTTGTTATTTTTATATTCTCTCTGTGTGTGTGTGTGTTTGTGTTTTTGGTTAAGAATAACAACTATGTATAGAACATATCAAGCAGCAATCTATGGCAATTATATTTTTTGATAAATTTTGATGATGATGATGATAGCATGAATGGTAAAAAGAAGTAGAATTTGTGTGAGTTTGATTCATTTCAACAAACAAATAAGACATGCACATTTTTTTTTGTCACTCACATTTTATTTGTTTTGTGTGTGTGTGTGTAAAAACAAAGAATATTCTCTTTGGAATGTATACATACTTCGGTTCCATTTTGTTGAATTGTTTGTTGTTGAATTCTAATTTTATTATTGATTTTTTTTTAAATAGTTTATGTTTGGATCAGATCATCGATATTATTATTATTATTACCACCATTATTATCAACAAAAACAACATTATGATTGGCAACAAATGTAACCGTATTTTAAAATATTAAATCAAAACGATTGTTTTTCAAAGAATTCTCTTCTTCTTTTTTTTGTAAATAAAAAGAGAATGAAATCTTTCGACCAAATTGAAGAAATCCAAACCGGCCATTATTGAATTTTACCATTTATTATCAACATCATCGTCATCGTTTATATGCATGTTTTGAATTTGTGTAAAATTTTCTTTTTACAAATCAATTTTTTTCAAATATTTTGATTGAAAAATAATATCATCTTTCATCCATAAAAAAACATTAACTGACAGCAACAATGAAGACGTTGATAATAACTTGAATTTTTTGTTTTGTTTTGTTCGGCATTTTCATCGGTTTTATTTTTTTCGTTGTGAAATTCAAATTGTGTTTAGAATCAAAAAAAAAAATCATAAAATTATTCAGCTGCTTGATATATATTTCCACTTCACAAATATTCAATAATATACCATCCATATGATCGTTGTATAGTTTTTTTTCATTCATATTTGCTGAGCAGAAACAAAACAATATTGAAATTCTGCCATTTTTTTCGAAAGAAAAAAAGTGAATAACAAAATACAACAAATAAAATTTGCCTTACTTTTTACTGGATAACAAAACAAAACAAATATATCGTATCATATTTATTTTAATTAAAATTAAAATATTTCATTGAAGAAAAACAAAACAAAACAAAAAAATGGCTTCACATGCATCACTTTCACCGGCATTTGTCGACAAAATTGATCCATTCAAAAAAGGATCATTGAAAAGAAAACAAAAACGTTCACAAGGTTCATCACGATATCGTATAACTAGTGAGATCGAATTGCAGCCATTACCTTTGTTAAAAGGTAAGTTTTTTTATATTAGTTTTATTGATTAATTGATTTTTATAAAACTATTATTAGATGTCGGTCCAGCCGAACAAGAAAGTTTATTCATTCGTAAATTAAGACAATGTTGTGTGGCATTTGATTTTATGGATCCGGTTTTCGATCTAAAAGGAAAAGAAATCAAACGTGCAACATTAAATGAACTTGTTGATTATATTAGTGCCGGTAGAGGTGTTCTTACAGAGCCCGTCTATCCAGAAATAATTAAAATGGTAAAAAAAGATTAGTTTATATTGATATTTTAATTAATAAAAAAAAATTTAAATTCAACTAGATATCTTGTAATTTGTTTCGAACGTTACCGCCCAGCGAGAATCCTGATTTTGATCCAGAAGAAGATGATCCTACATTAGAAGCAGCTTGGCCTCATCTACAGCTTGTATATGAATTTGTATTAAGGTTTTTCGAATCACCTGATTTTCAACCAACGATAGGGAAAAAAGTAATCGATCAAAAATTTGTTCTACAAGTATGTAACTTAAAACCGATTTTGATTATCGATCTGTAATTGATATTAATTTTATATTTTTTAAAAAACAGCTGCTAGAATTGTTCGATAGTGAAGATCCACGTGAAAGAGATTTCCTTAAGACTGTGTTACATAGAATTTATGGGAAATTTCTAGGATTACGCGCATTTATTCGTAAACAAATTAACAATATCTTCCTAAGGTTTATCTATGAAACCGAGCATTTTAACGGGGTTGGAGAATTGCTTGAAATCTTGGGAAGGTATAAAATGAATCGATATTTTGAAATTTTTTTCTAATGTCTCTTAACAATTTCTTGAATAGCATTATTAATGGATTCGCGTTGCCTTTGAAAGCTGAACATAAGCAATTTTTGATCAAAGTTCTCATTCCGTTACATAAACCGAAATGTTTAGCATTATATCACGCTCAAGTAAGAATCATTCGATATTTTTCATCATTGTCATATTTAAATATTTCTTTTTTTCAAACAGTTGGCTTATTGTGTAGTGCAATTTCTCGAAAAAGATTCATCATTAACAGAAAGCGTCATCAATGGTCTGCTGAAGTTTTGGCCAAAAACTTGTAGTCAAAAAGAAGTCATGTTTCTTGGCGAAATAGAAGAAATTCTCGATGTGATAGATCTTGTTCAATTCGATAAAATTCAAGTACCATTATTCAAACAGATAGCAAAATGTGTTTCAAGTCCACATTTCCAAGTAAGATAATTTTTATTTCAATTACAAATTTTCAATTTCACTATCAATTTTTGAAGGTTGCTGAACGCGCATTATTTTTCTGGAATAATGATTATATTATGAGCCTGATCGAAGAGAATACAAACGTTATCATGCCAATAATGTTCCCCGCATTATATCGTATTTCCAAAGAACATTGGAATCAGACAATTATCGCACTTGTATATAATGTTTTGAAAACTTTTATGGAACTAAATTCCAAGTTGTTCGATGAGCTTACGGCCTCATATAAAGTTGAAAGACAAAAGTAAGTAATCGATATGTTTTGTATTCATATTTAAATATTTTGGTCACTTATTATTATAGGGAAAAGATTAAAGAAAAAGAGCGTGATGAACTATGGAAACGGTTAGAAGAATTGGAGCTGACCGATAAACAGCAATCATCACCACAGAATAGTAATCAATCAATGGCCAATGATAAATCCTTATCTTTACCTTTACCGTCAACATTATCAACGTATACATCAACAACGACAACCAATAATCAAATTTCAGTAAAATCTCCCATATTTTCTTCAACTTCTTTGCCATATTCTGCATCTTCTTTATCGGCAACAACATCAACATCTAATAACAATAATTCATCATCATCGAACCCTTTGAATTCTTCGGCAACACTTTCAAATTCGAATTCGAGTCATATGCAAGCTGCATAGCTATATATATCACCCACCCAAACAGACTCACGCATACATCAATTTTTCGGTTGTTTCCACAATTGTCTATGTAGACCCGTTTCTTTTTATGCTCCATTATTAATTATTGTTTGTCGAACATAACACCATCAATCCATTGATGATGTTATGATAAAGTAATTTTGTACAAAAAAAACGTTTCACTTTTAACAATTATAATCCATTTAATTATTTAAAGAATGATCTTATTCATAACATACACACACTGACCGTTATAACAAACAAAAAAAATTATTGAACATGCTCGTAAAATTTCAGAAATTCACTCAGCAAGTCAAGTCACAAACAATCATTCTATAAATCAATCACTCATTCAATTAGTCGGTCAGTGGTTCGAGTATTTTATGTTCTTCAATGTTGCATGATCGATAAGTTCTTGTATCGATTTTTTTTTTAGTTTTTTTCTAAGAAAATTTTATCATCCGATCCGATGAAAGAGAAAAGAGAATCGTTTGATTGAAATTTTATGTAATTTTTTTTTCTCTCGTTTCCAATTCTTTTTCTTCACTTTGTTCGTTAATATTTCAATAAATACACAATCCATTTCTTTTTATCCATATATACCTACATACTCAAAAACTCATGATCTGACATTGAAATCTATTAAAAATGTTTCTTCTTGGTCACAAAACAAAAAATAAACATAGGTATATAAACATCAATGTTTGATTATGATAAATCTTGGATCACAGCATTAAATGACCATGTTTGTATAGGTACCATCACAACCAAACAAAACAAAAAAAAAATCAAATGATAATTTTCGACATTCACATTAATTCACTTATTATTATTATCAGACAAAGTGATATATCTTGATTAAATAAATACCTTACTTCCACCTTCCACCTTTTAACACAACAAACAAAAATATTAATAAAAATATCTAATGGAAACACGCCTCTATTCAAATGTCAACAAAAAAAAAAATCAATGAAATAATGTAATATGTTTCTGATTTCATTCATTTGATGTCTCTCTCTCTTTCTCTCGCTATACATATTGTGAATTTTTAATTCTTAATTTATACCTCTTTTTCTTTATTTCACAAATCATTCACACACACTTATAATAACACAAACAAAACTCATCGCGCTCCATTTTGCTGTCTCTCTCTCTCTCTATTTTATTATTATTATTATTATTATGAATTAATGATTATTAGAAATCGGTCGTTATTATTACATTTTTAACATGGATATATAAATAATAATAATTAAAAAAAAGAAAAAGAAAATTAAATGATAATTTATAAGTGAAAAATTGATTGTATTAACTTTTTTTTTTGAAAATTAATGAATTTTTTCATTGTTCATCATCGATGATAGATGGCAGTTATATATTTGTTAATTTAAAATCAACAGAATCCGAATCGAATTTGATGGATTTCCAACAACAACAAAAAAAATACCATAATGCACGAAATACAAATGAAAATGAAATTTATTTTTAACAAAATCGAAGTTATTTATTTATGATTTATTTTTATCATTATTATTATAACATTGTCTGTAATGATAATAATGTTTGTTCCACAAATGATGATGATAGTTTGACCCGTTTGAAAAAAAAAGAAGGAAGGGACAAAATACATATAACACATTTACCATTTGGGAATTTTCATCATTTTATCATCACCATAAATATTTTTTTTTGTCTCTTATGATTGTCCAAAGGTGTGTGTGTGTTAACAACTGTCAAGATATTATTTCAATTCATTTATGTCCCAATAGAGATCATAATAATGGGTGAGAATAAAATATTCTATCATCATTATCATCATCATCATCATAAAACCGGTCCAACTATGACTTTTCGATTTTTTTTTTCATTATTATTGTCATTGTTTATTTAGTCAAATTGAAAATCATTCTCTATGGAGTTTTTGCCAACCATTTTTTTCCGATTCCATAATTTTCTGCATTTACTTTAACCCCCCCTCAACAATTGAAAATAAAACAAAACTAAATGTGTTAATTTGTTAAATGTGTCATTAATCACACACACACACACACATCATTCCATTCAATGGTGGCATGTCAATGAAAATTTTCCGCTATCATCATTGTCGTCACCTTTTTTTCCTGGTTCCATATATGAAAAAAGACAAAAACGGAATAACATTCCAAATATCAAAATAACCGACACAACACACACACACAGACATCAAATTTCATTTGGGATTTGAATTAATTAATAATTGATAATGATGATTACATTTAACAAACATACACACAACACACAATTGTTTCATTTGCTGTAAATTCACATATTGAAATTATTATATATTAAAATGAAAAGCAAAACAACAACAACAACAACATTAATGAAAAAAAAACACACACACACAACTAAATTAAATGTGGTCATAAATTAATTTACTTAATTAAATTAGCCTTAAATAGTAAATGTAGCAAGCAAGCAAATTATTTTTTTTTCGTTGGATAAAACAAACAAATAAAAAGAAGAAGAAAAAATTCATTCAATTTAAACAATTTTTTTATCATCATCATCAGTGTCATTGCCATGTTATACCATGATTAATTTTGTGACAAATAATAATCATAGATTGAAAGAATATTATTATAGTAAAACTAAAAAAAAAATCAATCAACTTAAACTTGAAGCTCCTAAATTATTACAAACAGTATTATTATTATCCTGATTATTGATTGTATCTGTAATTTGATGATGATTATTACGTAAATTTGTTCTTGTTATCGAATTAAAATGATGATGAATATTTTGATGATCATTACGGCCACTGGATAAACTAATCATCATTGATTCATTAACCGAACGAATTGTATGTCCACTCATTGATTCTGCACGACATTTAGCATATAAATCGATAAAATTCAATTGACTTGATGTTGGTATTTGTTGTTGTTGTTGTTGTTGTGAGTCAACATTCTGCTGATGATGATGATGATTGCCAATTGAATTTACGTTCCATTTGTTTCGATGATGTTGATCATTTTGTTGTTGTTGTTGTTTTTGTGATCGATGATGACGTTGATCATTATTTTCTTTACGTTGCTTCTTTTTCGATTTGGTTATTGTATTTTTATTACGTTTATTATTGCACTGTATTGATGATGATGAACTTTTGCCTACAACTTCAATCATCGATGATGATGATGATGATGATGATGGAGATGGTGGTTGTTGTGGTGGTGGTGATGATGACAATTTTACATCACAAAAATTCAAACGGGATGATATCTGTCCATTAACATTAGTGTTTGTATGTGGCGATATTGATCTAGGTGTATTTGGTCGACTTGTACCAAAGGAACTGTTACCATCGTTATCAATAATTTGACCATTGTCATTATCACCTCTTCTTCCGATATGATCATGATCATCATCATTATGATCATTATCTTCACCATCCGTAATATGATCATAATCTTTGAGTTTATCTGCCGCTTCCAATGATTTTCGATGCATTCCTAAATAAAAATTTTCGTAAAAAAATAGCATGTTATTTATAATGTTAGATTTTACTAGTCAAATAGTTTTTCCTTGATATTCATTCAAGGGTTAGATAAAATGATAATACATGCCTAAAAGCCACGGTGCACATGAATTACTTTCATCACTATCACGGCTAGATTTCAATATACTTTCGGGTAATGGTAATGAATGACGAACCATAGCACCATACAGACCATATTCAGCCATAATCGTACTTTTACCCCAACATTTTTCAGTTTTTCTCCATTTGGCACGACGATTTTGAAACCAAACCTAAAATATATCGAATAAAATAATTTTTTTGGTTACAAATCGTTTATGAATTTGATTTTTTTGTTCATTTTTTTTTGTTCTTTCGATTTCATCATGCATCAATGATCACTCAATGATGATAATGATGATGATCATCATCATCATCAAAATAAATCTAATAGTTGAATCATCGAACATTTGGTAAATGAATTTGATAAAAGAGGATTAATAGCTTTGAGTTATACAGAAAAAAAAATCTATAGAATCGTTGATATATACAAATAGATTTTTTTTTGATTGAGTATATGATTCTCTCTTTACTCCATAAACAGAATGTTTTTGGAAAAAAACAAACTACATACAAAAGATGTGATACGAATGTCAAATAAATAAATATAATGTGCTTTTAATCTAATAATGTAAACCAAACGTTGTTCATCGTTTCGTTTTTTTTGTTTGAAATATAAATATCAATTATGGGAGTATTTTTTTTCTCTTCTCTTTTCACATCTATTGTATGAGTGTTGCAAATGCTATTTGAGCTTTATCATTTTTTTCGGGAAAAAAAACTAATTTGCGAATAGTTTCGATTTGATGAAAACATTTAGTTGGTTGTTGTTGTTGTTGTTGTTGTTGTTTTCTTTAGGGGGTTGATGAAGTATGATGATAAAGAGAAATCGTATCGGATAACTAAATTGGTTTGACATTTATGGAGATAAACCATGCTTATAACATTATTAGGCGAACAAAATGTCAATTCAATTTATCAATTGATTACTTGAATGACTAGAAAAAAAAGTTGACAATTGAATATTGGGGAACAATAACAACAACAACAAAAAATGATATTTTTCATCATCAATAATATTCTTACAATTTGAATGATGGAATTGGAAAAAGAAAATTTTCAATTTTGTAAATTTTATTCTGACAAACCACAATAATGTTTTTGTGTTTTTTTTTATTCGATCAATATTTTCAATTCTTTTCATTAAACTAAAATGAAAATAAATTTCAGTTTCAATTTCAATTTACAAAAAATGAAAAATTATTACATTAAATTTTAGTGATAATAATATCCATTGAACAAATAATTTGTAATTAAATTAACATTGTACTATTATATTACTTGGCACAGATCTACACTGATTATTATAAGTGTAGAATAGATTTATGAAATTAAATTGTCGTCCCAAAAAAACCACCAAGCGATTTAACCACCACATTCATTCATTCATTCAACAATTAAACATTTAGAACGAAAAATCCTATATAATAATCAACTTTGATTTGTGATTCAGCATCTTTGTAATTCACTTATTAATATAATACTCAACGAACCGAATTCTGGTTTTTTTATTTCTTTATTCTTTTTTTTCTGTTGGTTAGAATCCAAAAGTTATAAGTAAAATCTTCATTCGGTTTCGTTTCGTTTTTCTTTCATCACTGATTTCTCTTTTTTTTCTGCCTTATCACAATAAATGTCGAAAGTCATCCATTTTGAATCCAAAAATCTGTCTTTTTTCACTAATAATACTAATGTTACTATCGGATTACTATAATAATAATAATACTGGTACACACGAACAGTAATAGCTTCATTTTTGGATCATTAAACAACAAGCCACAATCAAATCAACTTTATCTGATGTTGATATATTTTTTTCAGTATTTGAACATCATTGTGGATAATGATGATGATGATTATTATTATGATGATCAAAAACTCTTGTCGTTTATTTGATTTTTGATGTTTGGATTGACAAATGGATTTTTTTTACTGACTAAAAATATGATGATCATGATGATATAAGATTGTGATCCATTAAATTTTAAAGATTTTAAAACTCAGTTATTTTTTTGAAAAAAAAATGTTATTGTTGCCTATCATTCGCAAGATCAATGATCATTAAAGTGTTTATCGATTATTATGGATGAAAAGATTTGAAAAGAAAATCATATTATACCTGAATACGATCTTCGGGTAGATCCGTTTTTAACGATAACATTTCACGAGCATATACATCGGGATAATGTGCATCTTTGAATGCTTTTTCCAATTCTTCCAATTGATAGCTAGTAAATATGGTTCTAAAAGAGATAAAATAAAATAAAATTACAAATTTTTTTCTTATTGTTGTTGTTAGTATTGAAAATATAAAAATATTCAAATGTTTAATTAGTCAATAATGAATGTATTTTTGGTGAATAATATGATGATAAATTAGTCGATTACAAATTGGTCATCATTCTGCCAACAAAAAAAATTCTTCTATTAAAATAATTAGTGTTTGTTTTCATTATTTTCCAAATTTCATGACTATCATTAATCTTTCAACTCTATAGAATATATTACATGATGCCTTATGGCCAAAATAACATTGTTCCTCTTACACAAAATCAATGAATAATGATAACGCTTCCATACCATTGACTTGTGTACGGTTTTTTTCAAGTTAATTATTATGAGCAAGAAAAAAAAAGAAGAATAGGAACTGGTATATAACAGGCGTGTGTGTGTTTGTGTATGTGTCGCGTGTCCTGTGAGACACACATAGTATAGTTTGGATCAATAATGAACCAAACAATATGCCTTTATCATTATCATCATCGTCATCGCCATCGTCATTGAACAAAAGCTATCGATATTTTTTTTCGTTATCCATTATTCTTGAATCCAACAATGACAATTAGATTCACTATCTGACAACAGGAATTTTTTTTTTGTTGAAAATATTTTCGTTTGTTAAATTTTTCAACAGAATTGTATATTTCAGAAAATCAGCTATAATGATGAAATATTGGTAGGTGTCGTAGCCGCTCAATTCAATCAACCGATTTTGAATTTATTTCGAAATAATTGACAATAGATGTGTGTGTGTGTGTGTGTTCGGGAAGCCCATTGTCACTTTGTTCTTGTCGTTTTGTTGCCAAGATGATTGACAGTTTTAATTAGTGCTTTTTTTCCTCTCTCGCTTTAGTACACCAAGATTGATTTTTTTTTATATAATTTACACGCTTTCTGTCAATTCAAATTGTTTGCGCGTATCTTGAACAATCATCATGTTTGCTTTCAATTCTTTCACTCTTTTTTTTCCATATATTCAATTAAACTAATTATTTATTATTTTGTTCATTTTAATCATTTGAATTGACTTTTAGTTTGTCAACTAATGAATTTATTATTATTTAAAATCAATTAATTAGATTAATCGATTCGAATATAAAGAAAAAAGAAAGAAAGAAAGAAAGAATTTTAGCAAAACTTACCGATGTCGTCGTTTTTTCTTCTTTTTCTTGCTACCAACACCACCATTACCGGTAACGATACCAGATGCACCACCACCACCACCACCACCACTATTAGCAATAGTGGCTGCAGCTACCGCTGCTGCTTGCAATTGAAAATGACCATTTGATTTACCAACATCTAATGATGAATGTTGATTCTGTTGATTATTATTACTATTATTATTATTATTGTGATTCTGGTGATGATGATGATGATGATGATGGTTAGCTGACGATGCTAAACGATTAGCAAATTCATTGATAAAATTTCCTATATTAAAAAAAATGAAAAAATAATGGTGAAAAAAAATTAAATCATTTTGTGAAATTCTTCGAATGTCATTATTATTGAGTACCATAACAAATTTTAAAAGCTTAAATTCTCTCTTTTTTTTCTCTTTTCAACTCACTTGCAAACAAAAGAAATTGAATTTAATAAAAATTTCACTCCTCTCATTTCATAGTATTCATTGGTTTGTTCATTTCATCGGTTTTGATCGGTTGAAAACAAAAAACAAACAAACACTGAATTCATTGGAATTTTATTGTGAAATCAAATATTTTAGTTGAAAAAAAAATTTCATTAGAATTTTGCCATTTTTTTCAATCAAGAACGTTATTTTATTGTGATGATTATGATGATGCCTGTTTTTTTTTTGTTGGCCAATCTTTGAATAATAATATGTATAATGAATAAATAACCAATATAAAAAAACCGAAATTAATGTGTTAAGCATTTCAACAATAACAAACGAAAAAAAAATTCTGTCCAAATAGAATTATTTTGAGTAAAGAATTCCACAATGAATTCAGACAACGAAAGAATATTCATAACAATTGGTGGTATGGCAGTTTTTGATGGGCAATAATTCAGTTAATATTTAAACTTGGCTTCATTTTCATTTTTTTTTTGTCCATCCACACAGTTGATGACTGGATTTTTTATTTTTTGGTTCGTATTTTAATAAGCGTACTTTATTATTACATCCCCGAAAAAAAAAACATTCCATTCCATACGCCATCATCATCATCATCAACATCAACTATTGTGTGTGATGAGTGTGATTTATACAACAACATTAGCTCCCCGTTATATTATTTGTTCATATCTATGACATATTTATATTATGATAGCATTTTCATATTTTCATTTTATTACTTGGAAAAAAATACTACACCACTGGCCAAGTCGATAATGGCCAAGTTTTTTTTCCTGAAAAAATTCTCTTCAACCAGTTCTATTCTTTTTCTTTTGTTGTTATTATTATGATTCGGACGATGATGATGATGAAAAACATGATGAAAGAGGAAAAAATTCCAACTATGCAACTACTTTTCTTCTTATTCGGATTCATCATAATCGTTTTTTTTTCTTTATGGCCATACAATGCACATTCTTTCATTGCTTACTTTTTTTGAATCAAGGATTTCATCGTAATTTCAAAATTGAATATTTACATTTTTTTTCGGTTATTGTTGTTATTGATAATAGTATGAATGTGTTTAGGCGTTCATTTTCAGTCAGAAAGAGAAAATAAAAGATCTTCTCTTTCTAACAACAACAATAACAAATATTCAAAGGCAATATTTTTCGATAGGATAATAAAATTGGTTCATGATGGAACAATAAATGATTATCCAACAACATACACATTTACGCCATATATAAATATTCTTCTTTTTTCCCTCCCCCACAAATAGCCATTATAATTTATGATGTTTTAATAGTAAAATCTAAACTAATTTTCTTTAAACAGAAATATAAATATATGTTTAACAAACTAATAAGTGATAATGATTGAACGGATAGTCAATGGATTCAACCTCTACACATCCTTTTTTAAGTGTATGTGCGTGTATCTGTTCCATTTATAAACTCAACCATCACATTATTAAAAATAATAATAAATGAATAATGATTACAAATCAGGCAATCAAACAATATTAACAATATTCAATATATATTCTAAGGTGTGTTTCAAATATTTAGCTACTAAATAAAAAACAAATTAATTATTTCGATTATATAATCGATAATCACGAATTTATTGAATAGAAAATGTGTGTTTGAAAAAATTCATTAGCTTTTTGTTGTTGTTGTTAACTATATAGTTGAAAAAAATCCAGATTCATCAATCTATGACCAGACAGCTGATTTAGAATCTGTTCGATAATGATGAATAAAATAATAATAATAATATTCAGCCTAAATCATTTGTTTCAATATTATTAGCATTATATGAACCAAAAAAAACGAAGAAGAAAAATGTAATGGATTTTTTTCAAATTATACACCAGAAAAAAATATTCATTGGTGTTCATATTTGTCGAGATTATTATTATTAATAATATTAGCCACGAAATTCATATATGAATGATCATTATTATTATTATTATTAATAGCCGTTTAAAGAATTCAATGAGAAAAAAAAATATATTCTCTTTTGAATTAATAATGAAAACAAAATTCCAATCTATCAATCTGACAAAAAACTTTGGATTGGAAAATAGAATTTAATATGCGTGATTCTAATGGATCGATTCATTTTGGTGGAACCAAAATTTTTTTCTTTTTGTTGATAAAATTAATTCCAACCTAAAGAATAACGATTATGCGGTTAAACGGACTAAACATACACACACACACATCATTGATTCGCTCGAGTGGATATAATCCTATTCGAGAATACAACAAAAAGGAATGAATATTTTTCAGTCAAAAAAAAACAAGTATAAAATGATTAATAAATTGAACAATCGCTAAATTATTATTATCTGTACATCATCAAATCGGATTTGTTGTTGACCGACATGATAAAATGATGATGGAAAATTGAAAATTTTTCAATACACACACACACACAATAGAAAGAGAAAAAATTGGTTATTATCATTATGAAAATCTTTAAACTGTTTTGCTCTGGTTAATTCAATATATTTTGTTAAGCTAATAGTTCAATTTAATTGTAATAATCAGCCAATTGTTCTATTCTATTTAAGAGATTGATATGAAAGATGATGAAAGTTTTGATAATCTTTTTTTTTTGAAACACACACTAAGAATGTAATAGGAATTTTTTCTAAATACCTTTCCTTGTGCATGTGAGTGAGTGAGAGTTAACGATACGCCTTTGAATACAAATTGGAAAAATTGTAATAATGTTTGAATGAATGATCAATCACATCTTTGCACGCAATATTTCGAAAAATATAACAGATTTTTGTCTTAAATCTAGTAATTTTGTTTTGTTTTGTTTCCATCATTATATTGACATACAAAAATGAATTCTTTTCTTCTTCTCCATTCAAAATCATTCATTCAACAAAAAACTTATCACGAAATTTAGTTGAAAATTTTTTCATTCAAATATTCAATCAACTAAATTTGATGTTTTCGTTGCTGTTGTTGTTGTTATAGTAGTCCTTTATATACCTGTGTTATTTTAAATATGAAATGCGCACAGCATGTATAGCCAAACATTTTACTTTTTTTTTTAAATTAATAATTTTACAGGCATTTTACATGCTTGAATTGGCTGCCAATCAAATTTGTTTCAACAAAAAAAAAAAAAATTCATTGATGAAATGATGGAGAAAAATACACTTGAATTAATTCAAAAAAAATAAAATTTACATCAACATCAAAATATGCAAAGGTAAAGCTATTAATCTACAGGTAAATAATAATAATAAAACTGAAGATGACTGACTAAATAAATCGATATTTGAAACATGTTTAATTTGAAACATTTCTTCTTTCATATCTATCTATCTATCTGTATATTTCCCGTTTTCTCTATTACCTGTTCAACGAACCATACAATACAATTTCAGAGAGATAAATAAAAATGATGATGTTTCAAGTGTGTGTGTGTAGATTTTGATAAAGTTTACAATTCAATCATAATGATGAATATTAGAGAAAGAAAAAAAACGATAGAATCAGAAAAAAAAGTAACAACAAAGTTTTTCAACAACAACAACAACAACAAAAAATTCATCACTTGAAAATCACCAATCATCGTGTGCATCTTAATATCTTTCTCTCGTTATAACTTGCTCTTTCTTCTTGCTTTATTATTCACCTTTGTTGTCATCTAATAATTCAAATATATCCATCCTCTATCATTGCTTCTCTGCTGTAGAAAGAATATTATGCATCTCAAGAGACTTGAATTTTTTTTTTTTGGCAAGCTTTATAAAAATTAATTTTTTCTTTCCATTTTCAATTGAAATTTGTTGCTAGTTTTTCTTTTTTGATAAATTCATTATTAAAGTCTTTTTTCTCTCTGCTCTCTGCATGTTAATGCTATTGGTAAATATTTACACAACAATATGTACCATTTTGTTTTCCACATTCATTCAAAATCTCTCAACACTTGTTCATCACTATTGTCTTTATGAATTTGTTGTTTCTTCTATTCATTAATTTTCATTGTTTCATTTTATGAATTATTTTTTGTTAGGCTAACAATTCAATTTAACTTTGATTCAAATCATCACTATTGGATGGATTAATCAAACAAGAAAGTGGAAAGAAGAAAAAAATTGTTAAAGTTAACAATTAACTAAATAACCAATCTTATGTAATTTTTATTTGATTGTTTTGTTAATCAAGCAATCAATCAAATGATCAATTTAAATTGGAAATTTTCATCCGGGTTTTGATTACTAATTCAATGTGATAATCGTTGTTTTTTTTGAATTGAATTTATTTTTTTTTCTTTCAATTATGATAGCGGGAAGAAAAATTTTAAAACATCCATCTTTGATGATAATGATCATGCTTTTATGTCGATTGTTCAACAGAAAGAGGCTATTAAACTTTTGATTTCATGATTTTTTTTTCACCAAAATTAAATGACATTCGTTAAAACTGACTGAACCAAATTCTTAATGGATGAAAATCAACTATTCTTTTTTGTTTCACGACTCTATTTCTCGTTGTTATTGTTTTTGATAACATTTTTTTAAAAAAACTTTTTAGTTTTCATAATGATTGAAAACTAAGTTTCTTAATTGACCGATCATTTCAAATGTAATGAAAAAGATACTACAATTCATTCGTGTATTATTGACTCGTTATAGTAAGGATTTTTTTTTTTTTGTTTCAATTTTCCATTTTAAAAGCATCTTGCTTTCTCTCAATAATTGGATTGTTTCAATGGCCACTATCGTTACTTTCAATTGTGATGAAAATGTTTGTTCAATTTTTATTTAAAAAAAAATTTTCACTACAAAAAAAAATCCCAAATAATTGAATTAATTCTTTTACTTTTTTATAAAAGTCATTATATAATTTTTTTCAGTTCATTATCTGATTAATGATTGTTTTAAAAATTTCATAGTGTTCTTATTCCCTTTACCAGTCGAAAAAAATCGAAAAAATATTACAGAATTACAGTAGATCTTGCTGAAAAACTAATAACTATAGATCAAACCGAGTAATTAAGAAAATAATAAATTAATTAATTAATTGAACAAAAGAAACAAAAGTGTTAAATGAGAAAGGTTTTTATATGATTGTTATCCCCGTTTTATGTGTTGTTGAAAGGAAGAGATAGTGACAGATAAAGAAAAGGTAAAAATTTGCCAATTAATCAATTATTTTACAAATCAATAACGATTGATTGATTGATTGATTGATCGATTGATACAAACATTTGACAGGCGTATTTTGTTGTTATTGTAGTGAATGAATGAAAAAATTCTTTCAACAAAAAAGAGAAAAGAATTTTCTTTCTTTCTTTCTTGATTGACTACAACCCACCATCGAGTATGTAAACAAAACAAAAAAAAAATTCGCTATAACAAATCAATGTATGCAAGTGTGTCAATCAGTAGTTTTTTTGAAAAAAAATTGGTGATGATGGCCAATGTCAATAATAATATAGCACAATTGATTCCAATTATAATCGATCTTAATGAACAAGTCACTTAAAAAGTCGATCGATAAAAAAAAATAGTTGAAAGAATATTGGTATGTAACAAAACGAAGAAAAAGAAAAAAAAATGTAAACATTGTTAGCAATTGCCTGACTGTGAAAATGACAAGAGAAACAACTGTTACATTGTTCTGTTCAGCAAATTTCTATTATTATTTTATTTCATTTTATTTTGTTTGTTTGATTGGCCAATATAGTTAAGATCACAGATAGATAGTCATATTAAAAAAAACATTTTAGAAATGACAATGGTGTTTGACACCCAAAAAAATTTTCATGTAACAAACAGGCGCGTGTAGCCTTATCATTCAAATTCATCATTATCATTAAAAGAAAAAAAATTCTTGATTATTTTGTATATTTTGTGAAAATTATAATTGACTAATAACAGAGTCTATGTTTGTAATGCGTGTGTATGTGTGCTTAATACATTTCTTTGGTTCCAATTGGACTATGTTATATGCCACATACTGTGTGTGTGTGTGTGTGTTTGTTTTGTTTGTTATTATCATCAATCGGTAGCATATTTGAAAACCATTTGCATTTGTCACTTGACTTGTATAATATTCTTGTATTTTTTAAAAAAATATATTCCAGTTAGATGAATTCACATTAAAATGTAGAAATCTTTTTTTTAAAAAAAGCAGCTTGCAAATTAGACGCTTAATCTTTTTTTCTCTGAATAATAATAATAATAAGTTCTCTATTTTTTGTAAATTAATAATATTTTTTGAATAACAATTTATAAAATTGTCAAATTATCAAATAGAAATGTGTGTGTGTGTGTATGACATTGGTTTATCATTGATTTTATCGGAATTGCTATTGGTCATCATCAGTTTTGATCATCAAAAAAATTATGACATGATGGTCATCACATTGGTTGTCAAATGTCACTGTCCTTGTCATATTTTGGTTAGTATTGTTTGATTGTCTTGTCATTTTATACAAAGGTACCATTGCTTTGGCCTTTTTTGTTGTTGTTGTTGTTGTTATTGTTGGAACCAAGGACTTTATTTGCAAATTCAACATTAAAAATAATAGAGTAAAAGAGAGATTTGTGAACACGAGTTGAACAAAACTTGAACATAAATGAAAATGATTTGATTTGAATCAAATGTGACATTCATTCATTCATTCATTCATTCATTCAATCATTTTATCATTATTATATGAATAGGAAATAATGTTGTTCATTGATGATTTTGTTATTCACATTATTTTTATTGACTTTGACACTACTTACTTGACTAAATTGAAAAAAGAAAGAAAGAAAAATAATAATAAAGAGCGACACATTTAACTTAATTTGGATTGAATAGGTATTTAAATGATATTCAATCTTTTGTTGTTGTTGTTGTTCATTGAAAATCAAATGTAAAAAAAACTGATGATGAGTGAATGAATGTCGATCAAATGAAAAAAACATGTCATTTTTTCTTTTCATTTGATTTTGTTATTGAAAATTAAACGGTAATGATGGTGGTATTTTTTTACAAATAAAATACCATTCATTTCACATTCAGTATTTAGATTTTCTTTTCCCAGTTTGTGTTATCATTAGTGTTTAGCATTATTCAAAAATGGAAAATTCATAAATGTTTTTGTCACCTATTTGAAATGATTTAGGAAACAATGAAAAAAAAGATAATAAATATTTGCCAAAAAAAAAAATTTAAATACTCAGCACCCATTGAATATCCACTGTATATTTAATAAAATTCAAATTCATTTTGTTTTGTCTGAATAATGAATGATCGGATACAATAGATCTAAATACTCTCAAATTTATAAAAATGTAAGACGCATACATATTGTATGTAGATTTAACAAAAATATATGAATTTGTCACCAAAAGTTTTTGTCATCAAATGTATAAATCTATTATATCACTTACCCGTTGAACAATTTTTGTCATCGAATTTTCCAATTTCATTCGTACCAAATGGATTAAAAATCGAAGATGTATTAGTGTTACCGATTCCAGCAAATGAATTTTTAATATTCGTTTGTGTATGATGTTGTTGTGGTTGCGATTGTTGTTGTTGTTGTTGTTGATTATGAAATTGATGTCCAACATGAGCCGACATAAATGCAGCTGCAGCCGCTGTTGAAGAATGAAAATATGATGGAATCGATGTTTCACGAGTAATCGTTGACGATGATGCTGTATCATTGATCGATTGACATACGGCAGCAACTGCAGCAGCAGCTGTAGCATCATTTCTACCAAAACAATTTGTTGTAGAATTTGCAACTGATGATGATGATGGTGGTGGTGGTTGCTGACTTGATGTTATTGTCGATGACAATGATGATGAATGATTATGGCGTGATGTTGGAAAATATATTGATGAAAAATTTGTGGTAGTATTGACCAAATTATTCACATTCAATGATAAAGAGGAACTATTGTTATTATTTGTTGTTGTTTGTAACGCCGATATTGATGATGATGTTGTTGTTGGTGGAAAAATTCCAATCAATTTTGATGATGAAACGGCAGTACTATGTGATCCAACGGATATACTACTATTGCTATGACTACTATGATTACTTCGGCTACTTGTATGACTTGCATTTGATATTCTTGAATTATCATCATCATCATCATCACCATCATCATAATAATCATATTCACCATCAATATCATTATAAGTATGTGTATCCGATATTGTATTCAAAGTATTTATCGGACTACAAAGTTTTGACTTGTTTATTATTGATCCATTTCGATTATTGGTTTTAGTGGTGGTCGTCGACGTAGTGGACAAACCAAGTAATTGATGTATGGCAAATGGTGATTGTTGATATTGTTGTATGGCTCGTGATGATGATGATGATGATGATGAGGTGTTTATATTATTGCCCAATAATGATTTTGTTGTCGTTTCAATGGCAATAGCATCGGTTGTTGTTGTTGTTGTTGTCGTCGTAATACGACTATTATTACTATTTGATGAATTCAGCATTTTTCTTTTCTTATTTCTTTAATATTCTTGTTTTTCAGATTGATTTCACTGTTGAAGAAAGTGATTAACATTACAATTAAAATTATTCGTTACTTTCGGTTGTTTGTTAGTTAAGTAGCAATTAAGTGCATGTTAATAATATACTGCTTTGAAATTAAAAAAAAGAACAAAGAAGACAAAAAGATTGTTTTGGATTTCTTCTTCTTCTTCTTCTTCTTCGTCACGTTGTCGTTTATTAATTCCGTTGAATAATGATGAGAGGAAATGAAGAAAATTGATTTCAGTTAGTCAGTTAGTCAGTCAATCAGTAAGTTTTTTTTGGTTGTGATCAGCTAATGAGATTTTTCTTTTTTAAATACAAATATATTGTTGTTACTGTGTTGTTCATCTTCATCACAACAAAAAAAAATACAACAACAAATTTCGATGTTGTCCACAAATGATGGCTACAAATGAAAATTGATTGAAACTAGAGAAGAAGAAAGAAAAAACAAACAAGATGTACGAATAAAAATAAAGAGTGGGCGAGTCATCATAATTGCCGCCTTTTGGGTGCTTGTTCGCATGTTCAAAATGATGATAAAACTCTGACACAAACACAGAGAAAAAAACGAGAAAAAAAGTAGAATGAAAATGTTCCAAATAATGATGATCTCGATCTACAAGATCGACACTGTCAAATTGGCAACATGCTGTGAATGTGATGAGATAGAATAACCAAACAAGCCAAAAAAACAAAAAGAGCTAAACACACACACACATTTGATAGAGCAACGCTAATTGAAAATATACTACCAATGAAATAGAATAAGTATTTGAAATTAAAATGCTGCCGAAAATAATAATCATCGATTCCGTTAGGCTCAAAGCCAACGCAAAAGTATCGCGCGCTTTTATGATTTTGAAATGCGAAAAATATTTGAGCAAACCGAAAAAAATAAAATAGGAATCAAGAGATGCGCGCAAGACTCGGGAATTGTTCATTGTTGATAGATTAAAATTGGTTTTTTGGATCTTTTGCCATTCACTCTTTTCATGTAAAGTTATTCAATCAAATAGGAAAAAAAACATACACACACAAAAAAGAATCAAATCAATCAACGCACGCGTCTCTGTGTAACAAAATAGAAACCGAACCAAAAGATTCAAAAAAGTAAGGGTTAAATTGAAAAATGAAAGCTTAATTAAATTGAAAATCAACTAGATGATGAAAAATTTCCATCATCATCATCATCATCGTTTTTGTTGTTGTTGTAACAATAGAGAAAATTTTCTGAAAAATTCTCATACAGTATGGTATTTTGTATGAAAGAATTTTAATTAAATAATAAATGATGTTCATCATTGGGAAAATCTGAAAAAAAGGGGATAATGTTATTATGAGATGATATATGGTCACACACACAAGAAAATGTTACAAGTTTAACCATAAAGACCATAATTAATTATATATATGGAATATTACAAATGGAAAATTAAAAAAATCAACAATTTTTCTACACAGTCGATTAATTGTGAGTTATTTTTTTATATTTAAAAATTAATAAATTTGAATATTTTTAATGGAAAATCTTTTGACTAAATTTCCAATTAATTCAGTTTTTATTATTCGCTGAAATTTTCATCTAATAGTTTTTTTTTGAACCACAATCAAAATGTCCATCGATCACTGTGTTATTTGATCGTTTAATAATGTCAAATAAATTTTTTTATTCTCATTTCGTTCGATTAGTTTACTGTTGATTTACTTGACCATCATGATCATCATTGGTTACATCAGTATAATTAGCTGTTATTCGACCAAAAAAAATGAATACATTTTTTTCATTCATTCACAGTATTTATGGTCATTGGATGTGCCATTCCAAAAACAAAATTGGGCGGGATTAAACCACAACCTAAAAAGGGGAGGAGCTTGTCTTTGAATTTTTATTTGCTGCTAGCCATTTGCCTGTATTATTATAGTGTCAGAAGATTTCAAACAAAAATTTTTTTGTTTTTTTTTGCTTTTGAAAAAAAAGGATACATGTGCACAAGATATCGTGGTTATCATTATCAACATTGATTGTATGAAATTTTCATCATATAAAAATGTCATCATTTTTGTTGTTTTTTTTTTGCTTGACGACTAAATATCGATAAAAAAACGAATTTACAAAGTGAACAAAATGCATTATATAACCGAACCAAAAAAAAAAAAAAAACAATTCAATTTCTGTTTAAGAAAACAAAATTGGATTCGCTTTTTTTCACTCCCGGGTACACACTGATATATTCTTGATTTTTTATGGATGCTACCATTCCCCTTTCCTTCAACAATAATGACGTTGATGCTCAAGTTTAATTTGACCGATGAATGCAATAATTTCATTTTTCCTTTTTCTGCCAAAATCGTGCATCTTAAATTAAATGATTATTATATTTATAATGATGATTATTAGCGAAAAAAAAACACGTTCATCGTTTGTTAATAATTTAATTTTTTTTTTCTCTTCTCACATACTTCTTCTTTTCTTTTTGATTCAAATTTATACCGCTATTAGCATCACATGACTTTGTGTGAATTATAAAAATAATGGAAAAAAAAGGCAAAATGATGGCCGAAAAAAAAATCTATCCATAATTTCAAAATTAATAATTACATCTAGAGTGTAATAGAGAAAAGTAGAGTGTGTGTGAGAGAGAGACGAATTTTTCCCCATTCTAATTATCGCCAATTTTCATTTTTTTTTGTATTGTTCGGGCCCAATATAAGCCGAGTCATTCGAATGATGGAAAGAGAAAATCGATCGACAATAGCATTTTTACTGTCTATTCTATTCTGATTAAGCTTTATATAAAATGACAAATAACTGTTAAAAAAAGAAAAAAAAATGATTAAATTGAAATTTTTCCAATGATTGCTGTAACCGTTATCATCAATTCGCCTAATCGGATCTTCAAAAACTGTCAACAGTATAACAAGGGGGGAGGAGGGGGGATTTAGCCAATATCCACAACAACAACAACAACAACAGACAAGATGGTGACAAAACAATCAATTGCTATAGCTACGTTGTTGTTATTCTATGGTGTTTTGTTGTTGTTGTTGTTGTTGTTGTCGTGCATGTCCTTAACAATGACAATAGCACAAATTGAATCTGACAATTTAACGAATGACGATGATGATTATAATCATCGTTATTCTAGGGAATTTTTTATTTTTTTTATTTTTTTGAAAAAAGGCACACACATATTTATATAGTTTGTTGTTTTTTTTTTTGGTCTCCGTCATTTTGTAAAAATCATTCCCAATTTAAAACCATGGTGAAAACAAAATGAAAAAGAAGAAGACACACTTATACACGGTGAAAAAAAAAGATAATCGCAGTAGAGCAATAATCAAATATAAGAGGTGATTGAGGTTTCCGTTTCTTTTTCTCGAGACGGGCGAATCGATTTTTTTAAATTGTGTTTTTGTTCTTCGTCATAAGATAATGTTTTTTTTTTGTTCTCTGGTTTCATGAACAATTTACGATTGTTTTTAATGGTTTTGATGGATATGGTTTGAAGGCGTTAATATCCGAAACAAAACAAAAAAAAAAAAGACAGAAGAAAATTAATTTATCAATCGTTTGTGCCTTACACACCAAATAAAATGAATGGAATAAAATAATGGATAATATTCACTCAACTCAATTAAAAAAAACTATTGCTTTGTTTATGATGTAAAATTGGAATGGAAAGAATGGAATGTAACGTATGTAGGCGCAAGCGCTTGATTGTTAATAAGTAATTAATTATTTATAAATAGACATTTTTTTTGGTGTTAAGAAATCTTCGTATAACAACAATTACGCATAGAAATTATGTTGTAACTTAATGATAATTATAAAAAAAACCCCAAAGTAATTAATTTGTATACTAATTAACAGAAAGAATTGTGCAAGGTTGTTACTGTTGATGAAATTCTAACATGTTGGTGGATTCAAATGGAAACGTTATTTTTTCATTAATTTATTATTTTACTTTTTAAATTCATTAATATTAATAATTGATATAAATTTTTTCCGCGGACATATTTTTTTAAATTAATTAATTTTTTTTTTTATAAATTCAAATTGATTGATAATATTATACAACATGATCGCCATCTCATTTCGAAATTTGACATTAAAATTGAATCAAGTTTATAATGATGATGATGATGAATTGATATTACAAATTTTTTAATTTTTTATTTTTATTATCATTTAAGATTTGTTCAATAGATCGTTGATCACGTTTGTTTGAGCTGGGAACTATATTTTTTTAAAAAATTATTATAAAACAATTAGTATTAAGATTTACAAATTACAAAATTTTTCAATTTACCCATTCCAAATTGTTGATTTGGTGTCGTAATTTTGGCTGCAGCTTCACCAACATCTAAACCAATTATATTTGCATATTTAAGCGTATAGCTTGTATTTGGTTTTGGATTTTTTCCTTTCTTTACTTCATTTTTGTTATCATTTTTATTTTGCTCTAATTTCTACGCGAATGAGAACAATATTTTTGAAAAAAATATTAGAAAATTTTCTATGAATTACCATCTTTTCATGTAACTCTTTGAGTTTTCTATCATATATATCTTCACCATTACGAAGACAATCCAATTCTTCTTCGGTAGGCTTGAATTCTTTTTTATAGACAACACAATGTCGATCAACATCTTCAACGCCGAATGAATAGACTATCAGATCATGTTTATCAGCGATATTGTGACTTTTTCAAAAAATTATATCATATTAAATATGAATCACAGGAATCAAATAAGAGATTACTTACATTACGGTCCGATGTATTTTTGCCATAGGCTCAAATTCTAACTTTTCCATGTTACAATCATTGACAAATTTGATTAATCGTTGTTCGATCTATTCAAACAAAATTGATTAAAATTAGTTTTGAGAATCATCTTATGATACAAACATTAGCGCTGATTTTCTTCAATTTTTCCTTTTCCATTTCATTTAATTTCTTCAAAGTTTCTTGTTGTTCTATAGAAAAAAAAGAATTGAGTTTTTGAGATAAATTCGTTATTATTTCGATTTCATCACAGACTTTTGATTAGAATCTCTTGTTTTGAACTAGTTTGTGGCGGCTTTTCCATTGAATCAAGAATCGATCCGAGAAGATCCATTTTCTTTTCACTGTTTTCTCGTTAGATCTTTAAATAATTCACAAAATTATTAAAATCCAAAAAAAAACAAAGAATTTGTCAAAAAAAACCAAAATAGAAACGTTGAACCAATCAAGTCGAAATAGTGAGTCCTAAATGTGACTTTTGATTCTCGAATCCAAATCGAAGCTTATTCGAACTTTGTTTTTTTGGTGAATAAAGATGGCCTTATTAAGTACTCTTAAAGTTTTGGCTCGAAATGGTGTGATTCGTGATTGTCAAAAAAGTAAACATAATTATTTGACTATAAACATTAAATGAAGAATAACATTTTCTTTTATGCGATAGTATCGGTTAGATTCAGTGGTCATGGACATAAAATGCACATCCAGCCATCACAATTTGTTTGGAAAACATTCAAAGATTATCTTCATTTCTATTTTATGCTTGGTGCCATTCCATTGGCTTTAATCACTGCTTATGCTAACATTTTTATTGGAGACGCTGAATTGACCGATATTCCTGAAGGATATACACCTCATCATTGGGAATATTATAAGGTTGCTAATAACTAAAGTTCAATTATTATAATCATTAATATTTTTTAAATTTATAATTATATAGCATCCAATTACAAGATTTTTGGCCAAGAATGTTTTGCAGGATCGTGCACTAGCTTACGAATCAAGTGTTTCGAAAATGGCCGAAGATTCTGAAAGAATGTTATTGCATAGACTCAAAAAACAAATCAAAGTAATGATGGCTGAAAAAGCTGACAACAAAGCATATTTCTATTCAGAAGTTGATCCATCACAGAATCGTTGGTTATTGGACAAATTCCGTACGTTTTCATTCAAAAATGAAGGCATATCCGATTTAGGAGATCTTGATGATTAAATTGTGTTTAGATTATTATTATTATTAAAGAGAAAAAAAATAACCTTTTTTAATGAATTCGAATGTAAATAAAGTAGATTATCTGCTATCCACCAGATGGCAGTTAATAAATAAGAAATAAGCAAAAGAATACAAAAAAAAAATTATTTCATTTCCAAAAATTAAATCATTTTGGGATTTTTGCAAAACAACGAATGATTAATCCATTTTTTTCTTAAATAAATATAATGAATATTGAAGATGATGATGATATGATTAATATATGGTTATCATCATCATCATCATCACAGTCATGATAATTAATTATAGCCAATGAATATTCAAACAAGTCAAAAATGGAAAATGGTTGAGATTCAAATTCAATTTACAGTGTAACAACAACAACAACAACAACAAAAATATATTCCATAACAAGAAAATAAGAATTTTTTCTGTCCACATTGAATAATGTAGACGAAAAAAACGAAAAATTGATGACCACAACCATGTTTGTGATTTTGAACGAAATTAATTAATTTTGATCACCCAAAGATTTTTGATGAGAATGTTGTTGTTGTTGTTGTTTTTAATTTGTATTCGTATTCATTGTATAATATGAAATACCTGAAATGATGATAGCACGTATTCATTATTTATTTATGTATGTAAAATCTGAACAAACAAACAAACAAAAAAAATGATTCTGATGGCTAATTGCAAATTCTCATCATGATTGTTTTACATTTTGTTCACTTATCATGAATATATGATAAAGCTGAAGATAGATTACTAATTAAACTTTGTTTGTGTGTGTAATACATTATAAATATTTAATTACAAAAAAAAATCCCAAAACCAAATTAAAAAAAACAAACAACAGCAAATGAATATGATGAAAATTAATTAATTATCATCACAAAAAGTATTTATTTATTTGACCAAGATGAAAAGACAGAAAGATCATCATCATCATTGTTAGTAGTTAGGTAGCTATGATTATCAAAATAAAAAAAGGCAATGATCTGACCACACAGAACAAATTCAAAATAATGATGATGATCATCATCATCATCATCGATTCAGTATATTTTTTCGAGTCTATGAATAAGTTTAATGAAGTATATTTTCCTTCACATAATCAATCCATTATCAACACACACACCTGTATTCGAGCAAAAACATTTACAATTTGATTGGAATATTCGTTACACCAAATGCACGTTAAGAAACGAAACAAAACAAGCAAATATTATTTATTCATCAAAAAAAATATCAAGATGAAAGTGAATAGAAATTATCATTAAACGAAATAATAATAATTTTAAAAAAATGAATTTAATGACAATCAAATTAAATTGTAATGAAATGTTTTACATCGATCCAATATCATAATTGATCATTGATTTGATAGTCGAAATTATCGATCATTTTCTTTAAAAAACAAGGTTTATCAGTACTAATTCATCATTATTATCATGAAGACTATATGTGGGCATATGAATGTAAAATTCGTTTTTCATTATTATCATCATCATCAACATAATCATTGTTAGAAAATGCCCCTTAAAAAAACTTACAAATATACAGGTAATTGTTGATTCAAAGTTTTTTTTGTTTTTGTTTTGTTAAATTATTTGATCTTAGTTGAAATATATTCTCTTTTTAAATTCCCTTAGTTAATTCAGTCATTTGTCGATCGACATACACACACATATACAGAACACTATTAATAACAATTATCAGTAACATTATACCTATGATGATGATGGCTCACCAAAACATATGCATAGACAACGAAAATGTTTTTAAAACGAAGCGAAAGAAAAAGACCGAAGTGATCCAAAGCTACTTGTCAAAAAAAAGAAAGAGAAACAAATGATTAAGTCAAATACTTAAATACATGTTTCACTGTGGACGACTATCCATCAATCTGTGTGTGTGTGTGTTTGAATGAATTTTTAAAAGACCATAATGATGATTATGATGATGATGATGATGATGATAATGGAAATTTAACTTCATCATCATCATCATTGAAGTCTTTATTTTAGTTATTTATTCTGTGTGTACAAGAAAAAATTCAACAAAAAAAAATTATCTCCACTAAATGAAGACATTATTTTAGTGGCAATTATTCAAGTTGTCGATAGCAATTAACTTGCTGTTTTTCTTCTCTCTGTATATAGCAATCATTTTTAAATATTATGATGAATATTGTCGCCTTTTATTCATTTTGATTTCACAACGCACAATGCACACATGAATTTAACATTCTTTCGAGAGGAAAAAGTATCTATACACAACATACATTCATTGCTGATTTGATTATATATTCAATTTATTCGTAACAATCATTTAGCCAAGTTAAGTTTTTTTTGCTGAAAACAAAAATGTTTATGTGAGAATCCACCACCACCACTCAAATAATCTTAAGCTAACCCAAGAATAATCATTAAGTAATCAAAAAAAAAAATTTCTTAATTTTAGAGTAGTGTATACATACAAGGAGAGAGAATAAATCTTACAAATTATTATTATTACGATGATGATGATAATAATCATTTTTTTTTTGAACAATAAGTAAGTAGGATGATACAAAGTTGTCTGTGTGTTTGCTACTGTAGTACGTATGATCACATCATAAAATATTAAGTTTTTGTTGTTGTTGTTGTTGGATTATCTAATATATGGATGATATATATGGACAAAAAGATATACATACAAAATAAATTAACATATAAATCATATATCATCATCATCATTCCTATACATATTGAATGAATTAATGTCGTTTTGTTTGTTTGTTTGTTTGTTTGGATCTTATGATTGATTTATGATTATTTTGGATGACTTTTTTGTTTGTTTATGATTATCTTATGGAAAAGTTGAAAGAATCAGTTTATCAAGAATATTGTTTTGTTTTGTTAACAACGAGAAAAAAAAAGTTTACACATAATAATCATTGTCATTTCATTTGAAACAACAAAAATGTTCATTTATCATTTCATTAGTATATCATTTTCCATCTTAAATGATTATATTACGCCTACTTAATGTATTTACAGAAAAACAGAGACAGAGATAATCTGCTGTTATAATTGGTCTAATTATTGTTGTTCATTTAATTTTGTAATTTAGTAAATTTTTCTCTTCTTCTTCTTCTTCTTCTTATTCTTCATTGAAGATAAATTATTGGTCGGTGACATTAATGAAGTTAATGATTATCATAATCTTTCATTATTATTATTATAATTAAAAACAAATTGTATCATGTTATTATGATGAAAACTGAACAAACATAAATGAAGAAGAAAAACATTGACAAAGTAGCTAACTGAACATTTAACAAGTTATTGTTGTTGGCCATATTGCTGTTTTCTATTGATGAAAAAAAAAATCTTTCAACATATCCATTATAAGGTGTTGTTGGTTGTTTGCTTTGCATATTTATTCCAAATCGATACACAAACGAGGACGACAAATAGGTTGATTTGTTCGAGGATTAATTGATTTCCATTTGAAAACATTGACTTGATTTATACACAAGATTGACGAGAGATGTGTAAAACATAAAAGCAAAAAAAAAAGAAACAGAAAAAAATATGTATACGAATAACAAAAGCCAAAATCGGTTATTCGAATTCGAATCCGGTTGTTTTTACGACAAGATTTTTTTTTCTCCTGTTTGCCTTCATTATTTGCCAATTTTGGTGTCGATTACACATGTGCATTTCGAATGTTTTTTTTTACAAAAAAAAAAATTGATGAGCGTTTCACTCATTCACATACTGTTTCTCTTGTTTGTAATGAGGAGGGGGGAAGGAATATTGTGTCTATTGTTATTTGATGACAATTTCCATCCGTTTGTTACCGGGTGACAAAATTTTTATTTTCTATGTGGTGTATATATTTAACAAAATTCACGAGCCTTCAATTTTTTTTTCCAATTTATAAATACATGATGAATATATGGTGTAAAGCCACCACACACAATTGAATTGTGATTGCTGTTTTTGTTAGGAAAACTTTGAAAGGAATCCATTATCAATTGAATTATTTTCAATCACATTTGGTGTTTGTGTGTGTGTGTGTGGGCAACCAAATACAATTGTGATTTAAATTAGAATCTGAATGAATGAATGAATGAATGAACAATGAACAATGATCCATTTTTTTTCTTTGCTTCTTTGCTTTGGTGAAAGGTTATTATTCTCAATCATTTAATAATAAAATAATGATGATAATGATTTTCTTTTCTCTTTTCATCACCATCATAAATCGACCATTATTATTATTATTATTATTATTTTCAATTTCAGTTTTGATCAAAAGAAATTTTTGATTGATGGTAACCAACCCGAAAAATAAAATAGGCAAATATATTATGCTCGAAGGTAAAATTTCGATTCAATAAACATACAAGCGCAAATTTGGTAACATTCGATTAACGTTTTTTTTGGTTGTTCGAAAGAAGAAGTGGAAAACATACATTGGCCATATTGAAATGATTGTTATTGTCCGTTATTTTTTTTCACCTTTTTCACATTATTGAACACCGAATTGAACAAACACAATTGCCTTGTTGTTGTTATTTTTGTTATTTTTTTGTTGTTGTTATTGTTGTTGTAATTGTTAACCTTAATGGAACACACATATACTAATCATTCAATCTGTTCATGAATCTTGCTTTTTATTTGGTTAATCTTTTCTGTTTCTGGTTTGTTTGTTAATAAATTATGTTATTATTAAAAAGTATAATTCAATCTTAAAAAACAAACAAATTGAACTCACAAAAAAATCAATTAAATTTTTCATCAATTCAATTAATAAAATCCGAAAAAAAATGGAAAATCTTAAATAAACAAAACATTGTAAATGGATTTTAATGCCAGTATAACGATTGAATTTTTTGTTTCTTGAGTTTTATTTGTTTTTCATGTTGAATTAAATAAGTTTTTCATGTTTTGTTGAAAAATTTTCTATGGGTTTCAATTAATTTGACCAACACACAAAATCACCACCATAATTGCTAATTGAACATTGTATTTCCAATCATCATCATCATCATCATT